CTCATAAGGACATTACGTCCTACTTTATCTGTTTTGTATCACAGTAAACCTCTCCTAGTTATCTCTTTGCTTGTAACCCTTGTTGTGGTAAAATGCCTACCATGCTAAAAACAGTCAAATCACTCTACCTTCATCTCATTATATATAGGATTGTAATCTTTATATATGAATGAAGTGCTTAACTGCTTATACAGATAGAACAGGACTATTTGGTCTTAGAGTACCATCAATCATGTATAGTTTTATATATCGGTAAATCTGAATGTGTGTGTTGCTAACATATGTGCATCCCTTCCTCTGTCTTCAGATTGCAGGTTACCTGTATGGCACCAGTCCACCTGACAACCCCCAGGTGAAGGAGATCAGGTGTATCGTCATGGTACCCCAGTGGGGAACGCATCAGACTGTCCACCTACCCAATCAGCTGCCTGGACACGAGTACCTCAAGGTACAGATTTAGGGGATACCGTACACTCGCACACATGAACACACTCGCACACATGTGCACATACAAGCATAAAACACGATTTGATGCCGTGTGATGCATGCTGTTTACTGGATCACGTCTCATTATGTGGAAGCGATTAACCATGGACCATGGCTCATTTTCCTTGTGTTTTTATGTTTGAGGCTCATACCAAGTATGCTGTAGCCTTTTGAAATTGGAAGCGTTCAGTTCCTGATCAGGGCAGAACACACACAAACCCCTCTGCTTCCCCTGTGTCTCACCTCTCTACCCCGTCTCCCCCCTACAGGAGATGGAGCCCCTGGGTTGGATCCACACACAGCCCAACGAGTCTCCCCAGCTCTCCCCCCAGGACGTCACCAGCCACGCCAAGATCATGGCTGACAACCCCGCCTGGGACGGGGAGAAAACCATCATCATCACCTGCAGGTAGGACAGATACTGTTGTACTTGCTAACTAGCAGCGAGTTTGCATATAGCAGCTAATTTGAAAAAGGTTTTACTTCATGACAGGACCGGCCAGCCTGGTTATAGAGGGCTTTACTGTATGTTGGTTGGATTGACCGACTGGGTTTGAACCCAGGCTGTCTACTCGTCACTAGACTGGTTAGCCTGCTGAACTAAGGCCGTCAGGTCTTGTGCAAGGTTATTCATCACAAATGTAGTTCACCGTCCCAACCACCCCAGCTACATTTGTAAACATTGATCAAGTCCACCTATACATGCATCACTCTTCTTCTTAACATTCAAGTTGCATCATGTACATCATCAACTCTAACTACCGTATAACATCTTTATTAATTTCCAGTTTCACTCCTGGCTCCTGCACTCTGACGGCCTACAAGCTGACTCCCAGTGGGTACGAGTGGGGCAGACAGAACACAGACAAGGGCAACAACCCCAAGGGCTACCTGCCCTCCCACTATGAGAGGGTTCAGATGCTTCTGTCTGATCGCTTCCTGGGCTTCTTCATGGTGCCTGGACAGGTCTCCTGGAACTACAACTTCATGGGTGAGTAGTGCATAGAACACAGGATTATCTGTTTTGCAAGCCTAAGCCTACACTGCTTGGAGGGTGGATTTCGCAGACACAGATTAAACCTATTCCTAGACTAAATAGCATGCTAAATGGAGAATCTTGTATGATGGCTAACCTCTGTTATCAGTGTCTTCAAATCTCAGTGTACTTGAAACCATGACATTCAACATCAGCGTAACACATCAGGGAATTTATTAGGAAAATAAGCATTTTACAACCACGTGCTTGCAGTGTGTTTGATCGTCAACATATCTCAATAAAACATCCTCCTCCTTTCCTCTTTTAGGTGTTCGCCACGACCCCAACATGAAGTATGACCTGCAACTGTCCAACCCCAAGGAATTCTACCACGAGGTCCATCGCCCTTCACACTTCCTCAACTTCGCCTCCTTGCAGGAGGGAGAGATCTACAACGCAGACAGAGAGGACATGTACGGTTGAGACTGGCGCTCCGCTCAGAGATGAGAGGATTACCTCTCTATTGTAGATATTCTATGACATGGACATCCTGATGCGGCCCTGTCTAGTACAGTCAGACGTATCATTTGGCCCAGCCAGTTGTGAAGTTATGAATATAATTACTGCTCCCTGAAGGAGGGAAACGAGGTACCGCACAGCTATGGTGATCTCCATAGCTGTGATGGACTGAGTGTACCAACTGATAGGGATGACCTGAAGATGTTGGAATTTGTATGTAAGGACCACCTTTTTTAGGACACAATGTCACATTTTGGATGTTTTCTGCAAAATTATTTTGTTCCTATTGGTTTCCCTCTCCCCTCAGATCTCTCCAATAAGTCTTCATTATGTGAATTCTACGGTTGCATTTATATGGCTTTCCTTTTGACGCATTGCTGAGAATGTGTACCAGTATTTGTGACTCTTCTGTCTGTAGTAACTGATATAGCTGTAAGATTAATTTATCTGTGGCATTTCTTTACATGGTGGTTAATCCTATTCATAATGCTCTTTTTGTCTCCCATAGAAACTGAACTGTATATGAACATGGTATTGATATGTCCTGTGTTTTTTAGCTAGCAGTCTATACCCACTTGCTATGTTGTGCATTCTTTGTGGACACTGTAGTTTGGGTTTAAATAAAGATTGACATTTTATAAGTATTTGCCCTTGGTTGGTTGTCAGTTTTGTGTGTGAGTGCAGTGGTCATGTATTTTGTGAAGAGCGCTGACTTATAGCAAGGACACATGGTGGTGGCTGAGCTTGAAGAGATGGGTGTCATGGGACAGGGTACAAGCTGTGGCTACAGACATAGTATTGTTGTGGCCTTATGTCTCAACGATGGAGAGGACAAAGAAAGTACTCGCTTTTTTACTCTGCTTTGCAAACTGATTGTCATCACAATGAAGCAAATGTGGGTTTGTTATTGTCCTGATTGCATTTTATTTTTTGATATATTACGTTTGTTACCTATGCCGACTGTTAAACAACAGTACAGCATCCTCGCTCGTTTCCCATACCTTCAAAGGAAATCTGATTTGTATGCGCTGACCGTCTGATGAATTACTGTACGGTCGACTAGCATACCAGTGTAACAGTAGGCTATGTTATGTGGCTCTAGAAGAGAAGCCACATTGGTCAAGAAAGGAGGAGTGTTCTTGAATGGTAAACAAGCCGAGCAGAGAGAGGGGGCTGAAATATGGGCGTCCAGTCGACAGTACACTGCTCTGCCTTTTCAAGACTACTCGATGAACTCTGTTCTATTATTTGAATTTGGCATCTCATGTTAATGTTCTAGGCTATGCGTAGGCAAAATGTGACGTATGCTCGAACGAGGTTCAAGTAACAACTGGCTTGTTCTAGGCTGGAGGACAAAGCATGCAACTCAAGAAAGAGTTTGAGAATAGGGTGACGTATAATGCATACAGTTTAGATGCAGCAGCATATCGTGGTTTAATAAGACACCGGGTTATTGCGAGAACACTTTCGCTTTAATTTTGTTTCGATTCTTTCGCGGGGGAATTGTCATGTCACGGTGAGAACGACATTTTTATTTCTGGGTTTCGATAGTAAAGTGCATGCACACTGGTGCAAAAATGGAGGATTGCGATAGAAACGATCAAAAGAGAGAAGTCAAGAAGACAGAGGGGTGTTTTGAAATGACATGTTCAGCACTAACTGTGGATGATGTATACGAAATTGCCAAATTGATTGGCTTGGAAGTGGAAAAACTTATTGACGGCTACGGTAAAGAGAGCGCCACAGGACTGGTGCCTAAAATTGTCAAAGTTCTAGAGCTTTTGGAGAGCTTCGCCTCGCGGAACCATGCACACAAGTCAAAAGAAGAAGAATTACTTAAAGCATTCGAAACGCTACATGTACAGAAACAGAAGAAGACGAGATGCGTGAAAGAATGCGAAGAAAGCAGCAAGAACGAAATACAGCGGGTGAGTCGATGGTAATAACATGGTAGCAACGCGTATCGTGTCAATTAGCAGATTGTAACAACACCGACAAAATGGGATTTGAGGTTGCTGCTACAGTGTAGCAATTGAATTGTTTTGACGGCTAGGCTACAATTGAACAACTACGCTACTCGCTGCACGTCAGCATGCAACGTTATTCATCATGCCCATTCAGTGGCAAGTGACGGCTCACAAAAATATATTAGTTATCTGTGTGACAAATTGTGTAGTGTAACGTTAGACCTACCACTGGCAGCTTTTCCCCCTACATAGAGAATGCTACATTTTAGTTGTCTTAATAGCCTAAGCGAAATGTAGCCTATATGTCGTTTTTGTTATGTAACATTATCATGGATTGGTGTGTTCAGAATGGACGCTCGTGCCAGTGTCCTACGATGTCCCTCGTGTGTTTTTCTTCACAGGTCGCTACATTTACCACAGTATGTGAAAGGTATAGTAGGCTGTTTATTAGTGCTTTTTAAGTCGGTTAGTTTTTGGTTCGATTATAAAAAATTAATCACGGTTTCGAAAAAAAATTTTTGACAATACAATTATTAATGAAAGGCCCATGCAATGGATTATGTTCATTGTAGTTAATTACCACGTTTTCTGCAATAAACTTTGTAGAATAATATTGGCCTGTTGGAAACTACATCTCCCTACTACATCGCACAGTTCAGGCTTAGTCTGATTTCTCTCTAGAGAAACTGTGCATTGTGCTCACAGAAGAAAAAAAACGACAGAAAACGTCAATTAGTTGTTTAAAAACCGAAAAAATAACAGACATTTTGGTTCATTGCTCAGCATGACTATTTAAGCCTGTCCAGTTTTTAATATAAAATAACCTAGGCTATATCGCAGTAGAATTAGGGAAATCACTGTGATCTTGTCTCAACGATCATAGATTTGATATGATAAGAGGAAACATGTTGGAACGTCTGCTTGGCCCATTTGTCTCCTACAGCTTTCACTACACCACATGTCTATGCACCAAACACATTCTTTCACACGTCACCACACACCACACCATGAGCCCTGCTCATCCCAACACGTTGTTTCTGTCTCACAGCTGACAGCACTCTGTTGTTGGTCTTGTTGGTATCTTGTTGTTATAATGGTAGTCACCATAACACTGAAATTGAAGCTATAAACACGGGCGTCATAGGCAAGCTTTTTTTTCTCGTTCACTTGGAACATTCTTCAGCTAGCACTCAGTAGCTATCAATATCTTTGATTTAATTAGGAACCTATTCTTCCTCACCACCAAGTACCTGTAGACTCCTCTGGTTGTGGGCAATGAGTTCACTAGAAGTCAATGGTTATGGGTACCATAGAAATAGAATGACTAGAATGTCATTCTATTTCTGTGGTGGGTGTGCTGTGTGTCTCCTCCTAACCCAGAGTCTGTGACAGCTCCTCCTTGTCCCCCAGCAGGAGGTGCAGCAGGAGGAGGTGGAGAAGCAGAGGAGGAAGTGCGAGGAGCTGCAGGCCCAGGTGTTACATCTACAGACGGAGAATCAGGAGTTACAGAGCTGCCTGAGGGGCAACCATGCCCAGGAAGGTTGGTTTAAAACACATAAACACACATACAGTGCATTCGGAAAGTATTCAGACCCCTTGACTTTTTCCACATTTTGTTACGTTACAGCCTTATTCTAAAATGGATTAAATAAAAAGAATGTCCTCATCAATCCACACACAATACCCCATAATGACAAAGCGAAACCAGGTTTTTAGACATGTTTGCAAATGTATAATTGTTTTCTTCTCAGAAATAGCTTATTTAAGTATTCAGACCCTTTGCTATGAGACTCGAAATTGAGCTCAGGTGCATCCTGTTTCCATTGATCATCCTTGAGATGTTTCTACAACTTTATTGGAGTCCAGCTGGGGTAAATTAAATTGATTGGACATGATTTGGAAAGGCACACATCTGTCTATTTAAAGTCTCACAGTTGACAGTGCATGTCAGAGCAAAAACCAAGCCATGAGGTCGAAGGAATTGTCCGTAGAGCTCTGAGACAGGATTGTGTCGAAGCACAGATCTGGGGAAGGGTACCAAAAATATTCTGCAGCATTGAAGGTCCCCAAGAACACAGTGGTTTCCATCATTCTTAAATAGAAGAAGTTTGGAACCACCAATACTCTTCCTAGAGCTGGCCGCCCAGCCAAGCTGAGGGGGAGAAGGGCCTTGGACAGGGAGGTGACCAAGAACCCGATGGTCACTCTGACAGAGCTCCAGAGTTCCTCTGAGGAGATGGGAGAACCTTCCAGAAGAACAACCATCTTTGCAGCACTCCACCAATCAGGCCTTTATGGTAGAGTGGCCCGACGGAAGCCACTCCTCAGTAAAAGGCACATGACAGCCCGCTTGGAGTTTGCCAAAAGGAACCTAAAGGACTCTCAGACCATGAGAAACAAGATTCTCTGGTCTGATGAAACCAAGATTGAACTCTTTGGCCTGAATGCCAAGCGTCACATCTAGAGGAAACCTGGCACCATCCCTACGGTGAAGCATGGTGGTGGCAGCATCATGCTTTGGGGATGTTTTTCAGCGGCAGGGACTGGGAGACTAGTCAGGATCGAGGGAAAGAGGAACAGAGCAAGGTACAGAGAGATCCTTGATGAAAAGCTGCTCCAGAGCGCTCCGGACCTCAAACTGGGGCGAAGGTTCACCTTCCAACAGGACAACGACCCTAAGTACACAGCCAAGACAATGCAGGAGTGGCTTCAGGACAAGTCTCTGAATGTCCTTGAGTGGCCCAGCAAGAGCCCGGACTTGAACCCGATCAAACATCTCTGGAGAGACCTGAAAATAGCTGTGCAGTGACACTCCCCATCCAACCTGACAGAGCTTGAGGGGATCTGCAGAGAAGAATGGGAGAAACTCCGCAAATACAGGTGTGCCAAACTTGTAGCGTCATACCCAAGATGACTCAAGGCTGTAATCGCTGCCAAATGTGCTTCAACAAAGTACTGAGTAAAGGGTCTGAATACTTATGTAAATGTAATATTTCCGTTTTTTTTTTTTTATACATTTGCTAACATTTCTAAAAACCTGTTTTTGCTTTGTCATTATGGAGAATTGTGTGTAGATTGATGAGGGGAAATAACAATTTAATCAATTTTAGAATAAGGCTGTAATGTAACAAAATGTGGAAAAAGTCAAGGAGTCTGAATACTGGATAAGAGCATCTGCTAAATGACTAAAATGTAAAATGTAAATGTAATACTTTCCAAATGCACATAACACACAGATGACTGGTTTAACAGCTGCCTTAAGGGCGACGATATTTAGGGAGGTTGCTTGATATAGAACATCTGCCTTAGGGGCAACCATGCTCAGGAAGGTCAGTTCAAACATCTGCCTTAGGGTCAACCATGTCCAGGAAGGTTGGGGCATGGTACTTACCCTTTCTGTTGCACATAATATATCATTTACATTTACATTTTAGTCATTTAGCAGACGCTCTTATCCAGAGCGACTTACAGTTAGTGAGTGCATAAATGTTTCATATTGGCCCCCCGTGGGAATCGAACCCACAACCCTGGCGTTGCAAGCTCCATTCTCTACCAACTGAGCTACACGGGGCCATGTCACACACCTCTTAGAAACAATCCCCTTCTCACACATGTGTATGCAAACATACTACCCTCCACAACAGGTAAAGTACCCCAAAGTAATGCGTGTCACGAGAATGGAGTTACTGCATCGCTGACTCAGAGTACTTCTGAGGGTAATCACAGGGTAAAACATTGCTGACTGAGAAATTCCGTTGTTTGTTTATTCGGGAAGTGAATGTGTGACCTTAAATGTGACATTTGTTATGTAAAAACTGAAAGAAGAACAGAGCAGAATAGATACATATAAACTAATAGAATATAATAGTTGCGTATATTTGTATTATACTCTAACTTATTAAGTATTGGTAAGATACATTATTCATCTCGTCCCGGCCTAGTACTCTATACTCTCACGCTGTGCTATAGAAGCTGCTAATAGCACCAACCCTAGTATCGTTCAACAAGTTAGATGCTCTTATCCTTGATTTATTCATTGGATACGAGCTATTTTCAATTGAACGTTTAGTTAGGTCTGTCTTATGATAATGTCCACTATAGCTTGGATGCTGTACCCCTTTACTTCAACGTAATGTAAACTGTTAATACAATGTGTGCAAGTCTTGTGGTATTTTTTTCACTAGTTTTCAAGGAAGTGTCTGTTCAGCTGTGGGGGGTCTAAATCAGATGAACTTTTCCTTGAAGGAGAAGAAGACCATATTTGTGTCAAGAAACATCACAATAATTGGATCCACTCCATCCACTAAAATGTACATCTAACGTTCTTCATTTTCTCAGAACTAGAATTACCACACTACAGGGGGTTTCAAACTTTTCTTGCCCAGGAACCCCTGCTCAGGCAAATCGGCGACCCAGGGCCCAAACAATTTTTGTAATAAAACAATTATTATAGTTCAATTATTTTCTGCATGCTTTCTGTCCCAAAAATGACCACTTAGATGGCCCGCCAAATAATTTTATATGCAGTAATTAGCTACAATGACTGTAATTTCCTCCATATTAAAGAGATAGTTTGAGATTTTGTCAATGAAGCCATTTATCTACTTCCCCAGAGTCGGATGAACAGGAACAGCTAGCATGCTAACCGTTCCTGTAGACTTCTAGTCATTGCGTTAACGCTAGTTAGCATTGGCTCGTGAAACTACCTCTAAATTCCTTCATACTGGACACAGAGACATAAAAATGGTATCCACGATGGTATTTTGTTGTAGCTAGTGATATTAATAAAATAATTACTTTATCCCCGCATTTATTTTCCTAAAATACAAAAGTATAGAAAATGGTGGACCCCCTGCAGTACCTCGACGGGCCCCGGCCATACTACACGTTGAAACCAGTTTTCCCACCAAGAGGCCCGTGTTAGCTGCTTGTTGTTAAGTTTTATTGCACCAGTTTGGCCTTGGAACATTAGTGTCTCCAATGTCTATCCAAATCAAAATGCCATAGCTCCACCATAGGTTATTTATCAGTCATTAGACATCCAGAGTAGTGTGTCTGAATCAACAGATATAAACCAGACTGCTTACAGATGACCATGTGCTGAAGGATAATCCTTAAGTGTCTTTACTGTTTAACGCCAGACCTTAAGATACACTCCACTGAGCAGCTTTGGCTGGGGACATAATCTCGACCGACTGTTGATGGTTGATTAACTACTGGGTCATGTTCATTAGGGACTTCCTGGACTTGCCCAATAAAAAATGGAAACATTCATTTCCGTTTTCCGTTGCGCTTTAATTTTTTGACTTTTCTGTTTTGTGCCCTAATGATGTTCTCTCTGCTCCGTCTGTTGACCATTGAAAACCCACAGTGATGATATTGTATTGTTGTGGTCCTGTGTTCCAGACCGTGTCCAACGGCAGGAGCGGGAGGTGATGCTGAAACTGAAGGAGGTGGTTGACAAGCAGAGAGATGAGCTGAGGGCCAAAGTACAGCAGATAGCCAACGTTACTAAAGAGGTGGAGGCGGTAAGGACAAGACGACTACATGTACAGTCCATCTGAATGCGAGTGTACCCAGACTCGCTTTAATGCGGACACACACACACATATACACTGAGTGTACAAAACAGCCTAGATTCGTCGGGGCATGGACTCTACAAGGTGCCCATGTTGACTCCAATGCTTCCCACGGTTGTGTCAAGTTGTCTGGATGTCCTTTGGGTGGTGGGCCATTCTTGATACACATGGGGAACTGTTAAGCGTGAAAAACCCAGAAGCATTGCAGTTCTTGATACACTCAAACCGATGCGCCCGGCCCCTACTACCATACCCCGTTCAAAGGCACTTAAATATTTTGTGTTGCCCATTCACCCTCTGAATGGCACACATACAGTGAGGGGAAAAAGTATTTGATCCCCTGCTGATTTTGTACGTTTGCCCACTGACAAAGACATGATCAGTCTATAATTTTAATGGTAGGTTTATTTGAACAGTGAGAGACAGAATAACAACAAAAAAATCCAGAAAAATGCATGTCAAAAATGTTAGAAATTGATTTGCATTTTAATGAGGGAAATAAGTATTTGACCCCTCTGCAAAACATGACTTAGTACTTGGTGGCAAAACCCTTGTTGGCAATCACAGAGGTCAGACGTTTCTTGTAGTTGGCCACCAGGTTTGCACACATCTCAGTAGGGATTTTGTCCCACTCCTCTTTGCAGATCTTCTCCAAGTCATTAAGGTTTCGAGGCTGACGTTTGACAACTCGAACCTTCAGCTCCCGTCACAGATTTTCTATGGGATTAAGGTCTGGAGACTGGCTAGGCCACTCCAGGACCTTAATGTGCCTCTTCTTGAGCCACTCCTTTGTTGCCTTGGCCGTGTGTTTTGGGTCATTGTCATGCTGGAAAACCCATCCACGACCCATTTTCAATGCCCTGGCTGAGGGAAGGAGGTTCTCACCCAAGATTTGACGGTACATGGCCCCGTCCATCGTCCCTTTGATGCGGTGAAGTTGTCCTGTCCCCTTAGCAGAAAAACACCCCCAAAGCATAATGTTTCCACCTCCATGTTTGACAGTGGGGATGGTGTTCTTGGGGTCATAGGCAGGATTCCTCCTCCTCCAAACACGGCGAGTTGAGTTGATGCCAAAGAGCTCGACTTTGGTCTCATATGACCACAACACTTTCACCCAGTTCTCCTGTGAATCATTCAGATGTTCATTGGCAAACTTCAGACGGCCCTGTATATGTGCTTTCTTGAGCAGGGGGACCTTCCGCTGCAGGATTTCAGTCCTTCACGGCGTAGTGTGTTACCAATTGTTTTCTTGATGACTATGGTCCCAGCTGCCTTGAGATCATTGACAAGATCCTCCCGTGTAGTTCTGGGCTGATTCCTCACCGTTCTCATGATCATTGCAACTCCACGAGGTGAGATCTTGCATGGAGCCCCAGGCCGAGGGAGATTGACAGTTATTTTGTGTTTCTTCCATTTGCGAATAATCGCACCAACTGTTGTCACCTTCTCACCAAGCTGCTTGGCGATGGTCTTGTAGCCCATTCCAGCCTTGTGTAGGTCTACAATCTTGTCCCTGACATCCTTGGAGAGCTCTTTGGTCTTGGCCATGGTGGAGAGTTTGGAATCTGATTGATTGATTGCTTCTGTGGACAGGTGTCTTTTATACAGGTAACAAGCTGAGATTAGGAGCACTCCCTTTAAGAGTGTGCTCCTAATCTCAGCTCGTTACCTGTATAAAAGACACATGGGAGCCAGAAATCTTTCTGATTGAGAGGGGGTCAAATACTTATTTCCCTCATTAAAATGCAAATCAATTTATAACATTTTTGACATGCGTTTTTCTGGATTTTGTTGTTGTTATTCTGTCTCTCACTGTTCAAATAAACCTACCATTAAAATTATAGACTGATCATTTCTTTGTCAGTGGGCAAATGGACAAAATCAGCAGGGGATCAAATACTTTTTCCCCTCACTGTACACAATCCATGTCTCAAGGCTTAAAAATCATTATTTAACATGTCTCCTCCCCTTCATCTACACTGATTGAAGTGGATGTAAGAAGTGACATCAATAAGGGATTATAGCTTTCACCTGGATTCACCTGGTCAGTCTATGTCATGGAAAGAGCATGTGTTCCTAATGTTTTCTACACTCAGTGTACATTCATGCTACACACACATCACAACTGCTACTACCAGACTCTTGTTATGATTGCTAAATACTGCACAATTGAAACATTTGCCCCCCAATCCTCCCTTCCCCAAATCACGTGTAAATATTGGACTATAAATTGTTCCTTCCTGTATTATACTTATGCTAAAATGTTTATTCTATTCTACTGAGCCATTTACTTTATGTTCGTATTCTTATCTTGTATTATTTCTTATTGTTGTTGCATTGTTGAGAAGGAACCTGCAAGTAAGCATTTAATTGGACGGTGTATACCATGTGTATCCCGTACATACGACTAATAAAAGTTGAAACTGAAACAGTACTGGCATAATAGTCATGGTTATTGGTTTGTGCTGAGCAACACACACACCTTGGAGACAAATCTGGGCTATGACTCCACCTCCTTATTCACAGCAGCTCTCTGTCACACAGTAATGGTTTTAAACCAGCTCAAGCTGGGTGTGTTTGTTGATGTGTCTAGGCTTTCACCTAGAGCTCTGGGCCTCTACGTTAAGTTTGCTCTAAATGTTTTTCTGTTCATGAGAGTAACTGTGTTTGTGTAATATGGTCCTTTCCTCTTACTCCCAATGAGTCCTTGCACCCCCACCATCTAGCATATCATATCATCGGCCTGGATGTGTACGAGTGTGTATGTATGTCATGTGAGTGTTATGTTAGTGTGTTGTTTTATACCTGTGTGTGTGTGTGTGTGTGTGTACAGCTGCAGGAGCAGTTGGAGCGCTTCATGAAGATGAATGGGGAGCTGAGACACAAGCAGAGCATCGTCACGGCCCAGGTGAAGAGTGCTGTGGAGAGGAAGGCTGACATGGAGGCAGACCTCAGAGAGAAACAGAAAGAGATAGAACGCCTCACCACCCAGCTGGAAAAGGCCAATGCTGCTGCTGGCACGGTAAGAAGTGTGTCTGTGTGAAGGGGGAGGAGTGTCTGTGTGTGTGGGTGCATGCATGCATGGTGTGGGGGGTTGTGTGGCTGTGTGTGTGTAAAGGTGTGTTTGTCCCTTGTTGAAAAGGCAAGCATTCATTTCCATTTTTGAATTGGCCTTGGACCTTCATATTATATTTAAGCAAAAAGGCCCAAGGGGGTTTGGTATGTTGGCCATATACCACAAATCCCTAAGGTGCGTTATTGCTATTATAAACTGGTTACCAACATAAATAGAACAGTAAACAAGTATTTTTGAGTCATACCCGTGGTATATTGTCTGATATACACACAGTTGAAATGCTTTTTCAGCCAATCAGTATCCAGGACCCAAAGTACCCAGTTTATAATACTACATAAACATGAGTCATCCAGCGTGGTATATTCTGACTCACTTTACTGACCTGTTTGTTACACCTTGTCAGTCATTTCTCTAGAGAACTTTTAGTGTCCTGCCCTCTCCCTCAGTTTATTTTGTAGCTGAACTTTAATCTTTAAACATTTGTCACTGTCCTCTCTCTGCCAAGTTTTACACTTGGCCTTTGTTTTCTTTAAACTCTTCTCCCTGTAAAAGAAACTGTAGCCATTTTGAAATATTTGTTATGACTAAGATAAGAGAAACTAAGGTCATATCTGTGACTTCTCTCTCTGACAAAGGAGTTAACTCATTGTTGGCACAAGATGTACATGCATATATTGTCCACGTACAGAATAATTTGACTAAGAAATCTCACTACAAGAAAAGTGTTTTCTTGTTACTTTGTAATATTCACACATATGGCCATATAGACTGTGAAGTTCACTAAATGTGTTATACCAGGTGAACAACAACGTTTTGTTTCCCTTATCCATAAAACACATGAATGTCATTACATTAACAAAATTGTGATAGTCCAGCTGTGTTTTCTCCACCCCAACAGGCCAGTCCGTGTAAGACAGAAGTGGACCTGACTGACAAGCTGGTGATAGACCTGAAGGATCCAAACAGACCCTGTTTCACCAAACAGGAGTTTAGAGAGATGCTGACAGAGAGGAACGAGCTCAAAGCCAACCTGTTCCTGGTGCAGGAGGAACTCTCCTACTACCAGAGGTAGGTACTATGGGGTGTGTGTTTGTGTGTGTGTCAGGGGGGGGGTGTTTCATAACTTTTATGAGTATGAGTGTGTGTGTGTGTGTTTACATGTTTGTTTGTTTGTTTGTGTTTGTCTAGTTTCATACCTGTGTGTGTGTATGTACTGACGTCTGCGTCATATGTATCATCCACACAGGGAGATCCTGAATGATGAGCGGTGTCCAGGATTCTTGCTGGACGCAGTACGTTCTGCCATAAAGAAACAGAAAACTGTCATCAAGGCCAAGATGCTGGGCATGCCAGAGGACGAATGCAGCAGGTGACACTGACACACACACACACACACACATAGGTACACACACACACACACACACACACACACACAAAGACACAGTGCTAACTTTGTGGATGTGCTTTCCTTAAACAGTGATGAGGAGAAAGGCCCCCTGTTTGAGAGGAGAGCAGAGACAGAAACCGAGACCGACAGCACTGACAGCAAACCACAAGAGTCTCGCATCAGGAACCTGTAAGTACTACTGACCTGTTTTTACTCATGTAAACAACACATGTATTAACATAGCTATTTACATACAGAAATGTAAACATGTTTAAAGCACATTTACAACATTCAAAGAAACCCAATCAGAAGATAGTAATAGACATTTGGAATGAATAGTTGCTTGTTACAATGTTGTTACTCTGGTAAACTGACGAAGGTCCTTGCTTTGTTGGAGAATTCCTGCAATAGCTTGATTTGCAATGACAATGAGCCTCAGTTAATGATGCAGTGCCCTACCATAACCCTTACTCCGAGACCACTGATTGACTAGGCAAAGTTTAGGCAGGTCTGTGGGTGGTTAGACATGTTTGGCTTCTTTCATAGGCCTCCAGCATTCCATCAACTTGTTGCTATGTCCGGAAGACTGATAATATTGTCTGTCTATGTTAAACTACCTTTGGTCTCCTGATAATACTGTTGTGTGTCTATGTTTACCTCTAGGCAGACATACAAACACATGCTTCCGCTCTGTTCACTGTTCTGCTCTTACCTCCAATGTAAAACTTTCACAGCACCTGCTGATGCCTCTGACTAAGCCCATTGATATAAACATAGACTGCTCCCCCTGGTGGTGTAACCAGGAACTACCTCATATCTACAGAATGTAGTACTTACATTTTAGTCATTTTAGCAGACGCTCTTATCCAGAGTGACTTACAGTTAGTGAGTGCATACATTTTTCATACTGGCCCCCGTGGGAAACGAACCCACAACCCTGCCGTTGCAAGCACCATGCTCTACCAACTGAGCTACAGGGGACTACTGCATGTAATCTCAGAAACCCTGACCAGAACCAAATCTCACATGCACGCTTACCGTTTAATGATCACAGTCGGTCACAAGAGACTATGCAGCCTATAACCTCAGACACTATAGTAGTGTGTAGGAACTACTAAGAAGCAGAACAACTCAGTCTTTCAGACAATATCTCTGACCTGTGAACTATGTTGTGTTCTCTCCTCCTGTGTGTACCTTTAGTTTCTTCTGGTAGTGAGTTAGTATAGCTGATCCTAGACCTGTGTTGTCTCCTAGCTTTGGCTTCCTGACCCGCTCCGGCAGCAACCACATCAGCCGTGGTCCCAGTGAAAACAATGCTGCTTCTTCCTGGGAAATCATCGGCAACACCGACAACACCGCGGAGACAGAACCGTGACGATCACCATAACAACCCTCAACACCCGTCCAACTACACTTGTCCTCCATTCTGTTCAGTTTTCACTGGATTTTTCAGACTGTTTAGGTGTCCATAGCAGCCCTAAGAAAGGAAGAGCATTCTCTCATTCTCTCATGCTTTCCTTCTTTATTTTTTATTACTTGCTCTATATACCTTTCTCTTCCTCTCTCTCTCTTTCTCTTCCTCTTTCGCTCCCTCTGTTTCTCTCAGGAATAGGTTCAGAATGGTGAAATGGCCAACTGTACACTTTGCATTGACAATAACTGTGCAGGACATTATTAAGAGGGACTTTTTTAATGGATAATGTTTTTGTACTTTTTTTTTAGTATTTGTATTCAACATTATAGTGACGTGTATGGTATGTAACCATCTACAACAAATCTCTGTTGAATCTCTTAAGCAAATTTGTATTGAGATATTTTAACAAATATGTTTAGCCAAAGATACCAGATATATTTTGACCACAGCAATCATTAGTAATCGCAGGAACACGTTTGAGCCACAAGAGGGCATTCTAACTATTAACAACCATGGTGGACTTCCATGTGTTTAACATTTTACCTAGTGTGGGTGTTTTTGGCATGCTTTGTGGTTGCTGTAATTCTTACAATCTGTCACGGACATGGACATGGTGTGAGTTATAGGGAACCTTTTGCAGTAAAGTACACTGTTGTTATGCATGTGTCTGCCAAGTGTGTGTGTGTGTGTGTGTGTGTGTGTGTGGCGCGCACACGCCTGAATGTGTATGTGTGCATGTGCGCACCTGTCTGCCTCTGTGTGTGTTCACTGGGGCACCAGCCCCTGTACGTTGGTTGCTGTACTTACAGAGGAAGTGTGTGTTTCCTTTGGGGGAGATGGTGTGTGTGTGCTCTCCCTCTCCTTCCCTCTCACCATGTCGTTTAACACACACACACACACACACACACAACAATGGCTGCCCCTGCCCCCTACCATAACTTACCTTTCAGATTCTGAAGTAGTTTTCTGACATTCTAAATTAATGCTGCTGGTGAAAGTGTTGAATGACGTATTTTCCTACAACACTGTATGTACATGTTATTTTTGTAAGTATGACTGTTTTTAAATGGAGAAGCCTTTGTGCTACGAAAACCAAATAAATATCTGAAGTGAAATCAGAAGTGTGTATTGTGGGAGAATGTAAGTTGGGCTGTCAACATACATCCATTTGCCAAGAGAACATCCCACTTCCGATCTAGGATGGACAGTTTTGTGTGTGTGTGTGTGTGTGTGTGTGTGTGTGTGTGTGTGTGTGTGTGTGTGTGTGTGTGTGTGTGTGTGTGTGTGTGTGTGTGTGTGTGTGTGTGTGTGTTTGTGAGCTATAGAAAGTGCTTGTGTGGAAGACAGATGTACACAAATAAACGTACAAACATACATACACACTCCTACTGTACACTTTGTATTGACAGTAACCGTACAGGACATTATTAAGAGGGACTTTTTTAATGGATCATGTTTTAGTAATTTTTGAGTATTTGTATTCAACATTATAAATCTCTGTCAAAGATACCAAGATGTATTTTCACCACAGCAATCATTAGCAATTGCAGGAACACGTTTGTGCCACGAGGGCATCCTAACTATTAACAACCATGGTGGACTTCCATGTGTTTAACATTTTACCTAGTGTGGGTGTTTTTGGCATGCTTTGTGGTTGCTGTAATTCTTACAATCTGTCACGGTCATGGACATGGTGTGAGTTATAGGGAACCTTTTGCAGTAATTTGCCAATAGGCCTACGCCCCTCCCTCTGTATTTGTGAGTACACTATGTGTTACTTCTGACCCTGAATGTATTGCCACACAGTAACAGTCATTTATTGGTTAGACTTTATTTTCTTAACCATCAGCTCATCTCACATATTTGATAGAGACCTATTATGAGTTCAACCATGTCTTCCCTAGGACCATGAATTGAGCTTTGGGGTTGGTTGTTATGCATGTGGCTGCCAAGTGTGTGTGTGTTGCGTGCGTGTATGCGTCGTCGCACGTCTGTCTCTGTGTGTGTGTGTGTGTTCACTGGGGCACCAGCCCCTGTACGTTGGTTGCTGCACTTACAGAGGAAGTGTGTGTTTCCTTGGGGGGAGATGGTGTGTGTGCCGTCACTCTCCTTCCAACTGACCATGTCGTTAAACACACACACACACAGAAACACACACACACACACCAATGGCTGCCCCTGCCCCCTACCATAACTTATCGGTACTCAGATATCTCAGACTCTGACGTAGTTTTCTGACATTCTAAATGAATGCTGCTGGTGATAGTGTTGAATGACGTATTTTCCTACAACACTGTATGTACATGTTATTTTTGTAAGCATGACTGTTTTTAAATGGAGAAGCCTTTGTGCTACAAAAACCAAATACATATCTGAAGTGAAATCAGAAGTGTGTATTGTGGGAGAATGTAAGTTGGGCTGTCAACATACATCCATTTACCAAGAGAACATCCCACTTCTGATCTAGGAAGGACAGTTAGGCTTTTTTTTTTTAAACAAGGTGTATGTATGTGTTCTTGTGTGGAAGACAGATGTACAGTACACAAATTAACTTGCAAACACACATACAAACACATCTAAATATGCTGCTCACCTCTTCCCAGAATCTCTCAGTATGTGGTGATGTCTTAAAAATGCCTTACTGAGACAGATTGAATGGGAGGAAGTGGCTCTAACTTCCTCAGGAAAGAGGGAGAGGAAACGGACGGGTTTGGACCGCTCAGTCAGGCTGCACTGGGCCTACAACTACAAGACTAATGACTGAAGAGAGCTAGGCCTACAAGACCACAGAGCTGGGCTGGGGGAAAGAAAGATAGAGCGAGAGAGTGACTGGGGAGAAAGAAAGATAGAGGGAGCGAGAGAGATAAATAATTGAGAAAGAGAGAGAAGACTGCCTTCAATTTCCATTGTCCTCTTCTGGACTTGGGAAGAGAAGAGTGAGCGAAAGAGAAGAAAAGGAGAAAGGGATTTTCCCGTGGACTGGTACAGACCTGGTTGTGGGGTGGACATGGGCCTATATCTGACGGGTCTAGGACTACTGCTCTGCTGTTCCCTCTCCTCCCCTCAGAGACTGGCCCCCTCAGGGAGAAATATCTGCCAGGACCTCAGGTGATGACTACATTACACTCTCACACTTTCTTTTTCTCTCTTTTCCTGCCCTTTCAATCAAGCAATATATCCTTGCTTTATTTTAATCTTCCGTTATTTCATGAAAAAAACAGTAAAAATAAATGTTACCCATAAGGAAACTTCTACTATGCTTTACAGTATGTCTTTTGTTTACCCTTCTCAAACAGGGACCCCTCCACTCTTGTATGTTGTACTGGATGGAGACAACAGGGAGAGGAGTGTACTATACGTGAGTATCAGTTTAGGGGAGAGGAGTGTACTATACGTGGGTATCAGTTTAGGGGAGAGGAGTGTACTATACGTGAGTATCAGTTTAGGGGAGAGGAGTGTACTATACGTGAGTATCAGTTTAGGGGAGAGGAGTGTACTATACGTGGGTATCAGTTTAGGGGAGAGGAGTGTACTATACGTGGGTATCAGTTTAGGGGAGAGGAGTGTACTATACGTGGGTATCAGTTTAGGGGAGAGGAGTGTACTATACGTGGGTATCAGTTTAGGGGAGAGGAGTGTACTATACGTGGGTATCAGTTTAGGGGAGAGGAGTGTACTATACGTGGGTATCAGTTTAGGGGAGAGGAGTGTACTATATGTGAGTATCAGCTGACAGTAAATTGTGTAAAAGCATCCAGGACACACAAGAACAGGCTTTTCGTCTTGTTTAGGTAGTATTGTATAATTCCGCACTGTGTCTGTTGTTTATGACTCCAGCTGTGTGTGATGGCGAGCAGGCCTGCCAGCAGGATGAGGTGTGTGTACACCCGGGCGTCTGTCGCTGTCGACCTGGCTACTATGGAGCCCACTGCAAGACACGTAAGTCAAACCAACTCTGACATTTAAGTTACATAGGCTATGTCACTCAAACAATATATTTTGAACACAACAAGAGTCAATATAGCAACTTTGGTAGCACTTTACATTGCAGGAATAAAAGGGCAAGAACCTTGTAATTAAGTGGAAACTACTGAAGTATAACAGCCGGTCTCCCTCTTCAGGCTGCCCTCCAGAGTTCTGGGCACCGGACTGCCGTGAGCTGTGCAAGTGCCACCCTCATGGGCACTGTGACCCGATCACGGGCGAGTGTACGTGCCTCCCCAACCGCTGGGGGCCACTCTGCCAGAACGCCTGCAAATGTGGCCGTCACGGGCACTGCCACCCCGTACACGGCAACTGCACCTGCGACGAGGGCTGGTGGACGCCCACCTGTGCCAAGCAGTGCCAGTGCTACCCAGGCACCTCCACCTGCGACCCACTGACCGGCAGGTGAGAAAGAATGGGTTTATTTACAGTGGGAGGCATTAGTTAGCTAAGAGCTGAATCACTTGATACAATTTAGGCTGCTATCTACTAATTAAAAGGACAGTGTCACACGTCATATTTTTTAACACAGTAGCTACAACACAATAGAAATATGTGTTTTCTTAAAAAACTGTGGTTGGCAGGTGTCAGTGTGCCCCGGGGTACTGGGGTCAGAAGTGCAGCCTTCGCTGTAGTTGCTACATATCATCCTGCCAACAGAAGACGGGGGCGTGCGAATGCCAGAACGGGTGGTGGGGTCCGACGTGTGACCGCCGCTGTAACTGTGACCTGGAGCACAGCGAGTGTGATGCGGTCAGCGGGGAGTGTGAATGTCAGCCTGGGTACAAGGGAGCCTTCTGTAATGAACCGTGTGGACCTGGGGAGTATGGCAGTGGCTGTAAACTGAGGTAAGAGAGTGGATATGGATATTGCAGTGATGTTTTGTTGGTACAGCCTTGTCATTTTGCTGTGGATGTCTGTCTGTCTCTCTCTCCTCTCCTGTGTAGCTGTGGCCACTGTAAAGGAGGCCAGTCGTGTTCTGTGGTTGACGGTGTCTGTATGGCCTGTGAGCCTGGGTGGAACGGCACACACTGTGACCGGCTGTGCCCGCGCGGTTACCATGGAAACCACTGCCAGGACGTGTGCCCGCGCTGCAGGAACGGTGAACCATGTGACCCCAGGACGGGGGCGTGTTCACGATGTGATCCAGGATGGACTGGACCCAGGTGTGTGTGTGTGTTTGATGACTAACTACCAGTGAAATGTATCTGAGATTTTTTACAGTAATTCCACTGTTGTACTGTAGCTACCCTTCCCAGACATGCCAGTGTCAATGATACCGAAAAGGTGTTTTCTTCTAGTGCTGACAGTTTTGTTTTCCCTCTGTTATCTGGGCCTCTCTGTATGTCTGCAGGTGTGACGAGCCGTGCTCTAACAGGACATTCGGGGACACCTGCAGCTTCCTGTGCAGCCCCTGTTTCCATGGCCATTGTGATCACGTGACAGGAAGTTGTGTCTGTGGGCCTGGGTTCCAGGGACAGAGGTGAGAGTACTGAGAAAGCAGACAGAGGTTATGTTTGAATACTCTTAAAATGTATCCTTCCTTACCCCCTTCCTTGAAGTGATCACTGATGTGAAACAATGGTTCAAATAATTAAGTTTCTCCAATCCAATATTGTCTGATTTAGACATCTTGCTAGGATTGTGTATCTGGCTGTCACTAACAGGTTTCTCTCTGTTGTGTCCCAAGTTGTAACATCACCTGTCCAGACCAGCTGTATGGCTTTAACTGTTCCTCTGTCTGTGACTGTGGTGAGGGCACCGCCTGTCACCCAGCAACGGGGGCGTGTCCATACAGTATGTACTCCTCCTATTGGATACAGCGGTAGTTGGTTATTAATGTGTAGCTAATGATAAGTAATAGTAGATGGGCCTATGGATTAAAATATTTGTTTTTCCTCAAGAAGGAATATGTGAGGTTCAATCACATTTGTTTGTGTTTGTGCGGGTGTGTGTGCGTGTGTGTGTGCGTGGTGTCAGGTGGTCGCGGGGCTCTGATCGCTGGTCTCCTGGTCCCTTTGCTCTTGGTGCTGCTGGGTCTGGTCTGCTGCTGCTGCTGCTGTGGAGGACCTACTGACGGCAAAGACAGGTGTGTGTGTGTGTATAATTCTGATGGTAAAGGCAGGTGTGTGTGTGTGTTCCTCTGACCTCTGACCTTGCTCTGGTCCTACAGGGTAGCAGTGGGTGACGGTGGTACCTCTGTCCGTATGAAGCATCATGTGTATAACGTCCTGGCCAACGTGAGCTCTGCTGTACCCTGTATCTCTGTCTGGTCCTCTGGGCTACCCAGAGTCACAGGTCAGTCCAATATCACACTAGAGACCAAATCAAATCATATTTTATTGGTCACATACACATATTTAGCAGATGTTATTGCAGGTGTAGCGAAATGCTTGTAAAATCATATCATCAGATCATATGTCTGTATCTATGTAAGGAAGAAACTCCAGTACTTGTTGGATGCTCTCAAAGTTTTTCTCCATGCACTTGGAAATAGGAGAGGTGTGCATACTATACATATTGCAATATTATTGCAATACTGATAATAAACGCTTTCTCTCCAGTGTCCCACCACGACCCTGAGCTGACGTTCAACCACAGCTTCATAGAGCCTCCCTCCTCAGGCTGGCTGACGGACGGATCCTCCTTCGACAGTGATGAGGAGACCGGAGAGGTGCTCTACTGTGTCCCCCCCAGAGAAGGTAATCAGTGTGTGTGAGTGTGTGTGAGTGTGTGTGTGTGTCAGTGTGTATGTTCACCCCTTTGGGCTTCGTTGACTCCATTGTTTCTCTCTCTCCCTTTACCCCGCTCTCCCTCCCTCAGACATCCCAGCAGTGGCGGGCGGTGAGTTCCAGGAGTTCCAGCATGAGATGAGTTCTAAGTGTAACATGTTCCCCGACCCCTCTGCCTTCAGCGTTAGTGCAGAAGACATGTCCCTCCCCTTTGGCATCCCCCGCACCTCCAGCAATGCCAAGTCCAAACGCCCCTCCGTCTCCTTCGCCGAAGGCACCAGGTGACACCAGGTCGCAGTCATCATGATGGGGACATTGGACACTACACACACCACACGACACTACACAGCACTTCAATTCTCTTTTTAACCTGCCTCTACAAAGTTATAGTTATTGTAATTGTCTTGTGATTGTTTTTAATGTTGAGAGTATGTAAAATAGATTTCCCCTTGGGGATTAATAAAGTACAATCTCATCTCATCCCAGGTTCAGCCCCAAGGAGCGCCGAGGCTCTGCCCAGGATCTGACACCCGGGGCCCCTCGCACCAAACCCAAGTCCCCCTGGGGGGTCCTGATGCTGTCAGCCCTCCAGGCCCAGGGAGGGAAGGCCTCAGAGGGGGAAGAGACGGAGACAGGTGAGGGGGGGGTGGATGGATGTGGAGGTGGGACTGGACCATTGGAAGACCCAGGATTCAGTGGTGAAGCAGGGGATCCCGATGTGGACAGGTACACAGCCACCCCGTCCCGAGCCATGTCTACCCTGCAGGTGCCTGGAGCAGTGGTAGGGCGAAGACGCACCATATCCAACGCCGCTGTTACCAGAAAGGGCAGGCAAACATCAGGGTCCACATTCGATGGCCAGCAGGCAGAGATGGATAAAGGGATGGACAAGGTGACAACAGTGTACGTGACAGTGGGGAAGATGGGGGTGGGAAGGCCCCTGTCTGAACTAGAGCTCCCCAGCTCGGAGGGCCCGGTCCAGGCCATGCTACGCAGGCTAGGCAGCCTCCAGAGACACAAAGACCAGGAGGGGGGAACTAAGCCCAAGGGGAAGAGCCCGGGGATGGAGGGGATCACCAAGCCCCCCAGGAGGAAGCTGGGGGCCAGGGCCAGAGTGTGGGAGCAGGGGGGTCCCCCACCCTCGGGGGGGGAGGGTCCTGTAGGGGAAGGCGTACCTATGAGGAAACCCAGTAGGAGGAAACAGCACGCCCACCACAGCTCGCCTGCTGTCATGGGAAACACTGACGCTGGCATTAACACTCACCCCCCACCAGAGGACGCCACTGCCACCATTACGCCCACAAGGCCCCTGTCCTCCATTTTGAAAAGCGTGCCAGAGGTCGCTGGGTCAGAGGTCAGGGATGAAAGGTCAGGGCTGAGGGGAGAGAACAGCGACTCTGAGACTGAGAGTGGATATGGAGTCGGGCCAGCTGGAGTTGTAACGGACGCTGTTAGTCTGAGTGAAGTCATCGCCAATGAAGGAGTGGTGGCCAGTGTGGACGATGGACCTAACCTTTATGAGAACGTGATGATTATGCATTCCTAACTTCAGATGCAATGACTGTGGTGCTCTGTCTCCTCTCACAATTTAGTATGTAGTTCGACTACTAATGAATGAGGAATTTGGAAACTAGCCTAATGTACTGAAGTTAACAGTCGAGTCTGACATGAACTAGCAAACTTTACAATATTGAGTATACAATCTTATGAATTACAATATGTATATGATGGTTCTGTACAATATGTACTGTATGTATATCATACAACAATAGGATCATGTTGAAATCGCCTTACCAAATAGCTATCGACACTGTAACTGCCATGTGTGAAACAACTATGCAAATTAAAACTAAAAATGCATGCTCCGATCTGTGCACTTTGTTCACTTTGACTTGTCTGTCATCACTGGGCTAACATTGCTCTGTGGTGCCAGCTTGAACCATTTAAAAGGGATGGCACTGGCAGCACCAATTCTTTCCAAACCATCACCTGTCTGTGATATTTATTATTCACTGGAACACTGAGGTTGTTCCCCAAATGGCACCCTATTCCTTTTATAGTGACCCTGGTCAAAAGTAGTGCACTATAAAGGAAATAGGGTGCCATTTGGGACGCACACAGAGTGAAACAAAACAAGTGATGAAACTGATACCTTCCATGCATATGATGTATACATATTATGGTGTCTGTCAGCTGCCATTCCCAATACTGTAGGATTGAGAGCATGTTGGTTGTGTGGACATTTACATAGAAAAGGAAATAAGTCACCATAGACATACCTGTAGCTACAATATTTATCTCTATGGTGCCACTTCCCCTCTGCTTGTACAGAATTTAAGGAGGGGTTGACAGACAGGGTTAGAATGGATGGTTGATGACTTGATCTTCTTTAATCTAATTTATGAATGATTCCAAAAATCAGCAGTGAATCAACAAGTCTGGACCGTGTTCACTATCAACTTCAAGTGGAATTGAGTTGTCATGTAAAAGAATGCAGCACGGTCTCTCATTGGAACAGATATCCCCCGGCTACCTGGCATAGTCTACTATCAGGCTAGCATAGTCTGTTTACTATCTGTAGGTTTTGCCAAGCCTGTGTCCTCTTGATCACTGTTAAGCTTGTCTCCCACATAGCATGTTCTTCTATGTAGCCAAAAACAGCTCCATATCATACTCCACTGAAAGCGCTACAGTCAGGAAATGGAGACCTGGTGGTCCAGAGTTGTTGTGTTTGTTGATGTCTTTCTAGCCTGTCATTCACTAGGTGGTAGTAGTGTTTCTGTATCACACTGTCAATCCAACCTTTGAACTGGGTCAGATAATAGAGAGGAGAGATAACCCACATGAAAAATTACTACAGTTTACTATAGAGGTCTGTAGTAAACTGTAGAATACTATACGACACACTGTGAAAGCCTCCACTTCTATGTCAAAGATAATAAAACAAAAACACTATAGTAAATACTACAATAATGTCCGCAAAAACACTACAGTAAATACTACAGTATATTACAGTCCGCAAAAACACTACAGTAAATACTACAGGATACTACAATCCGCAGAAACACTACATTAATTACTATAGAATATACTACCGTTTTCTTTCACTACAGTATTTATACTATAGTTAACTGTAAATACTAAATACTACAGTAAATACTATAGTATTCACTGTAGTGTTTTTGTGGACTTCAGTCTGCAAAAACACTACAGTGAATACTACAGTAAAGTCTGCAAAAACACTACAGTGAATACTATATTATATGAATATAGTAATACTACAGTATTTAGACCATAGTATAATATAGTATGTTTTATATGGGAACCCTGTCAAAGTCCATAGAGGACAGATACACACCAACCAGCTGAACTTTGCCCCAAACCAGGCAGACTGGGGGTGGGGAACAGAGGTCGGTGGGCCATCATTGATCTCCAATAAGGGGTAGGAAGAGCTACAGCGCAAATACTACAATGCTAGTTTGACTGAATTGAGCCTTGGATTCATTTCAATACCCCCAATAACATGTGGGTACCCTTTACAGTTAGAATGTGTTTAATTATAAAAGTGTTACATACAAGCATTCCAGGTACAACGAGAACTGTCCTCACATCAGAACATTTTTGTGATGTGATTCTTCAAATTATCTAGCTTCAAATTACTGTCTAATTGAGTCTTTGATGTAAAACATGTTTTGACATACTACATATGTTTCTTTATTCAGTTGTGAAACTATTTCTTCTCGGCCCCCAGGTGTTTTTCAGGGCAGCCCAGCCAGTACTTGCCGATGGACCTGGGGTAAGGAGGGCTGGCTGGGTCCACTTTCTTGGTTTTCAGATCCACTCTGTAGTATTTATCTGCAAAATAAATACAGAGAATATATCTGGTGGATTTCAAGTTTTTCTGTGCCCTTAGGGTGTGTTTAATGGGGGGCTAGGTTAAAAAGCAAAAGGACAATAAAGCATCCTTCCTTACCTCCCTTGAAGAAGTAGACGCTCTGCACTGGCTGGCCCTTGTTGACAAACTCCCAGTAGGCCCTTTCCTCAATGTTGTATCTGGAGTCATAGTTGTATCCATCTCTTCTCCTGTCCCGGTCATCCCTCCTCCTATCCCTGTCTCTGTCTTCATCCCTGGCATCCGTCCGGCGCATGTCCCACCCTCCAAACATCCCCTCCATAGCCATCCCCCTCTCCGCCAGCTTTCGACCGAGATCCATCCCCCTCTCAGCGAATCCTTTCCCTACATCAATCCCCTTCTCTGCGAACGCCTGCCCCATAGCCATTCCCGTCCCAGCACCCCAGTAAGACTGGCGCCTATTTCTGCGGCGGCCCCACTGCTGTTCCCACTGCTGTCCATATTGTTGCCCATTTTGCTGTCCATTTAACTGATCCTGTTGACCATACTGCCCCCACTGTTGGTCCCATGGCTGGCGTCTTCTGTCGTTGCGGTCCCATAGAGGGGGTAACGGTGGGGACAGGGGTGGGGCCAGTGGCCTGGGGGTGATGTAGAGTCTGCCTGTCATGACAGCGTCCACTGGGGCCTTGATGCCGATCCAGTCCTTGTTGATGAACCGATGCCCACCATGGTGGTTGGGGACTGGGGGAGAGAGAACGACAGATGAGATATAGCATTAGATTAAAACTGTTCTTGTTTGTTAAGCAACCATTTTCTTAAAGTCAATATTGTGCCATTAATTATTCCTTATATGCTCTTTCTTCACCTCCTCAATACGCATTGGATGAGAAGGTCCGCAGGTAAGAGACTTGGATTTTCTTCTCCAATGTGTTTTGAGAAGAAGGAATGGAAAGAGGACGTGAGGATACAAGAAAATATCATTGAGAAAGAGCTATAGCCTCTTATATGTATGTATGTATGTATGTATGTATGTGTATATGTATGTATTTATATGTGTATATATATGTGTGTGTCACGCCCTGACTCAGGGGACTCGTATATGTTGAGTCAGGGTGTGAATATTCTTTGTTATGTAGTATTTTCTATGGGTGTTATTCTAGTATGTGTAGTTCTATGTTGGCCGGTGTGGTTCCCAATCAGAGGCAGCTGTCGCTCGTTGTCTCTGATTGGGGATCATACTTATGCAGCCTATTTGCACTTGTGGGTTGTGGGATCTTGTTCCGGGTAAGGTTTGTTGTCTGTACAACCTTAGGACTTCACGTTTCGTTTGTTTGTTGTTTTGTCGTGTGTTTATTCAGTGTAAATTAACATGTACGTATATCACGCTGCGCCTTGGTCTGACCCGTCATTCAACGAACGTGACAGTGTGTATGTATGTATGTGTATATATGTACAGTACCAGTCAAAAGTTTGGACACACCTACTCATTCAAGGGTTTCTCTTTATTTTTACTATTTTCTACATTGTAGAATAATAGTGAAGACATCAAAACTATGAAATAACACATATGGAATCATGTAGTAACCAAAAAAGTGTTAAACAAATAAAAAAATATTTTATATTTGAGATTCTTCAAATAGCCACCCTTTGCCTTGATGACAGCTTTGCACACTCTTGGCATTCTCTCAACCAGCTTCACCTGGAATGCTTTTCCAACATTCTTGATGAACACTTGTTGGCTGCTTTTCCTTCACTCTGCAGTCCGACTCATCCCAAACCATCTCAACTGGGTTGAGGTTGGGGGATTGTGGAGGCAAGGTCATCTGATGCAGCACTCCATAACTCTCCTTCTTGGTAAAATAACCCTTACACAGCCTGGAGGTGTGTTGGGTCATTGTCCTGTTTAAAAACAAAAGATAGTCCCACTAAGCCCAAACCAGATGGGATGGCGTATCGCTGCAGAATGCTGTGGTAGCCATGTTGGTTAAGTGTAACTTGAATTCTAAACAAATCACAGACAGTGTCACCAGTAAAGCACCCCCACACCATAACACCTCCTCCTCCATGCTTTACGGTGGGAAATACACATGCGGAGATAATTAGTTCACCCACACTGCGTCTCACAAAGACGCGGCGGTTGGAACCAAAAATCTCAAATTTGGACTCCAGACCAAAGGACACATTTCCACCGGTCTAATGTCCATTGCTCGTGTTTCTTGGCCCAAGCAAGTCTCTTCTTCTTATTGGTGTGCTTTAGTAGTGGTTTCTTTGAAGCAATTTGACCATGAAGGCCTGATTCACACAGTCTCCTCTGAACAGTTGATGTTGAGATGTGTCTGTTATTTGAACTCCGTGAAGCATTTATTTGGGCTGCAATTTCTGAGGCTGGTAACTCTAATGAACTTATCCTCTGCAGCAGAGGTAACTCTGGGTCTTCCTTTCCTGTGGCGGTCCTCATGAGAGCCAGTTTCATCATAGCGCTTGATGGTTTTTGCGACTGCACTTGAAGAAACTTTTAAAGTTCTTGACATTTTCCGTATTGACTGACCTTCATGTCTTAAAGTAATGATGGACTGTCATTTCGTTTTGCTTATTTGAGCTGTTCTTGCCATAATATGGACTTGGTCTTTTACCAAATAGGGCTATCTTCTGTATACCCCCCTACCTTGTCACAACACAACTGATTGGCTAAAACGCATTAAGGAAAGAAATTACACAAATTAACTTTTAAGAAGGCACACCTGTTAATTGAAATGCATTCCAGGTGACTACCTCATGAAACTGGTTGAGAGAATGCCAAGAGTGTGCAAAGCTGTCATCAAGGTAAAGGGTGGCTACTTAGAAGAATCTCAAAAATAAAATATATTTATTTTTGTTTAACACTTTTTTGGTTACTACATAATTCCATATGTGTTATTTCATAGTTTTGATGTCTTCACTATTATTTTACAGTGTAAAAAATAGTAAAAATAAAGAAAAACCCTTAGTAGGTGTGTCCAAACTTTTGACTGGTAGTGTATATGTATATTTGCAAAAATATATATGGGGGATTGGAAGTGATGCAGACAATTACGTTGATGGAAGCTACAATCTATCTGCAATATTAAAGCTGATCTACCCCCTAAAAAAATAAAAATAAAAGACCTCTATAGCCTCTTACTGCCTCTGAAGAGCATGTTGAAGAGTTCCTCCCAGTTGTTATAGTAGATGTCAGTGTAGGCTGTGAACAGAGCGGAGGGAGACCCAGCTGACATCTTGATACACTCCTCATGTGATGGCTGGTGCTTGAACTCATATTGGTAGTACTGGTCACCTGGGAACACAGACAAACAACTGGTCTGTTAATAAAACAGATTATGTGAAAAGAAATACAGTGGAAACAGTGAGTTAATCACTTCATTGTGGCTATATCTTCCATCATTTGAATAAATTCAGGAGGATGACTAACATTGAGAGGTATTCTCAAGTGTAAATACATACTTTTACATTATCAAACAAAAACAAATTCCATCACTTATCAATTAGCAACTGCCTAATGGATTGTATTTTGTTGCAATTTATGTTCTTCGTTTAAGATTTGGTCTGACCTTTGAAGAAGTAGACCTTCTCTTTGGCGTGGTGTCCAGGGGCTGCTATGGCGAAGGCTGCGTCCACGTCGTCTGGTATCTTCTCAAAGCCCACGTTGATATCCCTGGGATAGTCCTCCTCCAGCACACCATCATCAAACCGCCAGTACTTGTTACCCTGTTGGAGGATGTACAATTTGAAAAAAAATATGTTTGGAATGAATACATTTAATTTATATCAGTGAAGTTGGCGATTTATAACAAATGTATTACATTTATAAAATGTATAATAAATACAGACAGCTAGAGATATAATTTCCATCTACCAAACTTCTACCATCCTATCAACATTTAATCTTTAGTCTACGCTCTCTAGCCAGGGTATTCATCCCACCTTGAACATGTATGTCTTGCCCTGGCAGTTGATTCGAGTGAAGGCAGCATCTATAGGTCCTCTGATACCCCAGATGTCCTGGATCAGTTTGGGGTAGCCGGGCATCACAGACTTCTCATCCAGCTCAAAGAACCACTCCCCTAGGAGAGGGCACAAAACAAACACATACATAGAGATACAGATAAACAGAACCTCTCCTGGTGTTTTTCTCCCAACCACTGACTCCCTTCACACCTCTGAAGGTGACGGGGTAAGACCCATGAAGACCCTTACCTCTGAAGGTGACGGGGGAAGACCCATGAAGAGCCTTACCTCTGAAGGTGATGGGGTAAGACCCATGAAGACCCTTACCTCTGAAGGTGACAGGGTAAGACCCATGAAGACTCATACCTCTTAAGGTGACGGGGTAAGACCCATGAAGACCCTTATCTCTGAAGGTGACAGGGAAAGACCCATGAAGACCCTTACCTCTGAAGGTGACAGGGTAAGACCCATGAAGACTCTTACCTCTGAAGGTGACGGGGTAAGACCCATGAAGACCCTTATCTCTGAAGGTGATGGGGTAAGACCCATGAAGACCCTTACCTCTGAAGGTGATGGGGTAAGACCCATGAAGACTCTTACCTCTGAAGGTGACGGGGTAAGACCCATGAAGACCCTTATCTCTGAAGGTGACAGGGTAAGACCCATGAAGACCCTTACCTCTGAAGGTGATGGGGTAAGACCCATGAAGACCCTTACCTCTGAAGGCGTAGACAGAGCCGTTCTTGAGCTGCATTAGGGAGTCCCAGGGCCTGCTGCTGCATGGCTCAGCATCTGGGTCTACTACCGGTGCCTTGGTGGTCGTCACCACTTCTTCTGTGGTTGTCTCCACTTCCGCTGTTGTGACTGGAGCTTCTGTTGTGACTAGCTCTGCCTCTATTACTGTTACTGTGGCTTTCTGGGGGACTGAGATTTTCTGTTGGACTGAGGGTACCTGTGGGACTGATGTTACCTCGGTGGCTTTAGCTGTCTCCGGGAGTGGGACTACCACTGGGACTTGGCCTCTCTGTGGGCCTCGAGCTGCGCCTCGAGCTGTCTCTATCTCTGGGCTTGCCTTTGTGGCAATTGTGGTAGGAGTAGGGGTGGTGTTGGGGGTTCTGAGGCGTGTGGTTTGCCTACGTTGGCCCCCTGACAAGCTGGATTCCCCGTCTTCAGGTTTGGTCAGGGAGGCGGGCGTTGTAGGGGCAAATGGACCATCATCATCCTCTGCAAATTCAAAGGTGTCCCCACGTGCTGAATGAAACAAAGGTCACATTAAATGAATCATACAATGAATTCTAAGCAAAATATTATGTGAATGTTGAACATATGCAACTCATCACCATGTTAATCAGTGGTGCATTATTCAATATGACCTTTAAAGGTTGTTAAAAGGGAAATCAGTAACTTTTGTAACACACACACACTCTCTTCTTACTTTTCATACGACAGGCGGTCTCGTAGTCTGAGCAGCAACTCTTGTAGTACCGACACATGGTGTCACACTGGCAATTCTTCTTGGAGTCGAAGCCGTTCTCACAACGGTCTATGCATGACTCTGACACACAAGGACAGCACAGAGAGGTAACTTATAAATGACCATGGAACAGCAAAAATTCTCCAATATACTGTCCCTAACTGAGTTTCCAAATACTATCTTGAAATTCATGAGTTCATCAGTAACAACTCAGTAAAATTTCAACCAAAATGTCACCACTACATTTTCAAGTAAACCTAGATGATATATTTTTTTATGGTATACTTACCCTCTGCAGCAAACACAGTAGCTAGCCCGGCTAGCAGGAGGATCAGCCCGAGCCTCATGCTGTCTGTCTCTTTGAGTCTCTCTGGGTGTGTGACTGAGAGGACACAGGGATAGAGAACAGTGTGCTACTAATCAATTACCAATGCAATGCAGTGGCTACCAGTGTCATTCACCTCTGCAGAATGTTTACTTAAACCTTGTTTCAACTTTGTTTCAACCTTGTTTTTGCTGAAGCAATCAGTAAGTTAGCTTTTATCGTTTTAAAGAACTTATGAAAGAGATTGGTCTTTTTTCTCACTATCTAATCATGGCATGGGGTTGTTCAATGACATACATATAATTGTTGGAAATCTATCACTTGATGGTTTCATTTCAGAGAGACAAATAAGCATGTTTTTTTTGCAAAACGCTATATATCTGCCTCACTCTCAGATAAATAAGTACTACTGCTGGTTTGACATAGTCAAATGTAACAAATAACATTTTTAATAAATAACTGTACAAATGATACATTTGTGACATCAATAATTACAAATGTTTTTACAAAATGAATCAATACAGTGATATGATATCTGTATGTAAAACATTTACATTTGACATTTTAGTCATTTAGCAGATGCTCTTATCCAGGGCGACATACAGATAAGATCAATGCACTAAGATAGCTAGGTGAGACAACCACATATCAAATATACAGTATACGAACATTCCATTCCAGCTAAACAATGAATAAATAGCGTTGAGCAAAAAACAAAACAATTTAATACACATCTAAAATCTATGACAAAAAAATCTTAGAACAGTACTAGGAAGGTACCCATAAGCAATCATTTCTATTGAAAGAACACAAATGTGAAAGATTGGTGGATATAGCTTTTTGGAAATAAACTCTTCAAATAAAGCGAGAGAGCGAGAGAGTTAGAGTTCCAATTGTCTAATTAATCTACTTTTAAGAAGTTAAAAGTAACTTTTCGGATTACACAAAATCCGAAAGCTCACAGTATAGATGTCTGAGTGATCAATAGTGTAGCCTAACACAGTTTTTGTTAGTGGCCTTGTTGGTCTGGTTGATAAGAGAATCACTGATACTATTTGTAAATGTTGTAAATTATGTAAATTCAATCATTAAAGGGGCAATCTGCAGTTCTAACAATAACAAAGCGTTCACCACACCCCGCCAATGTTTCGGTAAACAGCTGAGGGATGGGGCTGGAGAAATGTAACCAATCTCAAATTTTTACAAATTCATTAAAAATGAAAAGCTGAAATGTCTTGAGTAAATTAGTATTCAACACCTTTGTTATGGTAAGCCTAAATAGGTTCAGGAGTAAAAATGTGCTTAACAAGTCACATAAATTGCAAGGACTAATAATAGTGCAATAATAGTGTTTAACATGATTTTTGAAAGACTACCTCATCTCTGTACCCCACACATACAATTATCTGTAAAGTCCCTCAGTTGAGCAGTGAATTTTAAACACAGATTCAACCACAAAGACCAGGGAGTTTTTCCAATGCCTCACAAAGAAGGGGACATATTGGTAGATTGGTTAAAATAAAGAAGCAGACATTGTATATCCCTTTGAGCATGGTGAAGTTATTAATTATACTTTGGATGGTGTATTAATACACCCAGTCACTACAAAGAGTTGCTTACCAAGAAGACAGTGAATGTTCCTGAGTGGCCGAGTTACAGTTTTGACTTAAATCTGCTTGGAAAATTTGACAGATCTTGAAGAATTTTGAAAAGAATAATAGACAAATGTTTCACAATCCAGGTGTGGAAAGCTCTTAGAGATGTACCCGTAAAGACACAGCTGTAATCGCTGCCAAAGGTGCTTTTACAAAGTATTGACTCAGGGGTGTGAATACTTACACTACTGATCAAAAGTTTTAGAACACCTACTCATTCAACGGTTTTTCTTTATTTTTACTATCTTCTACATTGCAGAATAATAGTGAAGACATCAAAACTATGAAATAACACATGTGGAATCATGTAGTAACCAAAAAAAGTGTTAAACAAATCAAAATATATTTTATATTTGAGATTCTTCAAATAGACACCCTTTGCCTTGATGACATCTTTGCACACTCTTGGCATTCTCCCAACCAGCTTCATGAGGTAGTCACCTGGAATGCATTTCAGTTAACAGGTGTGCGTTCTTAAAAGTTAATTTGTGGAATTTCTTTCCTTCTTAATGCGTTTGAGCCAATCAGTTGTGTTGTGACAAGGTAGAGGGGGGTATACAGAAGCTGGCCCTATTTGGTAAAAGACCAAGTCCATATTACGGCAAGAACAGCTCAAATAAGCAAAGAGAAATGACAGTCCATCATTACTTTAAGACATGAAGGTCAGTCAATATGGAAAATGTCAATAACTTTTAAACATTTCTTCAAGTGCAGTCGCAAAAACCATCAAGCGCTATGATGAAACTGGATCCCATGAGGACCGCCACAGGAATGGAAGACCCAGACTTACCTCTGCTGCAGAGGATAAGTTCATTAGAGTTACCAGCCTCAGAAATTGCAGCCCAAATAAATGCTTCACAGAGTTCAAGTAACGGACACATCTCAACATCAACTGTTCAGAGGAGACTGTGTGAATCAGGCCTTCATCGTCGAATTGCTGCAAAGAAACCACTACTAAAGGACACCAATAAGAAGAAGAGACTTGCTTGGGACAAGAAACACGAGCAACGGACATTAGACTGGTGGAAATGTATCCTTTGGTCTGGAGTCCAAATGTGAGATTTTTGGTTCCAACCACCGTGTCTTTGTGAGACGCGGTGTGGTTGAACGGATGATCTCAGTATGTGTAGTTCCCACCGTAAAGCATGGAGGAGGAGGTGTTATGGTGTGGGGGTGCTTTGCTGGTGACACTGTCTGTGATTTATTTAGAATTCAAGGAATACTTGCAGTGGGGGAAAAAAGTATTTAGTCAGCCACCAATTGTGCAAGTTCTCCCACTTGAATAGATGAGAGAGGCCTGTAATTATCATCATAGGTACACGTCAACTATGACAAACAAATTGAGATTATTTTTCTCCAGAAAATCACATTGTAGGATTTTTAATGAATTTATTTGCAAATTATGGTGGAAAATAAGTATTTGGTCACCTACAAACAAGCAAGATTTCTGGCTCTCACAGACCTGTAACTTCTTCTTTAAGAGGCTCCTCTGTCCTCCACTCGTTACCTGTATTAATGGCACCTGTTTGAACTTGTTATCAGTATAAAAGACACCTGTCCACAACCTCAAACAGTCACACTCCAAACTCCACTATGGCCAAGACCAAAGAGCTGTCAAAGGACACCAGAAACAAAATTGTAGACCTGCACCAGGCTGGGAAGACTGAATCTGCAATAGGTAAGCAGCTTGGTTTGAAGAAATCAACTGTGGGAGCAATTATTAGGAAATGGAAGACATACAAGACCACTGATAATCTCCCTGGATCTGGGGCTCCACGCAATATCTCACCCCGTGGGGTCAAAATGATCACAAGAACGGTGAGCAAAAATCCCAGAACCACACAGGGGGACCTAGTGAATGACCTGCAGAGAGCTGGGACCAAAGTAACAAAGCCTACCATCAGTAACACACTACGCCGCCAGGGACTCAAATCCTGCAGTGCCAGACGTGCCCCCCTGCTTAAGCCAGTACATGTCCAGGCCCATCTGAAGTTTGCTAGAGTGCATTTGGATGATCCAGAAGAGGATTGGGAGAATGTCATATGGTCAGATGAAACCAAAATATAACTTTTTGGTAAAAACTCAACTCGTCGTGTTTGGAGGACAAAGAATGCTGAGTTGCATCCAAAGAACACCATACCTACTGTGAAGCATGGGGGTGGAAACATCATGCTTTGGGGCTGTTTTTCTGCAAAGGGACCAGGACAACTGATCCGTGTAAAGGAAAGAATGAATGGGGCCATGTATCCTGAGATTTTGAGTGAAAACCTCCTTCCATCAGCAAGGGCATTGAAGATGAAACGTGGCTGGGTTTTTCAGCATGACAATGATCCCAATCACACCGCCCGGGCAACGAAGGAGTGGCTTCGTAAGAAGCATTTCAAAGTCCTGGAGTGGCCTAGCCAGTCTCCAGATCTCAACCCCATAGAAAATCTTTGGAGGGAGTTGAAAGTCTGTGTTGCCCAGCGACAGCCCCAAAACATCACTGCTCTAGAGGAGATCTGCATGGAGGAATGGGCCAAAATACCAGCAACAGTGTGTGAAAACCTTGTGAAGACTTACAGAAAATGTTTGACCTGTGTCACTGTCAACAAAGGGTATATAACAAAGTATTGAGAAACTTTTGTTATTGACCAAATACTTATTTTCCACCGTAATTTGCAAATAAATTCATTAAAAATCCTACAATGTGATTTTCTGGATTTTGTTTTCTCATTTTGTCTGTCATAGTTGACGTGTACCTATGATGAAAATTACAGGCCTCTCTCATCTTTTTAAGTGGGAGAACTTGCACAATTGGTGGCTGACTAAATACTTTTTTTCCCCACTGTAACCAGCATGGCTACCACAGCATTCTGCAGCGATACACCATCCCATCTGGTTTGGGCTTAGTGGGACTATCATTTGTTTTTCAACAGGACAATGACCCAACACACCTCCAGGCTGTGGAAGGGCTATTTTTACCAAGAAGGAGAGTGATGGAGTGCTGCTTTAGATGACCTGGCCTCCACAATCCCCCGACCTCAACCAAATTGAGATGGTTCGGGATGAGTCGGACCGCAGAGTGAAGGAAAAGCAGCCAACAAGTGCTCAGCATATGTGGGAACTCCTTCAAGACTGTTGGAAAAGCATTCCAGGTGAAGCTGGTTGAGAGAATGCCAAGAGTGTGCAAAGTTGTCATCAAGGCAAAGGGTGGCTATTTGAAGAATCTCAAATATAAAATATATTTTGATTTGTTTAACACTTTTTTGGTTACTACATGATTCCATATGTGTTATTTCATAGTTTTGATGTCTTCACTATAATTCTACAATGTAGAAAATAGTAAAAATAAATAAAAACCTTTGAATGAGTAAGTGTTCTAAAACTTTTGACCGGTAGTGTATGTACATTCGATTTTTCTGTATTTCATTTTCAATACATTTGCAAAATTTTCTGAAATAATATTTTAACTTTGTCATTATGGGGGTATTGTGTGTAGATGGGTGAGAAAATAAATATTTAATCCATTTAATTTCAGGCTGTAACACAACAAAATGTGGCAGGTAGCTTAGTGGGTAAGAGTGTTGTGCCAGTAACCGAAAGGTCGCTGGTTCTAATCACTGAGCCGACTAGCTGAAAAATCTGAAGATGTGCCCTTAAGCAAGGCACTTAACCCTAATTGCTCCTGTAAATCGCTCTGGATAAGAGCGTCTGCTAAATTACAAAAAAAAAAAAAAAGGGGTAAGAATACTTTCTGAAGGCACTGTAGCCTATATTAAAAATTCAACAAATGGATGTAGAAATCGCAGATTGCCCCTTTAAGCAACAGTAAAAGGCCTAATGACTGCAATGGACGACATATTGTTATTTGTTTCTGCTGATATAGTCATTGATGTGTACTGTTTTATCTTATTGTAGCTCAATAATAACCTATTTAGCACAGCCGATGTGTGTAACGCCTTGTGGATTAATTATGCTTCTACCTTTATCCACAAGGGGGCATAGTGGAGATGAGCACCATACTGGCGCTTTGTTGCTGAGCGGACCTCCGCCTGATATATTTGTCTCTAAATATATCTTGAAGAATGGGCGGTCCTAGTTTCGACGATGCTCGATGATGCTGAGGCAAGGATGTCAAAAAGAGAGGCTATTTTAATAATACGGAAATAAGATATATATTTTTTGTGGATTAAAGCATAACAATAGAGTAATGTGAATAGAGAGGAAAAAGGAAAACCGTGAGAGGCATTTTGATGAACAGTGCGTCTTTGTCTAGATTAAACCTCAGTAATGCCAGCGAGAGACAGAAGACAACAGAGCTGTTTATATTTCTCCATCCAACTGGTAAACGTAATTTGATGTCGAATGGGCTTTTTGAGAAAAAATATTTCTGTCTAGCAGCTCTCTAAACATCCGCAGCGGTGATACATTATTTCATAGTGGACACAGTGGAGGTTTGATAATTTATTTGGAGTCAGGTTATTCTGAGTAGACATAATTTGATCCAAGAAGGCCTTGTGTAAATGATAGGAGAAAACGGAGGACATCCGTGTTTAAATGCAAACATAGTGTGACTGCTTGGTCATGATGATGCGAGATGAGTAAGTCTTTATCCACTTATTTTCAAAGATGACATCAGTGTGATGATGATGCAATTTACTGAAAGCTGTCACTTTTAATTTAAAGTTTAGCATCCAGTCCAAATGATGGGATTGTAATTTCACCTATTGTGGTTTGTTTATGTATCTAAAAAACTCGAATGCAAGACAAACATTGTTTCCAATTCAGTTCTAACCAGGTCATTACCCACACGTTTATTTCTTAAACAATTGATCTGAGATTGATCAGGGCCTGCAACAAATCCTCTTGGCCCTGTCAGTGATAATCGGTGGATGCTCTTATCTCTAACCGTTTTCCTCTGGAGACTCTATCGATACCTCTCCATGTTCAGCTCCGAAAGACTCACGGTACCGGAATATGTCAGCCGGATTGGGAACCGGAGATCGGGCAGCTCTAGCTCATCCTCGGAACCGAAAGCACCACCGGTCTCACCGGGTGTCCATGGTGCCGACGTACAGGATGTTTTGGACACCTCACTCCCGGCCCTGCGCTCTGCTATCAAGACACTGAAATCAGCCAAAGATACCTCGGATCTAGACGAGACCCGCAGGGCCATCGCAGAGACGTTCCAGTTAGTAGAGGAGGCCTGGGTTCTGCCCACTGTGGGCAGGCAGGTCGCAGAGGAGATATGCAACAGGATACGACTGGACGGAGGACTGGAGCTGCTCCTGCAACTCCTCATGACACCTGCTGTGGAGATCACCTATGAGTCTGCCAAACTACTGGAGCAGATACTGGTCTCTGAGAACAGGTGTGTATTCACTTACATGCACTTTTTCTGTTATACAAAATATTGTCTTGGTCCTAACCTTTAGGGCCAGTTTCCAGGACCCACATACAGTAAGTCTTAGTCTTTATAAACCTAGTTATATACTCATCTTTTTGTTTACCCTTTTCCCCTCTCTCTCTCTTCCTATTCAGAGACTACGTGGCTCGCATAGGTCTGGGGGTGATCCTGAACCTGACGAGGGAGACCGAGGATGCCCAGCTGGCCCGCAGTGTCTCAGGCATCCTGGAGCACATGTTCAAACACACCGAGGAGACGTCTGCCCAGCTCATCGCCAACGGCGCCCTGGATGCCCTGCTCTTCTGGTGCCGCGGTACCGACCCCACCGTCCTCCGCCACTGTGCCGTGGCGCTCGCCAACTGTGCCATGTACGGCGGCCATCGCTGCCAGCGGCTGATGATCGAGAAGCAGGCGGCAGAGTGGTTGTTTCCATTGGCGTTCTCCAAAGAGGACGAGCTCATCCGCTTCCATGCGTGTTTAGCGGTGGCCGTGCTTGCCAATAACCGGGAGATTGAGAAGGAGGTGGGTCCTGTGTGGCTCAGTTAGTAGAGCATGGAGCTTGTAATGCCAGGGTGGTTGGTTCGATTCCTGCTTGGGCCAACCATACGGAAACATGTATGAAAACATGTATGCACTCTGGATAAGAGCGTCTGCTAAATGACTAAAATGTTATTTTTTTAAATATGCGCGTAATGCTCTAAATCGCCTTGGATTAAAGCATCTGTTAAACATATTATTATAGGTGGTGAAGTCGGGGACGTTGGAGCTGGTGGAGCCCTTTATTGCATCTCTGGACCCTGATGAGTTTGCCCGGAGCTTGCTGGACAGTGCGGACAGCATGCAGGGGAGGACGGCTGCAGACCTACAGCAGCTCCTGCCACTACTGGATGGGGCCAGACTGGAGGGGAAGTGTATCGCTGCCTTCTACCTGTGTGTCGAAACCAGCATCAAGTCACGCCAGCGCAACACCAAGGTCAGTATCAGGGAACAAAAGCACAACTGGTTCAACCTTGATGAGCAGTTGATTTGCTGAATCAGATGTGTTAGTGCTGGGCTGGAACAAAAGCTTGCACGCCCTCCCTGTAGCTCCCTGGTTGGTGACCACTATACTTTAGTGCAGTGTTTCCCTAACTCGGCCCTCAGGACCCCAAGGGTGCACGTTTTGGTTTTGGCCATAACACTACACAGCTGATTCAAATTATCAAAGCTTGATGATTAGTTGATTAATTTAATCAGATGTGTAGTGCTAGGGCAAAAACCAAACCGTGCACCCCTTGGGGTCCCGAGGACCAAGTTTGGGTAACCCTGCTTTAGGGGTTAGTGGATACAACCTTATGGGGCCTAAAACTACTTATGGTGCCCACTTCCTAACTATATATCAAATCAAATCAAATTGTATTTGTCACATGCTTCGTAAACAACAGGGGTAGACTAACAGTGAAATGCTTACTTACGGGCCCTTCCCAACAATGCAGAGAGAAAAAATAGAAAAATAATAACACAAGGAATAAATACACAATGAGTAACGATAACTTGGCTATATACACAGGGTACCAGTACCGAGTCGATGTGCAGGGGTACGAGGTAATTGAGGTAGATATGTACATATAGGTAGGGGTAGTGACTAGACAACAGGATAGATAATAAACAGTAGCAGCAACATATGTAATCAGTCAAAAGAGTTAGTGCAAAAAGGTTAAATGCAGATAGTCCGGGTAGCTATTTGGTTAACTATTTAATAATCTTATGGCTTGGGGGTAGAAGCTGTTCAAGGTTCTGTTGGTTCCAGACTTGGTGTATCGGTACCGCTTGCCGTGCGGTAGCAGAGAGAACAGACTTGGGTGGCTGAAGTCTTTGAAAATGTTTAGGGCCTTCCTCTGACATCATCTGGCATAGAAGTCCTGGATGGCAGGGAGCTCAACCCAAGTGATGTACTGGACCGTACGCACTACCATCTGTAGTGCCTTGCGGTCGGATGCCAAGCAGTTACCATACCAAGCGGTGATGCAGCCAGTCAGGATGCTCTCAATGGTGCAGCTGTAGAACCTTTTGAGGATCTGAGGGCCCATGCCAAATCTTTTCAGCCTGCTAAAAGGGAAGAGGCGTTGTCGTGCCTTCTTCAAGACTGTGTTGGTGTGTGTGGGCTAGGGTTGCACGATATTGGAAATAACTGACATTGCGATATTTTGTTTTTCTGCTATATATATTGCAATATGAAAAAATACAGGATGTATGTATGATACTCTGGGAAAAATGCAGTTTGCAAACAGCGACTTTTCAGGTGGAAGTCCTCATTAATAAAGTGTATGGTCAGACTTATGTAGGGCTCCGTTGTCCGGCTGGACCACAAGTCCGTTGTTGCTGTATAATATTCCACTTGTGACAGCTCTGTTTCAACTTGTGCCTTGCATTTCTCGTACAACTCTGGGATGGCAACTTGAGAAAAATAGTTGCGTGATGGCATTACATACCGCTTGTCAAGCGACCCGATCATGTTTTTAAAACCCTCTTTGGTAACCGTATTAATTGGTACCATGTCTTTGGCGACGTGAAATGTTATTGAATCTGTGATTTCTCTCTGCCGTTTGGAACCTTTCTCGTATGGTGTAATATTGGCAAAGGCATCCAAAATAGATTTTTGCTTTGGAGGGCATTTAGATGCTTTGCACTCGTCATACGAAGATTTATGGTGCCGCGTTAAATGATCGAACAATTTGGTCGTGTTGCCTCGTGTTGTGGCAACAATTGCAAGGCACTCTCGACAAAGTACCTGTTTTTGGTCAACATCATACTGTCTGTAGCCGAAATATTTCCATATAATTGAGGATGCATTTCTTTTTGCAACCAAATTCTCAATTTCGGTATTTTTTGCCTGTTCCTCGCTCATCATTTCCTCACGCGCAAGCAGAGCCTGCATGTCAACCACGTGCAGCAACGAACTCCGTGTTTAAAATAATAATAATAATAATAAACTGTGTATCCAATAACCCATCAATCTGAGTAAATTACATTATATCAGACAAATATAATGCTAGTTTATCATTTAAAAATATATATATATTGGAGACTGATATATGTTTACCTTACTAAATCGCACGTTCTGCGATGTGACTATTGCGGATGCATACATCACAATGTCGATGCTGAAACAATATATCGTGCAGCCCTAGTGTGGACCATGTTAATTCTTTAGTGATATGGACACAAGGAACTTGAAGCTCTCGACCTGCTCCACTACAGCACCGATGATGTGGATGGGGGTGTGCTCTGCCCTCCGTTTCCTGTAGTGCATGATCAGCTCCTTTGTCTTGCTGACGTTTAGGGAGAGGTTGTTTTCCTGGCACCACACTGCCAGGTCACTGACCTCCTCTCTATAGGTGGTCTCATCGTCGTCGGTGATCAGGCCTACCACTGTCGTGTCATCAGCAAACTTAATGAAGGTGTTGGAGTCGTTCACAGCCACGCAGTCGTGGGTGAACAGGGAGTACAGGAGGGGACTAAGCACGCACCCCTGAGGGGCCCCTGTGTTGCGGGTCAGTGTGGCATCCGGAACTGCTAGTGCTCTCATGCATGGTTCAGTGTTACTTGCCTCAAAGCGAGCATAGAAGGCATTTAGCTCGTCTGGTAGGCTCGCCTCACTGGGCAGCTCGCGGCTGGGTTTCGCTTTGTAATCCGTGATAGTTTGCAAGCCCTGCCACATCCGAAGAGCATTAGAGCCAGCGTAGTAGGATTTGGTCTTAGTCCTGTATTGATCCTTTGCCTTTTTGATGGCTCGTCAGAGGTCGTAGCAGGATTTCTTATAAGCGTCCGGATTAGTGTCCCGCTCCTTTAAAGCAGTAGCTCTAGCCTGTAGCTCAGTGCAGATGTTGCCTGTAATCCATGGCTTTTGGTTGGGATATGTACGTACGGTCACTGTGGGGATGACGTCGTTGATGCACTTATTAATGAAGCCGGTGACTGATGTGATAAACTCCTCAATGTTATCGGATGAATACCGGAACTTTTCCAGTCTGTGCTAACGAAACAGTCCTGTAGCTTAGCATCCGCTTCATCGGACCACTTCCGTATTGAGCACATCACTGGTACTTCCTGTTTTGCTTGTAAGCAGGAATCAGGAGGATAGAGTTATGGTCAGATTTGCCAAAGGGAGGGCAAGGGAGAGCCTTGTATGTGTTTCTGTGTATGGAGTAAATGTGATGAATAGTTTTGTTGCATGTAGTTGCACTGATGACATGCTGGTAAAAATGAGGTAAAACAGAGTTCAGTTTCCCCGCATTAAAATCACCGGCCCTACAATATCAATAGACATACAATTGAATGTGTGTACATTCTTCCTTCCAGATCTTCCAGGAGATAGGTGCGGTGCAGAGCCTGAAAAGGATCGTCATGTACTCCAGCAACGGGACGGCCTGTGCCCTGGCGAAGCGGGCACTGGGGATGATGGGGGAGGAGGTGCCACGACGTATCCTCTCCTCCGTGCCCAACTGGAAGGGTGGTGAGGTGCAGAGATGGCTCCAAGTTATTGGATTCAGCGCTTACACTGAGCGCTTCCAGGTGTGTGTTTCTGTGTCTCAGTGTGTGTGTGTGAGAGAGAAAGAGAGATAGAGATAGCGATTGCAAAAGACAAGGTTTGAACAATAAAGAATGAGAAAGCTCTTCTATAGTCCTTGTAGAGATGTTGAGAAAATAAGGTGAATGTTTGGTTTCATATCTATTAGATATGGATACCTACAGGTAACTGCCAAAATACTGGAAACACTTGAGTAAATGAGGGATACAAAGTACATTGAAAGCAGGTGCTTTCACGCAGTTGTGGTTCCTGAGTTAATTAACCAATTAACATATCATCATGCTTAGGGTCATGTAATGACGTAAATGTAAATGTATAAAAATGCTAGGCAGGCCATTATTTTGGCCATTATTTTGTCTACCATGGTTATGCCCCCATAGGATGACAATGCCCACAGTCACAGGGCACGAGTGGACACTGAATGGTTTGATGATCATGAAAACGATGTAAACCATATGTCATGGCCGTCTCAGTCACCGGATCTCAACCCAATTAAACACTTTTGGGAGATTCTGCAGCGGCGCCTGAGACAGCGTTTTCCACCACCATCAACAAAACACCAAATGATGGAATTTCTCATGGAAGAATGGTGTCGCATCCCTCCAATAGAGTTCCAGACACTTGTAGAATCAATGCCAAGGTGCATTGAAGCTATTCTGGCTTGTGGTGGCCCAACGCCCTATTAAGACACTTTATGTTGGTGTTTCCTTTATTTTGGCAGTTACCTGTATTTCTCCTTAGCCTCTTGCTCACTATATTCTCTCAGTCTTTCTCTCTCCTCTCTCTGCCCATCCTTCAGGAGCTGCAGGTGGATGGTGACCTACTGCTGAACATCACAGACCAGGATCTGAGCACTGACCTGGGTATGACCGCAGGACTCACTCGCAAGAGGTTAGTTCAGTCATCTGTCAAGTTTATGTCAAGCTTATAAAACGTCTGCTACACAAGGCAACATCAGTTAAATTGAGCATTTAAATAAAATCCCCACCTCACCCTGCCCACTCCATTTTGTGTTGTCTTCTAGGTTCCTCCGTGACCTGCGTGTGCTGAAGACCTACGCCAACTACTCGACCTGTGACCCCAATAACATGGCTGACTGGCTGGGTGAGGTGGACCCGCGCTTCCGCCAGTACACCTACGGCCTGGTGCAGTCTGGAGTGGACCGCAAGAATGTCCTCCACCTCACCGACCAGCAGCTCCAGTCAGACTGTAACATTGGTGGGTTGTGAGCCAAAAGACACATTTACGTTCCCTGCAAGACAATTAAGCAATAAGGCCCAAGGGGGTGTGGTATATGGCCAATATACCACGGCTAAGTGCTGTTCTTATGCAAGATGCAAAGCGTAGTGCCTGGATACAGCCCTTAGCCGTGGTATATTGGCCATATACTACAAACCCCCGTGGTACCTTATTGCTATTATAAACTGGTTACCAATGTAATTAGAGCAGTAAAAATAAATGTTTTGTCATACTCGTGGTATATGGTCTGGAATACCACAGCTGTCAGCCAATCAGCATTCAGGGCTCGAACAACCCAGTTTAAAATAGAGAAAGTATTCATTTTTTCCTTCTAGAGAACGGCATCCACCGCGCCAAGATCCTGGCAGCCACCCGTAGGCCGATTAAGCCGTGTCTGACCGATGCCCAACCCCCTGGACCGGACGTATTTATTAGCTACCGCAGGACCACCGGTTCCCAGCTCGCCAGGTATGGAGAGAGGAAGAGGAAGAGGAAGAGGGAGAGGGAGAGGGAGAGGGAGAGGGAGAGGGAGAGGGAGAGGGAGAGGCATGGATAGGGCGAGGAATAATAGTCAGGAGAGAGGGAACGCTAGGGAGCTTTGGAAGACAAACACCTTTATCAGGTTTGTCAGGATTATCTGGAGGCTAAGATCTATAGATCGTTACTCTCTCCCCACCTTTTTCTCTCTCCCCCTCTCCTCTCCACTCCCTCTTTCTCCCCTCCCCTCCCTCTCTTCCCCCAGTCTGTTGAAGGTCCACCTTCAGGTCAGAGGTTTCAGTGTGTTCATTGACGTGGAGAAGCTGGAAGCAGGGAAGTTTGCTGACAAGCTGATCCAGAGCGTCCAGCGGGCACGGAACTTCATCCTGGTGCTTTCTGCCAACGCCCTTGACAAGTGCATGGGCGACACTGGCATGAAGGACTGGGTACACAAGGTCAGACATAGACGGATCTATACATAGATGGGTGCTGCATACAGAACAATATAGATCCAATAGTATACAGCTGCAGCTCTGTCTAGATGTTCAAATCAAATCAAATGGTATTTGTCACGTGCTTCGTAAACAACAGGTGTAGACTAACAGTAAAAAAAAAAATAGAAAAAGTATAGAAAAAATAATAACACAAGGAATAAATACACAATTAGTAACGATAACTTGGCTATATACATGGGGTACTAGTACCGAGTCGATGTGCAGGTGACGAGGTAGGTACATATAGGTAGAAGTAAAGTGACTAGGCAACAGGATAGATAATGAACAGTAGCAGCAACGTATGTGATGAGTGAAAAGAGTTAGTGCAAAAAGGGTCAATGCAGATAGTCCGGGTGGCTATTTGGTTAACTATTTAGCAGGCTTATGGCTTGGGGGTGGAAGCATTTCAGAGTCCTGTTGGTTCCAGACTTGGTGCATCGGTGCCGCTTGCTGTGCGGTAGCAGAGAGAACAGACTTGAGTGGGCCTTCCTCTGACACCGCCTGGTATAGAGGTCCTGGATGGCAGGGAGCTGGGCCCCAGTGAAACTGGGCCATATGCACAACCCTCTGTAGCGCCTTGTGGTCGGATGCCAAGCAGTTGCCATACCAAGCAGTGATGCAGCCAGTCAAGATGCTCTCAATGGTGCAATTGTATAACATTTTATGAATCTGAGGGCCCATGCCAAATCTTTTCAGCCTCCTGAGGGGGAAGAGGTGTTGTCATGCCCTCTTCACGACTGTGTTGGTGTGTGTGGACCATGTTAATTCCTTAGTGACGTGGACACTGAGGAACCGAGGATGTGGATAGGGGCGTGCTCGGCCCTCCATTTTCTGTAGTCCATGATCAGCTCCTTTGTCTTGCTGACGTTGAGGGAAAGTTTGTTGTCCTGGCACCACACTGCCATGTCACTGACCTCATTCCTATAGGCTGTCTCATCGTCGTCGGTGATCAGGCCTACCACCATCGTGTCTTCAGCAAATGTAATGATGGTGTTGGAGTCTTGCATGGCCACGCAGTCGTGGGTGAACAGGGAGTACAGGAGGGGACTAAGCACGCACCCCGGAGGGGCCCACGTGTTGAGGGTCAGCGTGGCGGATGTGTTGTTGCCTACCCTCACCACCTGAGGGCGGCCCGTCAGGAAGTCCAGGACCCAGTTGCAGAGGGAGGTGTTCAGTCCCAGGGTCCTGAGCTTGTTGATAAGCTTGGAGGGCACTATGGTGTTGAATGCTGAGCTGTAGTCAATGAACAGCATTCTCACATAGGTGTTCCTTTTGTCCAGGTGGAAGAGGGCAGTGTGGAGTGCAATAGAGATTCTGTCATCTGTGGATCTGTTGGGGTGGCATGTAAATTGGAGTGGGTCCAGGGTCTGGGATGATGCTGTTGATGTGAGCCATGACCAGCCTTTCAAAGCATTTCATGGCTACAGATGTGAGTGCTACGGGGCGATAGTCCTTTAGACAGGTTACTTTGGCGTTCTTGGGCACAGGGACTACAATGTCTATGTTGGTGATAAAAAGTATACCTGTAGACCTACATATGTATGAAGGAATGAGTATACAATATTAGACATAGACAGGCCTCACATACAGAACACTATAGATCCAATATACAATTATTTTCTATGTGTATAATCCAGTCACCCTGGCCTTTACATGTCTAGATGTTCCACCTATATGTTGGTGATATACAATATTAGACATAAAGAGGTCCCCTCCATACGGAACAATGTTACAGTTGAGAGATTATTTTCCCCAGATACCCCTACCCCTTACATGTGTAGACATTCCATGTCTGCGGGGACATTCTGTGTCTGTCCGTGATTTAACGTACCTCTCGTAAATCCTGCAGGAGATTGTCACTGCTCTGGCTGGAAAGAAGAACATCGTCCCTGTAACTGATAACTTCATGTGGCCTGACCCAAACTCTCTTCCTGAGGACATGAAAACCATCCTAAACTTCAATGGCATCAAGTGAGTCACAGAGAGAGATACAGTACCGCAGAATCTGTTTGAGAATGATTGGCAGTTTGCACATTTATCTGAAGTGTACTTATTAGGAATCAAATCTATCTTTCATTTTCGTTCTCCCTCTTTCTCTCTCTTTCTCCCTCCCTCTCTTTCTCCTTCCCTCTCTCTTCCTCTGACTCTCCCTCTTTCTCTCCCTCCCTCCCTTCCTCTCTCTGGATACAGGTGGTCTCATGAGTACCAGGAGGCCACCATTGAGAAGATCCTACGTTTCCTTAAGGGCAACCCTAGCCAAGACCTGACTGACTGCCCCAAGACAGACTGCCCCAAGACAGACTGCCCCAAGACAGATTGCCCCAAGACAGACTGCCCCAAGGGGCCTCAGGGACCACAGAAGAAATAGAGGCCTCTGAGTGGAGGTCCTCTGGTCTCTGATGATGTAAAACGGTGACCAATAGTGATCAGTAATCAATCATGCCAAACAGAGCGTGCTCTGGTTGGTCAGTTCTAACCCTGTGCATGTGAAGACATGTTTAATAGGCCGTATTTAGATAATATGCTAATGAGATGGCTTTGCTACTAGCCACTGATCCAGATGTACAGTTAATTCAATTGAAGTCCATAGCGTAAATACTAAATGTAATTTGTGGTTTCAGCACTTGTAAATACCACATACTACTCCCTTAAACTGCAGTGCCATGGTCATAAGCTGTTACTAGTGTGGTCAGGGATATTTTGTGTCTCTCAGGAAATAACCAGTGTGATAAGTCAGCTATCGCTGGCACCGAGCAGAACACATAATAACAATCTGGAGTATCTCTGTTGCATCTCATTGTTTTAAATAGGCCCATACCTTCTAAGACAAAACAATATCCTGGTTTTTAGTAATGATCCAGTGTAAACTATATAGCGTATGGGAAATACTGTATCTCTTTTTTTCTTATGGTGCTTATAAATGAAACCCTGTATGCTCATTGTTGGTCGACTGTTGCACTTATTTTATATGTATCTTTACGATAGTGTAACCTAGGTGATGGCAAACAGCCTAATCCAACAGAGATGATGTACGACCTCTATATGTAACGGTGATTTGGAATCCTGCTCTCATGATGAGGTAGCCCTGCCTGTGACTTAAAGCCAGTGTCACCCTCTGCCCAAGGGGGAATTAGTCTAATGGTTAAGACGTTAGTTTCCCGACCAGGAGAGAGGGGTTGAGATCCCACCAATTACATATACTCATTGCAAACTTGCACTCATGTGCTTAGCAACAACCAGAGGTTCACAAATAACTCTCTCTCTCAACCAAGCTTAAGGCAATGAAAAATACCATTATCAATGCATCTTGCTGATGTGAAAGCGGATAGACGCTCTCTCTCTCTGTGTTCACAAAGATACAATTAGTTTACAAAACCAATGTCTACACTACCCCTTAAGGCTGAAGCTACTCCATGAAAACTGTTCCATTATCTTCCTGTCAGAAAGTCTCGTAGTATAAAGTCACAACATGCTGCGTTACTTTGTTCGGCTAAACCACTGCAACTACAATACTGATTTGTGGTTTGGTTCCTTCATAATGCTAAGAGATTCTGTCATTGATTTGGCTGCTTGACAGTTAGCCTTAGTTCACTTGCTTGTATCTATTGGAAAGAAGCAGTTCAGTAGATAAATTATATCACATCAGTGGCAGAGCTAAATACTGACTCACATTGACGATCCTTCTTAGACATGTACCAGCATGCACCACCCCTGTCTAAATCACTTGGTATCTTACTATACTATTATCTGTGACAGGATAAAGATAAGAAAAACATCTAACCAAAACAATCATGCAGTATCTGATGATCAGTTTAGGAATTATTACGTAAGTGTTGCAAAATGACTACAGAAGTCATAAAATCACCAGGTTATCGTATTTATAATTAAATGAAGTGGAATGGTAGCACTTTATTTTAAACATGGAATTATTACGTTCAGTGACATGTTTGTTTTGTAGATTCATATCGGATAGTGATGTAGATACTGTATGTACCCACACAGTGTGCTAAATGGTGTGCGGGAAGGCAAACAAAACATTTCACCTCAGTCTAAAGCTACAGTATTTGCTCTCAGCACTGCTAGCTATATCTTGTCACTGTTTTGATGGCTCTTCTGGGCTATTTCCCCTGTTGCCTTAATATATGTGTTGCTCTCAATACAGGTATGTTGATTAAATACTGTATACATGGACAGGTTCTTGTTTACGTTTAATTTTTAAAGATTTAGGCAGTGTTGTCATTTTACAATACAGTGACGCAATAAAAACAACTAACCTGAGGATACAGTAAATCTGTGATTCTTTCTGTGCATTAAAATACAGTGCAACACTGTACTTGAAATGGATTCTTATGAAGCATTATATTGCCTTATTATTATTAACATATTCATACCAGCTAATAGATGCAATCATACAGTGCCTTGCAAAAGTATTCACCCCCCTTCGCGTTTTTCCTATTTTGTTGCATTTCAACCTGTAATTTCAATGGATTTTTATTTGGATTTCATGTAATGGACATACACAAAATAGTCCAAATTGGTGAAGTGAAATTAAAAAAAGAACTTGTTTCAAAAAATTATACAAAATAAATAACGGAAAAGTGGCGCGTGCATATGTACATTTTAGTCATTTAGCAGACGCTCTTATCCAGAGCGACTTACAGTTAGTGAGTGTGTACATTTTTCATACTGGCCCCCCCGTGGGAAACGAACCCACAACCCTGGCGTTGCAAGTGCCATGCTTGTCACGATCGCTGAAGGAAGTGGACCAATGCGCAGCGCGATAAGTGAACATACTTTATTTATTTCACCACACGAAACAAAACAACAAAACGATAACGTGAAGTCCTTGGTTACCTACACAAACCAACACGGAACAAGATCCCACAATACACTACTGCCAAACGGCTGCCTAAGTATGGTTCCCAATCAGAGACAACAAGCAACAGCTGATTCACGTTGCCTCTGATTGAGAACCACCCCGGCCAACATAGATACACATGAACTAGAACTTAAACACAGAACACAAACACATAGAAACTACACACCCTGGCTCAACATAACAGAGTCCCAGAGCCAGGGCGTGACAGTACCCCCCCCCAAAGGCGCGACCGCGCCAAACATAAACCGAACAGGGGAGGGCCGGGTGGGCATTCCTCCTCGGAGGCGGATCCGGCTCCGGGCATGACCACCACCCTCTAATAACCCCCCCGTAGTGCCCCTGGTCTGGTCTGGCCCCGCTGGCTGGAGCTGGACTGGACATCAGTGGAGCGGATTGCTTAGGCTCCGGTGTGGAGCAGCTGACCGGTACCTGACCAGGCACCGGTGAAACGGGCACGGGCTGTGCCGGACTGACGACGCGCACCACAGGCTTGGTGCGGGGAGCAGGAATGGGCCGGACCGGGCTGACGACGCGCACCATTGGCTTGGTGCGGGGAGCAGGGACGGGCCGAACCAGGCTGACGAAGCGCACCACTGGCTTGGTGCGGGGAGCAGGAACAGGCCGGACCGGGCTGACGACGCGCACCCCTGGCTTGGTGCGGGGAGCAGGAACGGGCCGGACCGGGCTGACGATGCGCACCACAGGCTTGGTGCGGGGAGCAGGAACAGGCCGGGTCGGGCTGGCGACGCGCACCATAGGCTTGGTGCGGGGAGCAGGAACGGGCCGGACCGGGCTGACGATGCGCACCACAGGCTTGGTGCGGGGAGCAGGAACAGGCCGGGTCGGGCTGGCGACGCTCACCATAGGCTTGGTGCGGGGAGCAGGAACAGGCCGGGCCTGCTGGCGACGCGCACCATTGGCTTGGTGCGGGGAGCAGGACAGGCCGGGCCGGGCTGGCGACGCGCACCCCTGGCTTAGTGCGGGGAGCAGGAACGGGCCGGACCGGGCTGACGATGCGCACCATTGGCTTGGTGCGGGGAGCAGGAACAGGCCGGGCCGGGCTGGCGACGCGCATCACAGGCTTGGTGCGAGGGACAGGAACAGGCCGGACCGCACTGGGAACACACACCACTGGCCTTACACGGGGATCAGGAACAGGCCGGACCGGACTGGCAACACACCTCAGTACCTCTCGCCGTGCCTCTACACTTTCCTTCCCTCTTCTCACCAATGGCTCCCGTAACCCGGTGGCCTTCTCTCCTCGTCCACGAACTCGCCCCTTATCTGCCTCCAGCAGCCCCGTCGTCCATGCCATGTGCCCCCCCCTAAAAATTTCTTGGGGGTGCCTCTCGCCGGTCCGACGACGGCCCGGTTGGCGCCGCTGCTCCTCTCTCCGGCGCGCCTCCACCGTCTCCTCCCACGGACGGCGATCCATCCCGGCCTGGATTTCCTCCCAAGTCCAGGACCCCTGCCCGTCCAATATCTGCTCCCACGTCCAGGCTGTCTGCTCCTGGGCACGCTGCTTGGTCCTGTATTGGTGGGATCTTCTGTCACGCTCGCTGAAGGAAGTGGACCAATGTGCAGCGTGATGAGTGAACATACTTTATTTATTTCACCACACGAAACAAAACAACAAAACGATAACGTGAAGTCCTTGGTTACCTACACAAACCAACACGGAACAAGATCCCACAATACACTACTGCCAAACGGCTGCCTAAGTATGGTTCCCAATCAGAGACAACAAGCAACAGCTGATTCACGTTGCCTCTGATTGAGAACCACCCCGGCCAACATAGATACACATGAACTAGAACTTAAACACAGAACACAAACACATAGAAACTACACACCCTGGCTCAACATAACAGAGTCCCAGAGCCAGGGCGTGACAATGCTCTACCAACTGAGCTACAGGAGGGCCCTTTGCTATGAAGCCCCTAAATAAGATCTGGTGCAACCAATTACCTTCAGAAGTCACAAAATTAGTTAAATAAAGTCCACCTTTGTGCAATCTAAGTGTCACATGACCTGTCACATGATCTCAGTATATAGACACCTGTTCTGAAAGGCCCCAGAGTCTGCAACACCACTAAGCAAGGGGCACCACCAAGCAAGTGGCACCATGAAGACCAAGGAGCTCTCCAAACAGGTCAGGGACAAAGTTGTGGAGAAGTACAGATCAGGGTTGCGTTATAAAAAAATATCTGAAACTTTGAACATCCCACGGAGCACCATTAAATCCATTATAAAACAATGTGAATATGGCACCACAACAAACCTGCCAAGAGAGGGCCGCCCACCTAAACTCATGGACCAGACAAGGAGGGCATTAATCAGAGGCAACAAAGAGACCAAAGATAACCCTGAAGGAGCTGCAAAGCTCCACAGCGAAGATTGGAGTATCTGTCCATAGGACCACTTTAAGCAGTACACTCCACAGAGCTGGGCTTTACGGAAGAGTGGCCAGAAAAAAGCCATTGCTTAAAGAAAAAATAAGCAAACACGTTTGGTGTTCGCCAAAAGGCATGTGGGAGACTCCCCAAACATATGGAAGAAGGTACTCTGGTCAGATGAGACTAAAATTGAGCTTTTTGGCCATCAAGTTAAAACGCTATGTCTGGCGCAAACCCAACACCTCTCATCACCCTGAGAACACCATCCCACGGTGGTGGCAGCATCATGCATCACGCTCAAGTTCTCTGTTTTTTTATCTTATTTCTTGTTTGTTTCACAATAACAAATATTTTGCATCTTCAAAGTGGTAGGCATGTTGTGCAAATCAAATGATACAAACCTCCCAAAAATCCATTTTAATTCCAGGTTGTAAGGCAACAAAATAGGAAAAATGCCAAGGGGGTGAATACTTTCGACAGCCAATGTAAATGCAATTGTATTATGAAACTGCAGACTAAATCAGTAAGGCAAGATGCAGAAGGCCCCTAGTTGTGAAACGCTCATGATATACCATTAACTTTTGTGCCTTGCTTTATTGTTGAGTTTCATATGTTCCACGTCTGCATCTACAAGGTGCTATGAATGTTTTATAAGGCAATAACATTTCATAAGAAGCCAAAGTTACCAAGTACATCATCGGCATGATTCAATCATTCATTCATTCCCTTTTAAAGATGATAGATATCATGCACAGTATCTAAAAATCTGTAATTCTGTACGGTGCAGACAATAAAATCTATTCACAATTTTTTCTCACATTTACATTTTAGTCATTTAGCAAAAACTTTAGTCATTTATCCAAAGCAACTTCCAGTCAGTGCATTGAACACATTGATTACATGATTTCGGAAGACAGGAAGCCAGTAGGCCTGTCACGGGCCTTCCTTCTCCATAACAGCCAATCAAAAGAAATCATCACAAATACTGAGTGACAGTAATGCTTCAACCCTTCCCCTGGCCTCAACCCCTCAGTTCCTGTTGCACCCTTTTAAATGTGTTATAAGACATTTACACACACACACACACACACACACTTGCCTATCTGTTGTATTGTATGGAGGGGTGGCAGGGTTGCTGTGTGAGGGCACTTAAGTGGTTAGACTGGGCTATCTGTTGAATGGAGGGATGACAGTAAACTGTAAGCAGTGTAACTCAGTACTCCCTGACTGCTGTTAGAAGCCGATGGGTCTCATTTTGTTAAGAGATACTAATGGTTGAGTCTGGACAAGTTGGTCTAAAGCCCATCTATCTGCTGCTCGCATGCTATGGTGACATCGAGATCAACTGTTATTGAATTTCATATTTGCTGAGTCATGTATTTTCTGCCTGGCCTTGGATAGTTTGATATAGTACTGTGGGTATTATTCGACCACAATTGTATGTCAGCTCACATTAGATTTTCAGTTTAAAATATAACAGGGAACCCAGACCTCTTTCTCTTCTTGTCTCACATGACATAGTGCACAGTGATGTCTGTCATGGGGGGGGGTTGGCTGGTGGTTCCAGCTTTTTGGTCTTGGTATTTTGGTGTTGAAGCCACGGAATCCAACCTCTGTGTGGTCTAATGACAGTCAGCTACCTGTCCTACACACTGGTAAAAAGGTGTATGTAGGGCAGCAGAGGCTGTGGCCTTCCAGAGACTCAAGCTGTGATGTGAGGAAGTCTTCTCCGGACAAGGTGTTTTCCGGATGCCCCAAACAATCGGAAAGGGGATTCATCAGAGAAAATGACTTTACCCCAGTCCTCAGCAGTCCAATACCTTTTGCAGAATATCAGTCTATCCCTGATGTTTTTCCTGGAGAGAAGTGGCTTCTTTGCTGCCCTTCTTGACACCAGGCCATCCTCCAAAAGTCTTCGCCTCACTGTGCCTGCTGCCATTCCTGAGCAAGCTCTGCACTGGTGGTGCCCCGATCCCGCAGCTGAATCAACTTTAGGAGACGGTCCTGGCGCTTGCTGGACTTTCTTGGGTGCCCTGACGCCTTCTTCACAACAATTGAACCTCTCTCCTTGAAGTTCTTGATGATCCGAAAAATGGTTGATTTAGGTGCAATCTTACTAGCAGCAATATCCTTGCCTGTGAAGCCCTTTTTGTGCAAAGCAATGATGACGGCACGTGTTTCCTTGCAGGTAACCATGGTTAACAGAGGAAGAACAATGATTTCAAGCACCACCCTCCTTTTAAAGCTTCCAGTCTGTTATTCTAACTCAATCTCCAGCCTTGTCCTCATCAACACTCTCACCTGTGTTAACGAGAGAATCACTGACATGATGGCAGCTGGTCCTTTTGTGGCAGGGCTGAAATGCAGTGGAAATGTTTTTTTGGGATTAAGTTCATTTTCATGGCAAAGAGGGACTTTGCAATTAATTGCAATTCATCTTATCACTCTTCATGACATTCTGGAGTATATGCAAATTGCCATCATCAAAACTGAGGCAGCAGACTTTGTGACATTTTTTATTTGTGTCATTCTCAAAACTTTTGACCATGACTGTACTACCTGTCTGTCTGTGTCAGGATGTTGCAGAGTCCTCTCTTCTGTCTGTCCTCTGATCCCGACACTCCACTATCCTAAACACACAACAACACGCAGGAATCACAAGGTGTTTATGGCCTCAGTGTTTTAAATTAGGAAAGCTTAAATTGGAATTTCAGGTAAGGAAGGACTTACCCAATGATTCCTGTAGGGATGAGGAGGAGGAGGGCTCCGAACAGGAAGGGGAATCCCTTCATGATGTGCATAACAATAAACAAATCTAGTAAACTCTAAACTGATGTAATGATGTCATTTTAACTAGTTTTGTCTTCTGGGATAGCCTCTCACCTGTGAACATGAGTTCAGTAGTGTTGGCCAGTGAGATGACCACCAGGCCGGTCATGTTTGAGGCCAGTCTCACCAGAGACACCCAGGAGTCCTCTAGGCATCGCTGCATGGTCCTCAAACCCAAGAGGCTGCTGAAGTAGGCCAGGTTCTGGGCTGCAGACCCCCAGCCGATCAGCCCTGGGCCCCAGCACAGTGGAGAGCTCAGCTCATACAGAACATACAGCTCCCGGCTGCCAAAGTGGACCTTCACCACCAGGAAGAAGCAGAAGGTGTAGAGCCACAGTTTGTACCTCCTCCATTTTGTGAAGAGTTTGGCACTGGGGTCAGGGGTTACGGACTCGGGTACAAACAGGTAGGCATAGAGGGCAGCAGCCAGGTTAGTGGCCAGCACCAGCCAGAATGGGTTAATGTACCTGGGGAAGAAAAGAAAGGGTGGGGAATTCTGTTATTTCAGTATGGCTCAAGTCCCCATGAGAGGTATAAGTGTTATCCAGTTACATTACTGTATCACAAGTTTAGACGCTTATAAACATACTTTAATAAATCGAAGAAGAATACGTTTTCAGTCCACAGATAGCAAGCTACCTTGGGCCATCTTAACGTGGAATAACCTACCCTTGTGCCCGTCGCCACTGCCCCTCTATGATACTGGCCAGCATGCCAGCAAGTCCCAGACAGGCCTCCAGCACTACCACCCTGAAGGTCCGGGAGCCCCTGTCGCTGATGTAAGCCACATAGGCAAAGCAGCCTGCCAGGATGGTGTTGAAGTCGCCTGAGAGTAAGGATGAGTTAGTTGATTCATCGATAAGTCAGTCAAAGGTGCCCACAATGATTTTTTTTAAAGTGTTTAGAAAAAGCGGATTAATTGATTAATCAGCACTAGCAAGTAATTTATTCTGAAAAACTTGAGTTGGACTTAGCATGATGTACTATCCGGTTGTATCTTAGTAAAGATGTTCCTGAAGCTAACATAACGGTGTCCCATCTCCTTTTCAATACAGGACTTATCCCTACCTGAGAGGCCTGAGAGCAGCCTGCCCAGGAGGAACCAGGCCACGGGCAGCTTGAGGTACATGACCACCAGGTAGGCCCCAGCCTGCAGGACCCAGGCTGGGCAGGATGAGCACGGGCCGCCGGCCCCCCTGGTCGCTCCAGGAGCCTAGCAGAGTCACCACAAACAGCCCCACTGCAATGCCTCCTAAGTTGATGTTTTGGTTCCAGTGGGCTGTCAGGGTCTCCATCTCCTGATGATGAGAGAATATGGTTTGAGTTATGATGAAAGCAAACAGTTCACTGTCATGGTCAGTTATTGGCAAGCCAACCTAAAACTCCAGGACCTAGTGTACCTAGAGGAGTTCAAAGGACAAATAGATTAACATGTTGTTGAGACATGTAGTTGTTTCTAGTTTTCACCTGATGTCACTAGTCGGCGTTGCCTTATGTAAGGAAGGATGTTGTCTTAAATGAAGTATTTTGACACTGTTATTGGCCGTATTCTGTTTTTTCTAACTTGTGTCATGTAATGTTCTTTACTGACTTGCTGCTTTCAATATTGATGTATCTTCATCTGGTTGATGTCATGTGCCTGTTTGTCTGAAACTGATCTGTTGATGCTGCTGTCATGGTCCAGGTCTCTCTTAAAAAATAGATTTTTATCTCAACTTGACCAACCTGGTTAAATAAAGGTTACATTTGAGCAATCTCATATGCTTTGTTTCTCATAATGATCATTAAGATGTTACACGTGATCTTAGGTTATTATTTGACATTATTCCACCAATTAAGCTATTATTTAATCATCATTCAAGACCTTGATTAGTTGAACCAGCTGTGTTAATGCTGCGCTGGAAGAAAAGCCTGCACACAATGTGGGCCTCCAAGAACAGGAGTGATAGAGCATTTGTGTCTTTCTCATTATGTCTATGTTTCCCCCACCTTTTGAAGTGGGTCTGGGGGCCCGGAGGTGTTGTCACATCCCCCTCCTTCTGTTCCATTGTAACCGACGTCTTCACTGATGCGGTCCCATAGGTACTGCATAGACAGCGGCCACTGAAGAGACAGCGAGAACATCGATAAGAACAACACGGGTTCAACATAAACCGAAAGTGGGCAAGCGAACGGGCGGCCGTCTGGAGCACTTGTGTCCCTTCTTCTCAACCTCCTCGTTACTACAAAATGTGTCATTTATCGGTATGTAGTCGTCTGCAGACAATATAGTATATTGCGGAAGAATTGCTCTGGTGTCCGAATCTTCCATTGCCAGTTTGTAGAATACCCCAAAAATATTCAAGTTCCTAACTAAGATTTGCGGTTCCTTTGTTATTATAGACTCGTCTTCGCAAGACTGAATAGTTTGCGGACAAAATCTTCAAATAATCCAGTTGTTTTGTTCAGAAACAGTCCAAATCTACGTCTGTAAGTAAAACCTCTAGAAGTTCATACACTTTGGCTCGAGTGCGTGCATGTCTTGTCCTTGTAATGGTCTCGAGATGGCGCCATCTGGAAGAAGCTTTGAACTGCAACTCGAGCTTCTGTTGCTTTCCGATTTCAAGGGCAATTCCATGGTATCAGAGTCACACAGATTTCACTTTAAAATGTATGTCAAACAAAAACCAATGATTGCAAAGTTAAACAAACCACACACCTCTATGCACAATGACTACATTTAACAATTTCCACAGAAAAAATTACAAAAATATATTTACTTGAAGAACAGTGCAGATGCAAAGTTTGATAACAAAATCACGGTTTGTGCTGTCAAAGATTTTTTAGAAGTAACCCAAGATAGACCACAGCCTGTCGTTTTCAACGTAAGCAAATTAATCATAGTGGGATGAACAAGCAAGGAGGTGGGCAGAGCCAAGCACGACCTCGCGAGAGCCTATTGGCGCATTCTAGCATGTATTTGCATATTTCCTTAAGGAACGCCTACTTTGTGAAGTGCAGCGTATAATAACTCAATTCGACCTTGCACTCCTTCTAAACAACGCAATTTATTGACACTTTGGCAAAGGGTAAACTCTACGAAACTTAGTCTACTCTGTTCATAACAGATTCTAGTTTTGGAAACAGAAAACTGTATTGAGATGAGAAAATTTGCAGAATGTTGGTCAAAATCCCTCTTGCTCCATCTTCGGAGTGCCGGCCACTGGGCTTCCTCTCACCACCATATTTGGTAGTGAATGGAAACGCAAACCGGATGCTTCACATTTGTACATCTGGTGAAATATCTATCTCATTGTTCTATCTGTGGCGCTGTCATTCTGTTACCAAACTTTGCATTTGCACTGTTCTTCAAGTAAATGTGTTTCTGTAAAGTTTTCTGTGGGAATTGTTAAAAGTAGGCCTAGTCCTTGTTCATAGAGTTGTATGGTTTGTTTAACTTTGCAATCATTGGTTTTGGTTTGTCATACATTTTAAAGTGAAACATCTGAGGCTGTGTCACTCTGTTACTTTGGAATTGCCCATCAACAAATTGTCACAATGTCACCCCTTGCATTTGCTTTATTTCATCAAATAATTTCAAAAGAATGGTCAAACATTTAATCTACATTTTAGTGATTTAGCAGACGCTCTTATCCAGAGCAACTTACAGTTAGTGCATACATTTTCATACTGGCCCCCCGTGGGAAACGAACCCACAACCCTGGCGTTGCAAGCGCCATGCTCTACCAACTGAGCTACAGGGGACTATTACACATTCTGCACTCTTTATGTTATTAGATTGTTTTTACACATGTAGCCTTATAATAGCTTAATAGGCCTACATCATTGGATAAACTGACATTTATTCAAAAACGTTTCGTAAAAATATATTTGTTTCTATAAAATCCAAGTCTGTGTTTTCCCCTCTAACAATTGATTTGATTAACTTAATTTATCAAAATAGATATTAAATGGGCAATCTGCAGTTCAAACAACTACAAAGGTTCACCCGTCACCGTTTAAAACTTTTGGGAAACCGCTGAGGGATGGGCTTGGAGAAATGTAACCACGTTCTCAAATGCATAGACAGAGCTATTGTCCATTATCCATTATACCAAAATGATAGTTTTAACAATGTTTTGAGGCCATACAGTGTTTGTTTACAATTACATTGTTTACGAACAATTGAGTAAAACAAGCTTATATTTTGGATTCTGATAGGGTGTGACAGTTGTCATCGTGAGGCATTTATACGTTTTCAAGAATCAATGTATATACACTGAGTGTACAAAACAATAGGAACACCTGCGCTTTCCATGACATATACTAACCAGGTGAATCCAGGTCAAAGCTATGATCCCTTATTGATGTCACCTGTTAAATTCACTTCAATCAGTGTAGATAAAGGGGAGGAGACAGGTTAAATAATGATTTTTAAGCCTTTAGACAATTGAGACATGTATTGTGTATGTAAGCCATTCAGAGGGTGAATGGGCAAGACAAAAGATTTAAGTGCCTTTGAACGGGGTATGGTAGTAGGTGCCAGGCACACCAGGTTGAGTGTTAAGAACTGCAACGCTGCCTGGTCCACCACCCAAAGGACATCCAGCCAACTTGACACAGCTATGGGAAGCATTGGAGTCAACATGGGCCAGCATCCCTGTGGAACACATTCGACACCTTGTAGAGTCGAGTCTATGCCCCGACTACTATGGCCCGACTAGCTGAGGCTGTTCTCTAAGGGCAAAAGGGGGTGCAATTCAATATTAGGAAGGTGTTCTTAATGTTTTGTACATTCAGTGTATTTCTCAATTGGTAATTGAAGCGCGCTTACCATTCGCCATTCAAGTGCATATAGGAAACGGTAGGCATGCTTCAGCGCGTCACACCCTAATGTTTTGTACACTCAGTGTATATGTTGTCAATTTAAAAGTCCAAAAACGCATGTACCAATCGCAAATTGATCTTTTTTAAGTATTACACTGAAAAAACCCTTTATTGGGTGATGATTTATCATTTTCAATAGCCTTCTGAATGCTGCCACGGTATTGCTTTAGCTTTAATGTGCTACCAGTTGATACAGGTATTTTTGTAGGTATTTGATACAGGTCCAATTCCGCTCTCCTTTTGCCAAAGTTTAAATCAGTTTGTTTGCGTATAAGGGAATCTTCATCTTACATTTGCCCTCACATGTTTCACCAATCCCTCACATATCCTCACATTTCCTTTTGTATTAAAGGTACATTCCATAAAATTTCAAAATGATGTCTATGATACAGTATCTGTACAGTTAAGGCACAGAATTCCAGAACATCATTTGAAGTGAGTTTACTATCAGAATTGCCAAAATAACCCAAAATTAAGCAATCAGTCATATCGATGAAAAAGTACTTTACATTATTGCAGTTCAAATTCCACTATTAATGAGAACAAAAGGTTTGCTGGGAGAAAGGGAACTTTGACTTCCAGCTACAGCAATTGAAGTGCGCTGTTAAACAGGTCATATAAAAACGTTTCTTTATATCTCAATGAGAATTTGTGCTGAAGAGTAATTTCAACCCAATTCAAGGCTGTCCTGGGCAATAAAGTGTGTATGTAAAGTACCATAATGTACCATTTATGTAACATTGTCTTAACTTGAGAGAGTTGACATAAACTGTTACTTTTCCTAGGTTTACATATTGTGGTACAAACACGCAGGCACACACACACACGCACACGCACACACAAACACACACACACACACAATCTGGGAATATGAGTTATGGGTGGCATGGAGGAATATTCCTTTATGTTTCTAAACAGTGGTGTGTGTACTTTGCCCAGAGATGATGACACCATGTAATGACAGTTGTTAAAGCACCAAACAAGCTTACATTTCCTCGTCTAATATGATGTTTTCACTTTGAAAACATAGTGGCATAAGGTTGTTCCAACAACTATTATTCTACTGTACAACAGACAACTGTTGTTATGGGACAATGAACTGGCTTCAACAGAAAAGAGCCAAGAAACACACATCTTTTTTTTGTTTCCTTGGTTACGTTTATGGATAATGGTCTGTCACTAATCAAATTTATGTCCAACATGTATTCTTTTGTACGTGCAGTTTTCCTCCTGTCGAAGATGGATAGAATAAAAGAAGAGGATGAGATGCAGTTAGATGAATAGAAAGTTCAGTTTCAGTTTAACTATATATTACAGTAAGGGCTTTTACAGTAAGATGGAGTTCATGGGTCGTCTTCATTAGGGAATACTGTAGCAAAATGTTTTGCAATGGAAATGGTATATGAGCGTCTAGTATTAGAAACATTCAGATTGTACCTCCCCATTTTCTTCAGGTTATAGTTACTGAACACCACCCAGGTTTCTGTAGGAGAGGCCCTTATGCAGGTATTTGACTGACAAGGCTCTTGTGATTGTCTTTCTCTTCAATAGACTTCAGCACAACCCAACCAAGGGAGAGGTGGGATGGGTGAGGCATCATCAGGTGAATGTGATGACCACGTGACCAGGTGCCCAATGGATCAACAGAGAAATGGGTAACACTTGAAAAGCCAGCAGTGCCTAAAGGGCTGGGGGTGGGATGGGGTGGGAGATACACAGTGTTCAAAATATTAGGAACACCTTCCTAATATTGAGTTGCACCCCCTTTTGCCTTCAGAACAGCCTCAATTCGTCGGGGCATGGACTCTACAAGGTGTCGTAAGCGTTCCACAGGGATGCTGGCCCATGTTGACTCCAATGCTTCCAACAGTTGTGTCAAGTTGGCAGGATGTCCTTTGGGTGGTGGACCATTCTTGATACATTTACATTTACATTTTAGTCATTTAGCAGACGCTCTTATCCAGAGCGACTTACAGTTAGTGAATACATATTTTTTTATACTGGCCCCCCGTGGGAATCGAACCCACAACCCTGGCGTTGCAAACGCCATGCTCTATCAACTGAGCTACATCCCTGCCGGCCATTCCCTCCCCTACCCTGGACAACGCTGGGCCAATTGTGCGCCGCCCATGAGTCTCCCGGTCGCGGCCGGCTGCGACAGAGCCTGGATTCGAACCAGGATCTCTAGTGGCACAGTTAGCACTGCGATGCAGTGACTTAGACCACTGCGCCACTCAGTAGCATCCCATGATACACATGGGAAACTATTAAGCGTGAAAAACCCAGCAGCGTTGCAGTTCTTGACACACTCAAACCGGTGCGCCTGGCACCTACTACCATACCCCGTTCAAAAGCACTTAAATATTTTGTCTTGCCTATTCACCCTCTGAATGGCACACATACATTCCATATCTCAGTTGTCTCAAGGCTTAAAAATCCTTATTTAAGCTGTCTCCTCTCCTTCACGTACACTAATTGAAGTGGATTTAACAGGTGATATCAGTAAGGGATCATAGCTTTCACCTGGATTCACCTGGTCATGGGAAGAGCAACATTCCTAATGTTTTGTACACTCAGTGTATATCTATTCAGCAAAACTGTATACCTTAACAGGGAACAAGGAAATTCGTGTTGTTTTCATCTTTTTGGGGAAATCTTACCAAGGACTGGATGCTTATGTAATTGTAAAATTGGACCCCCCCCCCCTCTCTCTTCATCTCTATCTCTATCTCTCGCTCTCGCTCTCGCTCTCGCTCTCGCTCTCGCTCTCGCTCTCTCTTCCTCTCCTCTCTCTATCACTCACATTCCCTCTCTCTCTATCTCTATCTTGGGGGTGTATGTCTTTGTATGTCTTTTGCCTTTTCATTATTTTTTATCCATTAAATATGTTTAGACCATTTTATAGTTGAAACACTGTACAGATGTAATATTTCCCTGGGTTGGAGAGACACTGTACAGATGTAATATTTCCCTGGGTTGGAGAGACACTGTACAGATGTAATATTTCCCTGGGTTGGAGAGACACTGTACAGATGTAATATTTCCCTGGGTTGGAGAGACACTGTACAGATGTAATATTTCCCTGGGTTGGAGAGACACTGTACAGATGTAATATTTCCCTGGGTTGGAGAGACACTGTACAGATGTAATATTTACCTGGGTTGTAGAGACACTGTACAGATGTAATATTTCCCTGGGTTGGAGAGACACTGTACAGATGTAATATTTCCCTGGGTTGGAGAGACACTGTACAGATGTAATATTTCCCTGGGTTGGAGAGACACTGTACAGATGTAATATTTCCCTGGGTTGGAGAGACACTGTACAGATGTAATATTTACCTGGGTTGTAGAGACACTGTACAGATGTAATATTTCCCTGGGTTGGAGAGACACTGTACAGATGTAATATTTCCCTGGGTTGTAGAGACACTGTACAGATGTAATATTTCCTTGGGTTGGAGAGATGTACACTATCACTTTATAAAACCATGCTCATCCTTATACAGCATACAGTGAGGGGAAAACGTATTTGATCCCCTGCTGATTTTGTACGTTTGCCCACTGACAAAGACATGATCAGTCTATAATTTTAATGGTAGGTTTATTTGAACAGTGAGAGACAGAATAACAACAACAAAATCCAGAAAAACGCATGTCAAAAATGTTATAAATTGATTTGCATTTTAATGAGGGAAATAAGTATTTTACCCCTCTGCAAAACATGACTTAGTACTTGGTGGCAAAACCCTTGTTGGCAATCACAGAGGTCAGACGTTTCTTGTAGTTGGCCACCAGGTTTGCACACATCTCAGGAGGGATTTTGTCCCACTCCTCTTTGCAGATCTTCTCCAAGTCATTAAGGTTTCGAGGCTGACGTTTGGCAACTCGAACCTTCAGCTCCCTCCACAGATTTTCTATGGTATTAAGGTCTGTAGACTGGCTAGGCCACTCCAGGACCTTAATGTGCTTCTTCTTGAGCCACTCCTTTGTTGCCTTGGCCGTGTGTTTTGGGTCATTGTCATGCTGGAATACCCATCCACGACCCATTTTCAATGCCCTGGCTGAAGGAAGGAGGTTCTCACCCAAGATTTGACGGTACATGGCCCCGTCCATCGTCCCTTTGATGCGGTGAAGTTGTCCTGTCCCCTTAGCAGAAAAACACCCCCAAAGCATAATGTTTCCACCTCCATGTTTGACGGTGGGGATGGTGTTCTTGGGGTCATAGGCAGCATTCCTCCTCCTCCAAACACGGCGAGTTGAGTTGATGCCAAAGAGCTCGATTTTGGTCTCATCTGACCACAACACTTTCACCCAGTTCTCCTCTGAATCATTCAGATGTTCATTGGCAAACTTCAGACGGCCCTGTATATGTGCTTTCTTGAGCAGGGGGACCTTGCGGGCGCTGCAGGATTTCAGTCCTTCACGGCGTAGTGTGTTACCAATTGTTTTCTTGGTGACTATGGTCCCAGCTGCCTTGAGATCATTGACAAGATCCTCCTGTGTAGTTCTGGGCTGATTCCTCACCGTTCTCATGATCATTGCAACTCCACGAGGTGAGATCTTGCATGGAGCCCCAGGCCGAGGCAGATTGACAGTTCTTTTGTGTTTCTTCCATTTGCGAATAATCGCACCAACTGTTGTCACCTTCTCACCAAGCTGCTTGGCGATAGTCTTGTAGCCCATTCCAGCCTTGTGTAGGTCTACAATATTGTCCCTGACATCCTTGGAGAGCTCTTTGGTCTTGGCCATGGTGGAGAGTTTGGAATCTGATTGATTGATTGCTTCTGCGGACAGGTGTCTTTTATACAGGTAACAAACTGAGATTAGGAGCACTCCCTTTAAGAGTGTGCTCCTAATCTCAGCTCGTTACCTGTATAAAAGACACCTGGGAGCCAGAAATCTTTCTGATTGAGAGGGGGTCAAATACATATTTCCCACATTAAAATGCAAATCAATTTATAACATTTTTGACATGCGTTTTTCTGGATTTTTTTGTTATTATTCTGTCTCTCACTGTTCAAATAAACCTACCATTAAAATTATAGACGGATAATTTTTTTTGTCAGTGGGCAAACGTACAAAATCAGCAGGGGATCAAATACTTTTTTCCCTCACTGTATACCGCAGTAGGAATCTGTCATTTCAAACTTACATCTTCCACTGAAAGTGATCTCACTGACTCACTCTTACTCACTCCAACACTTACACTACTTTCTTGTGTTGTGCAACACACTTCCTCCTCAGCCCAGTCACCTCACTCCAAAGTTAATATTTAATTCAGTTTCTGCGTGATATATATAGATATTTATACTGCAACTGTCTCTCCTGTTCTCTCTTCAAACAGTGTGGTAGCGTCCCCAATTATCTCGTAAAACCTTCTCCCCCACGCTCCAATTAGATTTTCTGTCTAATATATATATCTCTCTTCTCTCTGTACCTGAGCTATCCTCTGGATATCTGTACCTGCCATGGTGGTGTGTCTGAGTGGGCTATGGAGGTATCGGAATTACCTGATCATATTCCTCGCCCCTCTGTTGATTCTACCTCTACCCCTAATAGTTGGGGGACCGGTAAGAGTGTGTGTGTATGCGTGTGTTTGTGTGTGTGTGTTTGTTTCTTTGTTTCTTTGTGTCTAACTGAGGCTTTGATGTGTTTGTTTTAACCCTCTTGAAAGTTCAGAATTTATTCTTAGTTGAGGTTAAAGTTCTGAAGCATTTCAAGTCCTTGTTGTACACAAATTGAATGCCGAAATTCCTAGAAAACGTTATATGTTTATTAAAGCTTCACTGCATGCTGTATGTATTTCCTAATGTGACATTTCTATTGTATTTGTGACATTTAGAATTATTTCAATATATCCAGAAAGCTACTGTAGACTGGTCATTTTGTGTGTGTAGATAGGAACTTCAGCAGCCATGCACATTGCAGGTTCAGAGTTCCCTGTGAGTTACGGTTGCCCTCCAGGGCAATAAACCATCAGGAATGAAATACAGGCAGTTTATAGTTCTTCATCCTTTTTCATCAATGGCTTACCGCTGTCACGATCGTCTAAAGGAGCGGACCAATACGCAGCGCGTGGAGTGAACATGATGACTTTATTAAATAAAGCACAACACGAGAAAACAAAACAAATGACGATACGTGAAGTCCTCTGACACCGACAGAAACATAGAAACACTGGAACAGGAACAATAACCCACAAAACAAAGGTGAAAACTGACAGTTTAAATATGGCTCCCAATCAGAGATAACGAGCCGACAGCTGACACTCGTTACCTCCGATTGGGAGTCATTGACTACAACATACAACCACCTAGAAAAACAACCCACAGACCTGCAAACATAGAAATACACCCGACAGAACTACCAACATAGAAAAACACCCAAATCCCCAACAAAACAACATACACTCTAGCTCACATACAAAAGTCCTAGAGCCAGAGTGTCACAACCGCGTCATAAAATATATTTGTTTCTATAAAATCCAAGCCCGTTTTTCCCCTCTAAGAATTGATTTGATTAACTTAATTTATCAAAATAGATATTAAAGGTGCAATCTGCGTTTCAAACAACTACACCCCGTCACTGATTAAAACTTTTGGTAAACAGCTGAGGGATGGGGCTGGAGAAATGTATCCAATCTCAAATTCATAGACAGAGCTAGGGATGCAAGAACTGACTATCTATGATATACAAATTATAGTTTTAACCATTTTCTGAGACTTTACAGTGTTTATTTACATTGACATTGTTTACAAACATTGGAGTAAAACAAGTTTATGTTTTGGGTTCTGATGGGGTACTATGGTTGAACTAAGCTCATGAGGCAATTAATTATAAGTTATATTCTTCAAGAATAATTTTTATTTACTATGCATTGCAAGAACAACTGAAACTGAAACTGACTTATTGAATAGATGTATTGAATTGCACACAATAAGATATCTTTATGTTCTAAAATAGTTATACTACTTGTCTGTGCTTTGATGCTGCTGGCTGTTGTCTCAGATGATTGTTCACTGAGAACAAAATGGTCCTGAGAGAGGAATGACTGTGTTGTATGCATTTGTACGTGTTGTCCTACCTCAACAGCCCTCTCACAGTCCCTGTCTGTCTCTGTGTGTGTGTGTGTGTGTGTGTGTGTGTGTGTGTGTGTGTGTGTGTGTGTGTGTGTGTGTGTGTGTGTGTGTGTGTGTGTGTGTGTGTGTGTGTACAGGAGGCTAGTTGTGGCTATGTGATCATTCTGATGGCACTGTACTGGTGCACAGAGTGTATGCCCCTGGCTGTGACCGGTCTGCTGCCTGTCTTCCTTTTCCCTATGATGGGCATCATGGAGTCAAGCGAGGTACCAACACCACTATCCTCTCCCCTCTCTACTCAACCACTTCCATACCTAATGATTGGATCTTACCCATCCATTAGACTCAGTAATTGAGACAACAAGATTCTGTTTTATGATCAGAATAAACAGGTCAACAGTTGTAATGACTAAAATGTTCAATGTAAATCTTTGTTTAGTAGATACAGTGTTGAGGACGTATGAATAGAGCACCTAAGTGCTGTTGATAGAGTCCGTACTGTTGATCCCATTATAAGTATATTATTGAATTTATAAGCAGAACCTGTCTCAGGCCAGTACACTCATTCAGAAACCCCCTGTCTGTCTCTCATCCAGGTGTGTACCCAGTACATGAAGGACTCTAACATGCTGTTCGTCGGAGGGATGTCGATGGCTATAGCTGTGGAACACTGGAACCTTCACAAACGCATCGCCCTCAGAGTACTGCTCATAGTAGGGGTGAGGCCTGCCCTGTAAGAGAACCCTTTACCTGTTTTAATTCTCATATTACAGAGCTGTTTGGTCTAGTGTTCTGATATGTTGTATTCATATTAAATGTCTTATCTGTTTCCCTTTTAAATGGTTTCTCGCTCCCTCTCTATCCTCACTCTTGCTTTCCCACTATCACCATTCACTTGTCCTCCTCCTCTCTCTAGAGAGAGATAGAGAGAGAGAGAGAGCAGAGCTTCTCTCTCTTCTCGAGATCTCTCTCTCTCTCTCTATCTTCTCTCTCCATCGTCTCTCTTCTCCTCTCTCTCTCTCTCTCTCTCTCTCTCTCTTCCTCCCTCATCTCTTTCCTCCCTCATCTCTCTCCTCCTTCCCTGTCTCTCCAGTCTGATGCTGGGCTTCATGGGCACTGCAGCCTTTCTGTCCATGTGGATCAGTAACACAGCCTCCACTGCCATGATGCTGCCCATCGCTAACGCTGTTCTGAAGCAGCTGTGTGACACCGAGGCCCAGGCAGAGGAGAGGGAGATGGACCTGATGGCGATCAGGGGGTCCGGGCGCAGGACTGGGGTACCTAAGGGCCAGGACAACCAGACCTTTGATATGGGTGAAAAGGAGAACAGTATTACCATAGGTGTGTGTTGTTAGGAGGAAGTGGTGTGTGTGTGGGGCGGGGGGTGTGTGTATATGTGTGTGTGTGTGTGTGTGTGTGTGTGTGTGTGTGCTTGTGTGTGGTGTGAGTCATTTGTTTTGTGTCCATTAGCCTCGGCACCATCCGTTCTAGGTTTCTCAAGCCATTCTCAAACTAACATACAGCCTGGTCCCACAAGACTATGTGTCCATTAGTTTGCCATGAGCTTTCACAATCACAAGCTGTTCCACATCTTTCTGTTTTTGTAATAAATTATATCTCCCTTATTTGGCAGATGATGGAGGTGCTACTATATCTACAAAGGATGTCAAGCCCAGGGAGAATGGGGTCCAGTTAGGTAAGTAGAATACAGTGTGTGTTCTCTCAATCATGGTCCTTGAAACCCACAGGGTGTACAGGCTTTTGTTCCAGCCAAGGACTAACACACCTCATTCATACCTGTTATGGATTCCCTGAAACACCCTTCTGTCAATTATTCAAACATTCATCTTAGTAGAGGAACACAGATAAGTAAGCGATATTGATAGGTTATTGATAAGCTAATTCAGGATGTGACCTTATTGATTTTGTCTGTTCAAGACAAGATTGTTTGGACTGATCTCGTCTGGCTAAGATAGAATACAAATTACTCAGACTTATTGTACATCATGTTCAATATCACCACCAGATATTCTCAATCCCTGTTTCAGACTTTGTAATCTTTGCCCTAATTCTTTAGTTACCCTTAGTAAAACTTCTGACAAACTGACCTCTAACCCCTGAACATTCTGATTGGTTCTCTCCCTCCAGAACCCGAGCCAGAGGTGGAGGAGAGCCCGGCGGCAAGGGAGAGGAGGCTGAAGAGGGAGGCTAAGTACCTGAACCTGGATAAAGGCATGAGTCTCAGTGTGTGTTACGCTGCCAGCATCGGAGGAACAGCCACCCTCACCGGCAATGCCCCGAACCTTATCCTCAAGGGACAGGTCGACGAGTACGTTTATATGTCTGTTTATAAAAGGCTTACTATGTATGGGTAGTATTACACGTAAATACAGTAAGAGACCCAACAACACATCTGCCACACTGATCCTCAACACGGGGGCCCCTCAGGGGTGCGTGCTCAGTCCCCTCCTGTACTCTCTGTTCACCCATGACTGCATGGCCAGGCACGACTCCAACACCATCATTAAGTTTGCCGACGACACAACAGTGGTAGGCCTGATCACCGACAACGATGAGACAGCCTATAGGGAGGAGGTCAGAGATCTGGCCGTGTGGTGCCAGGACAACAACCTCTCCCTCAACGTGACCAAGACAAAGGAGATGATTGTGGACTACAGGAAAAAAAAGAGGACTGAGCACGCCCCCATTCTCATCGACGGGGCTGTAGTGGAACAGGTTGAGAGCTTCAAGTTCCTTGGTGTCCACATCACCAACGAACTATCATGGTCCAAACACACCAAGACAGTCGTGAAGAGGGCACGACAAAGCCTATTCCCCCTCAGGAGACTAAAAAGATTTGGCATGGGTCCTCAGATCCTCAAAAAATTCTACAGCTGCACCATCGAGAGCATCCTGACTGGTTGCATCACCGCCTGGTATGGCAACTGCTTGGCCTCTGACCGCAAGGCACTACAGATGGTAGTGCGTACGGCCCAGTACATCACAGGGGCAAAGCTCCCTGCCATCCAGGACCTCTATACCAGGCGGTGTCAGAGGAAGGCCCTCAAAATTGTCAAAGACTCCGGTCACCCTAGTCATAGACTGTTCTCTCTGCTACCGCACGGCAAGCGGTACCGGAGTGCCAAGTCTAGGTCCAAAAGACTTCTCAACAGCTTCTACCCCCAAGCCATAAGACTCCTGAACAGCTAATCATGGCTACCCGGACTATTTGCACTGCCCCCCCACCCCATACTTTTTACGCTGCTGCTACTCTGTTAAGTATTTATGCATAGTCACTTTAACTCTACCCACATGTACATATTACCTCAACTACCTCAACTAGCCGGTGCCCCCGCACATTGACTATGCAACGGTACCCCCCTGTATATATAGCCTCCCTACTGTCACTTTATTCTATTGTATATATAGCCTCCCTACTGTCACTTTATTTTTACTTCTGCTCTTTTTTTCTCAACACTTTTTTGTTGTTGTTTTATTCTTACTTTTTTGTTTAAAATAAATGCACTGTTGGTTAAGGGCTGTAAGTAAGCATTTCACTGTAATGTCTGCACCTGTTGTATTCGGCGCATGTGACCAATACAATTTGATTTGATTTGATTTGAGTAGCTCTCATTAAAGGGTTATTGTGTGTGGATACAGTATTGCACACTGGTTTAGCAACTGTTCTTCTCTGGAAGAACTGTAGTGCCCAGTGTACTTTGTTTATAGCAGCTAAAGCACAAGGCTGGATACACAAGGCTTGGGAGTTAGCTAACATCTCTGTCACTTCCTCCATAGAATTAGAATTCCCTGCACATGCTGGGTGCACAGGCCCGGTGGCCATATTGGGTGTAACTGATGCTAGTTCTAATTCAATAATTCAATAATTATTTCCCCACAGACTGTTCCCAGGAAATGGAGACATCATCAACTTTTCCAGCTGGTTTGGTTTCTCCTTCCCCAACATGGTTCTGATGCTGATCATCTCCTGGCTGTGGCTGCAGTTTATGTACCTGGGCTTCAAGTGAGTCCTTCTTTCCTGTTACGTTTTACCTTCAGTCAATAACATCCATAACACCGTCTCTTGGCAGGAAGCCGAAGCAATGTGATTGTGTGCCTGCAATCCATGTTGAAAGGGGACACATCTACGAACATATCCAATCATCAAAATGCAATATAATGATTAAGCATAGTAAAACAATAGAAGGTAATGGGTTATGGTCATATTTCACATATACAGTGGGGAGAACAAGTATTTGATACACTGCCGATTTTGCAGGTTTTCCTACTTACAAAGCATGTAGAGGTCTGTAATTTTTATCATAGGTACACTTCAACTGTGAGAGACGGGATCTAAAACAAAAATCCAGAAAATCACATTGTATGATTTTTAAGTAATTAATTTGCATTTTATTGCATGACATAAGTATTTGATACATCAGAAAAGCAGAACTTAATATTTGGTACAGAAACCTTTGTTTGCAATTACAGAGATCATACGTTTCCTGTAGGTCTTGACCAGGATTGCACACACTGCAGCAGGGATTTTGGCCCACTCCTCCATACAGACCTTCTCCAGATCCTTCAGGTTTCGGGGCTGTCGCTGGGCAATACAGACTTTCAGCTCCCTCCAAAGATTTTCTATTGGGTTCAGGTCTAGAGACTGGCTAGGCCACTCCAGGACCTTGAGATGCTTCTTACGGAGCCACTCCTTAGTTGCCCTGGCTGTGTGTTTCAGATCGTTGTCATGCTGAAAGACCCAGCCACGACCCATCTTCAATGCTCTTACTGAGGGAAGGAGGTTGTTGGCCCAAGATCTCGCGATACATGGCCCCATCCATCCTCCCCTCAATACGGTGCAGTCGTCCTGTCCCCTTAGCAGAAAAGCATCCCCAAAGAATGATGTTTCCACCTCCATGCTTCACAGTTGGGATGGTGTTCTTGGGGCTGTACTCATCCTTCTTCTTCCTCCAAACACGGCGAGTGGAGTTTAGACCAAAAAGCTCTATTTTTGTCTCATCAGACCACATGACCTTCTCCCATTCCTCCTCTGGATCATCCAGATGGTCATTGGCAAACTTCAGACGGGCCTGGACATGCGCTGGCTTGAGCAGGGGGACCTTGCGTGCGCTGCAGGATTTTAATCCATGACGGCGTAGTGTGTTACTAATGGTTTTCTTTGAGACTGTGGTCCCAGCTCTCTTCAGGTCATTGACCAGGTCCTCAGTGTAGTTCTGGGCTGATCCCTCACCTTCCTCATGATCATTGATGCCTCACGAGGTGAGATCTTGCATGGAGCCCCAGACCGAGGGTGATTGACCGTCATCTTGAACTTCTTCCATTTTCTAATAATTGCGCCAACAGTTGTTGCCTTCTCACCAAGCTGCTTGCCTATTGTCCTGTAGCCCATCCCAGCCTTGTGCAGGTCTACAATTGTATCCCTGATGTCCTTACACAGCTCTCTGGTCTTGGCCATTGTGGAGAGGTTGGAGTCTGTTTGATTGAGTGTGTGGACAGGTGTCTTTTATACAGGTAACGAGTTCAAACAGGTGCAGTTAATACAGGTAATGAGTGGAGAACAGGAGGGCTTCTTAAAGACAGGTCTGTGAGAGCCGGAATTCTTACTGGTTGGTAGGTGATCAAATACTTATGTCATGCAATAAAATGCAAATTAATTACTTAAAAATCATACAATGTGATTTTCTGGATTTTTGTTTTAGATTCCGTCTCTCACAGTTGAAGTGTACCTATGATAAAAATTACAGACCTCTACATGCTTTGTAAGTAGGAAAACCTGCAAAATCGGCAGTGTATCAAATACTTGTTCTCCCCACTGTATATATACTTCATTGTCCATTTCTGTTAGACATTGACATATAGACAAAGTAGATAAAAGCCTATATAAGACCCAGAGCCCTATGTGGTACTGTATAGAGATCTCTGATATGTCTCGGATCTATTTGGCCCATTCACCCACAGCATGAAGAAGTCGTTTGGCTGTGGGACGAATAAGGATGGTGACAAGGAGGCATACGGGGTGATGAAGAATGAGTATAAGAAGCTGGGCAGTGTGTGCTTCGCTGAGGGCTGTATCCTGGTGCTGTTTGTCCTGCTGATCCTGCTCTGGTTCACCAGAGAACCAGGTTTCATGCCCGGCTGGGCCACTGTGCTCTTCAACAAGGACAAACCGTGAGTGATAAATATCAGTATGTTCTGTGTTGTAACTCCCTCTGCTTCTGCCTGGTTCTCTCTAACTTTTTTTATCTGATAGCTTTCTGCTGTGTTTCCCAGTCTTTACTCTTTTCCGCTTTCTTGCTATCATTTTTTATTTTTTATTTTTATTTAACCTTTATTTAACTAGGCAAGTCATGTAAGCTAACAATTCAGCTATACACATAATGTGTACATAAACTGTAATTACACTGTACACGCCTATGTAACTACCATATTAATACATAGGGACACATTGAGTGGGACCAAGAGACATTGTTTATATGTAGATTTATATGTCCCAGGTACGTCACTGATGGCACAGTGGCCATCCTGATGTCAACACTGTTCTTTGTGATCCCATCCCAACTACACAGATGTGTCGGGTACTCTGAGGATGGTATGTGTGTGTGTGTGCACGTTTGTGCATTTGTGTGTTTTTTGTCAATATATCTTTGAGTGGTGAGAGTACATGGGTGTGTTTTCAAGTGTGCGATTGAGAGAGACGGTGTGTGTGTCTGCCTGTCAGTGTGTCTGTGTGTCTGTCTGTATGTCTGTGATACTACTGTATAGAACAGCCTTTCTTAAAGAATTGGTCGGACATGTTAATGGTGGGTCGTGACATGATTCTTTGGGGAAACTCAGTTGGGGTCTCAACTTACTGTTGAGAGTTTGAATAGTAGAATACACAAGGTGCAATTTCGATGTTTGGTTGGGCATCATCAGTTTTTCTCTTGTTATGTCAGTCACTGACAGTTAGTCAATTAGCCATGTCAGCTAACAAGTTTTAGATTGGTAAATTAGTTTAGCCAGCTATCTAAACTTGTAGTAGTCATGGCCGAATACCGACCAGGCACGCAGGGCACATGCCCAGGGGCCCTGACCTCTGTTCCCATTGATTTTGTTAGTCACTCTCAATCAGATATCATATTAACATGGCATAAGTCATGGCAAAATGTGTAGAATTACAGGAAATTCACTTTCAAACTAAAATGTTTCTCTCCGCCTTCAGGAGGGGGGCCCCCCAAACAAATCTCACTTAGGGCCCCCAAAAGGGATAATGTTTTCATGAGCTTGGGTCCCAGGAATTTCTCATTTGGGTCCCAGGCTGAAAAAAGTTTAAGAACCCCTGGTATAGAGATACAATCTTGCTGACTCAGTGCTTTGTAATCGCTTTGATAGCACCCTCACTTCCCAGGGCTCGCACACACTCACACACGCACACACGCACACACGCACACACACACTCCAAGACACATCAGAGGGAGCTGCAGCGTGATAGTGCTAGCCTCAAGGTCAGCCCTACATGGCTGTACTCTCTGTTCTGTCCTTTCCCCGAAATAAATAGCTTTCAAATCAATAAATGGCTGGTGGACACTTCTAAATACATATTCCTTTTTCTCCCTCTGTAACCTAAGCTGAGTTTAGTTTTCTTACTCCTGATAAGTGACAATGTCAAAACGGCAAAACAGAGTGCTCCAGTAATGTAGCTCCTTTCTCAAAACGGCGGCAGTTCAATGTGTTTGGTAAATACATGGGTGTCACAATGATTAAAGGCACTTAGTGAAGAGTTAGAGTTTGGAGTGCAAGGCAGCAGAGTTTTGCGAGGCAGACTTTAAAGTGCCTTGTCATGGCTCTTTGACTTCTGTTTTTCCGTTCCTGGCAGAGTGTTTTTGTGGTCATGTTAGTATCTAGGAGTTATCGATGGCCTTTGCTCCCTGAGTAGCGATGTAAGTAGGCATAAGTTAGTACAGTGCTATCTAGGACAGAGTCCTGTAAACCGTAACAGTATGATCTCTGACCATATAGATTTGGACAGAGATACACTTTAATGACACTGTACCTTCCTAACTACCATGTAAATACACAGGTCTTAGGGACCGTAGTCTTGCGTTACCATACTACCAAGTTCCTGCAGGAGTGCCTCGAATCGAGGCTATAAGGACTGTAATGGTAACCTTGTGTCATTCTCCTGTGTGTGCCTTGTCCCTATAGGAAAGCCCTTGAAGGCCCCTCCCACCCTGCTGAACTGGGACGTGATCCATAAGAAGATGCCCTGGAACCTCCTCCTGCTAGTGGGAGGAGGCTTTGCTCTGGCCCGTGGCAGTGAGGTACCGTCTGTCCGTGTGTCCGTTGTTAGGTCGGTCGGTCTGTCTGTCTGAATCGGTCTGTGTGTCTGTCTGTGTTATCTTTTTTTAAACAAAAATGATGACAATTGTGGTTATGTTTTTCTCTGTGTGCAGACGTCTGGTCTGTCTCAGTGGCTAGGAGAATGTCTAGCCCCCCTGCAGTCCATCCCTCCCGTTGCCATCTCCTTCCTCCTGTGTCTACTCACCGCCACTTTCACTGAGTGCTTCAGCAACATAGCTACAACCACACTGTTTCTGCCTATACTGGCATCTATGGTAAGAGCAGACAGAATCCCTTACAAATTCACATACTCGCATACAAATTCACATGTTCACTTAGCAAACCTGGATCAATGATTTTAAGTGGTGCTAGATTTAGTTTGAAGTTTGGCCTTTTGGGACTATTCCATTGCTTCCATTTTACCGGGAAAACTAAATCAAGCACAGCTAAGTATATGACATGTGTATTTGGCCCAGGTCTGGCACTTAGGCATACACTTTATGTTAATTTCACCTCTTTGACCCATGTGTGACCCTGTCTGTCTGTTCCCAGGCCGTATCCATTAAGCTCCACCCGCTGTACGTCATGCTGCCTTGCACTATCTGTGCCTCGCTGGCCTTCATGTTGCCGGTGGCCACACCCCCTAATGCCATCGTCTTCTCCAATGGCAACCTCAAAGTCATGGACATGGTACGACCTACGACCCTTCACCCATCAGCCCTCACCTCGCACCCCTCTCCATACAGTACTTTGTGTAGAGTGAAATACTATCCTGGATCCAAACTGAATTGTTATTTTTCACTTCATGATTTCAGTCAGGTCATCTCTTCATTGTAAAAAACACTTTGTGACAATTACTGATATAAAAAGGGTTTTATTCTGTAAATAAATATGATTTATTGATTGAGTCATTGAAACCAGTAGTGAAACTGAGTAATTCAGTTTGGATCCAGGCTAGTAGAACACATGGTTGTGAAACATTCAGGCTGTGACCCATGTTTTTCCCTGTTTTTCACTGCACTGACAACAGGTGAAGGCTGGATTCATGCTGAACATTATTGGTGTCATCACCATCAACATCGCCCTGAACACCTGGGGAGCAGCCATCTTCAATCTCAACACCTTCCCTGACTGGGCCAATGTTACCAACATACCCACATCCTGATCTGGAGACACTGGCGAGGAAGGAAGGAGGGAAGGAAGCGGAGGGACGGGAAGAGGAGGAGGAGGAGGAGAGAGCGGAGGGACGAGAAGAGGAGGAGGAGGAGAGAGCGGAGGGACGGGAAGAGGAGGAGGAGGAGAGAGCGGAGGGACTAGAAGAGGAGGAGGAGGAGAGAGCGGAGGGACGAGAAGAGGAGGAGGAGGAGAGAGCGGAGGGACGGGAAGAGGAGGAGGAGGAGGAGGAGAGAGCTGAGGGACGGGAAGAGGAGGAGGAGGAGAGAGCGGAGGGACGGGAAGAGGAGGAGGAGGAGAGAGCGGAGGGACGGGAAGAGGAGGAGGAGGAGGAGGAGGAGGAGGAGGAGAGAGCTGAGGGACGGGAAGAGGGGAGAGATACTATATGTACACCTCTATCTGGGACAGGCTGTGGGAAGAAGACAGTGCTGATGGTCAACCCACTCAGGGTGTTTTAAGATTACTACTGTATAGACACTCCATATAACAACACACACAGTATCTGTTTACCGGTTGCACTGGTACTCCTCCTCCAGTCTGTCAAAGTTTTGATTGATTTGAATGAAATGAATTTAGATTAATCAATTGAAATTGTTTTTGTACAGCTAAACTATGCAGGTCATGTTAAATCCTTTTTCAGGTTGCCAAGTCTGCTTAAGCTTAGAGGAGTGGACACAAGAAGGAAAAATACTGTGTGTCTGTTTGGGAATAGAACAGAATAGATTAGAATATAATATAATTTTATTTGAGGTTAGGGGATTATAGGGGTAATCTACGAGATCATTTATGTATCTTCTGATTACGTTATTATGTCAAAAACAACAACAAACAAACATCTATTTAATGTGAAAGGCAATCTGTGTTGGAATACAAATGTGATTTTTGATGTCAGGAAAACCATCAGTTGCATATTATTATGAAACGTTGCGCTGTTAGTCCTTGCAGCTGTTGCACAAAATGTTGATTTTTTATTATTGTTTCGACAGTGTTTATGTATCATGTCTAGTGTATTAAATGCTGCACACAGAAAATACTCAACCCCTCCAAATAGGATAATAATTTCAAGTGTCCAAGCACAGGCCATCTCAAACTAAATAAAACATGTTATTTTGGGGATTTTGATTTTTTTTTATTGGTTATAATTGCATTATAGTTAATGTATGATGATGACATTACTATTTGGGTTGCACATTGATTTCTTGGGTTCATACATTTTGTGGCCCTTCATACCACTTCCTGTAGGATTGCAGAATATGAATTTGGGCAAAAATTATGTCTTCAAATCCCATTGACATCCATAGGATTATGCCCACTGGCGGAGACCCCAATTGGTTTGAATGGGACAGAAGGTAAATCCTTTCTATTTCAATGTTCTTATTGTTGTTTTCAATTATATAGCTTTCAGATCATTCAGAATCCTTTCAAAGCAGTGGGTAAAAAATAAAGGAAAATACAAAATAATAATTTAGGATAAAGAAGGAAATTAATAAAATATAATTAGAATTTATAGAATTAATTCAAGGAACCACTGGCAGGGGGCCGTGTTCATTGGACGGTAGGACATGATGACCATTGGATGACCTTTCCATGACCTAGGGCGGCCGGTAATAAAATGAGATATAAAAACATTTGGGTTATAATCTGGGTGCCATTCTACCATGATCATTGCATGGTAGTGTCACTCAGAGGACAAACAAACAAGAGAAACACTCAGTGCTTCCATGCGTAGATGGGTGGAAGGGTGGTTCCATGCATAGTCGAGTGGTAGGGTGGTTCCATGCATAGTCGGGTGGTAGGGTGGTTCCATGCATAGTCGGGTGAATCCTTCCAGCAACTCTGTCTTGAGGAGAATTGAGGAGAGTGACGGACGACTAACTACCACAGTTCCCATAACGGGTGAGTCATCATCATCGCCTTTCAGACCCTTTTAGCAGATTTCTCTCTCTCTCTCTCTCTCTCGCTCTCTCTCTCTCTCTCTCTCTCTCTCTCTCTCTCTCTCTCTCTCTCTCTCTCTCTCTCTCTCTCTATCTCTCTCTATCTCTCTCTCTCTCTCTTTCTCTCTCAATAGATCTCCTTCTCTGTTGGTGGTGCAAGCTTCAGAAGTTGACTTACTTGACTTTTAAACCCTTTTACTCTGTGAGGAGCATATACAGTAGGTCATTCACACATTTTCTGTAGGCTACCGCACTCTGTTTAAGATAAGGTACACGTTATATTTTTACGGTGTGTTTTTATGCCCATTTTTCTTTTCAAAGACAGAGCTAAAATAAGAAACCTGCATAATATTGTTCTACTATGTCTGCTGGGTAGACAGCTGATGTTTAATAGCATATAGGACGTGTCCCAAATGGCACCCCGTTTCCTACATTGTACACTAGTTTTGACAGGGCCCAGGTCAAAAGTGCATAGAGTGACATTTGGGATGTTCCCATTGAATCACTGGGAGATAAATGAATATCTAATTGAAATACCCAAGAGTGAAATCACAAAGTTATAAATCTATTTAGGTTCCCTGGGGGCTGGGAGTGTTATTTTCAGAGTTTTAAAACATGAGCTCATAAATCAAGATATTTAAGGACACACGAACTGGAATCTGGAATATGATTTTTCCTCTCTGAGTAATCCGGGTCATCAACATGTTACCTCTCTCACCTGCCTCTCACATTGGCATCAAACATCATCAAGCTACCCACATACAGTAGCCACAGTCTTGTTCTATAAAACACGCTATGTTTTACATGTGTTAGAAACATCACTTTGTTACAATAGTATTAGCAGTTTACACAACTTTAGCATCCAGCTCTATTCCAGGTCACTGGCATCAGGATTGTCTGTACTGCAGTCAAGCTACCCTTTCTGGCCTGACCTGGCTGTGTGTGACATCTTCACCTAGCATCTCTTACCTAAGTTACTAGCCTAGTGAGAGCAGAGCTCTGATTGGCAGCTCTGTATTATTTCCAGGGTGAGCTGTTGTCAGGTGTTCTCAGGTAAGAAGGTGTGTCTAGGGCGCACCCCTGTCAGCACCTGAGCCAAATAACCACAATAAAAACTCACGGCAACAGAGTTGATTGATTGAACATTCTCATTCATATGTATATGTATGTGTCTTTCGGAGGGGTTGGGTTAAAAGTGGAAGTCAAATTTTGGTTGGACCTTCTGTGCAATTGACCAATAAAGTGATAAAGTGGTCTTTTAATAGGTAATTATGAAAATGATCTATGCAAAGCCTCAGCCAAGCTGGTCTGTTCTGATTTGCTGAACTGATTTACATATAAGAGTTCCAGATGCAGGATGAGTCATTCTGATGACATGGCCCAATTATTCCAACCAATCTCTGTTGTAGAGGCAGCAGCCAAGCAACACAACAAGAGGTTTAGTCAGTCTGTTGTAATTTATCTTCTGTGGGGACAACCATCTTATGTTTTCCTTTCTCTTATGATGTTCAAGTGGTGTTTGTTGGTATAGCTTGATTTAATCATTGGCACCGACACTACATTGAGAAAAATAATGTATGGCATTAAAATGAGCTGTAGTGTATTGTACTGTAGTGATGACAGGTAGGTAAATGTAAACATACATCATTTCAGAGTTAACCAACTGGCAACACTTTACCCTAAGTAGCCCCTATACCTATGTAACATACTGTAGATATGTAACACAAGTGGAATCCCATGGTTGATAGGATCCTGATCTAAGGACCTTAGTTGGCTGATTCAATTGTAACAAGGCACAGGGTATAATTCACTTCACAGAATGTCTGTTTCTCTCTAGCACCCACTACACTCTATTACCATGTAATAACATAGCAGTTACACATAGGTATATGGGCAAATTGTGTTACACGTGTTTGCGGCATTAATCCTTTCAGAGATTTGCATGATCAGTTTAGAACATTTTCCCACATTCCACATCTTCAGAAACCCCTGTTTGACTGTGTTGAGAGGTTGGCTGAGACCTCCCACTGTAACCAAAAGTTTATTCATCTGTCACTTATCCCTCTGTCTATCTATCATTCACCTCAGCCTGGGTTGAATAATAAGGTAGCTGAGGGAGAGAGAGAGGGAAGGAGAGAGCGAGAGAGAGAGAGAGAGAGAGCGAGGGAGGGAGGGAGGGAGGGAGGGAGGGAGGGAGGGAGGGAGGGAGGGAGGGAGGGAGGGAGGGAGGGTGCTCCTTTCTTGGTTCAATTGGAGGGTAGGAGAGGAATTTACCTATATTGACATACTTCTTCCACTCCTCTCTCTTACTTTCTCTCTCTCTCCCTCTACCCCCCTCTCTCCAGCTCCCTCCCCCCTCCTCCCCCTCTCTCCCTCTCTAGGCTCAGGTGTTGGTCTTGGTCCATCTGTCAGTATAAAAGTTTGGAAGAGGTCTTCAGTGGTTCAGTCCATCATTTCCTTTTTCACGGAGAGGTTTTCTGTCAATGAGAGGATCAAAGGGTCAACACCTCTCCTCTACACGGCGCCACTCAATCTAAACCAACAACCACATTGGTATGTGATCGGTCTGACAGAGTGTGACACACCTGGCACTTCTTCTCTGAGCCTGTGCGGTCTGCTCAGCACCTGACTGCCTGGCACTGCGTCCGGGACACACCTTGACACACCTGGGTACGTCTAATCCAGCCGTTTCATTAGTTAGCTAATGCTCTTTTATGCAGGTGATGATTTTTGATGCAGGTGCATCAAACTGTCAAAAATGTTAAATCTACAAAAAAAGGATATCAAATAATAATATATTGCCGTAGCAAATGAGAGCCCTGATGCAATCAAAGAACAGCAATTAGTGTCAATGGACCAAACTAGCTAATTTAACTAATGTACTATACAGGCTCTTATGATTGGTGCAATTACACAGGGAGAACCAGATCCTATCCTAAAGGTCCTATTGCAGTGGGCAAGCTCTGAAACCAGGGCAAAGTACCCACTCTCTGCCCGTGGATAGGGGATGTGATTAAGGTGTATCTGATGTCCCATTCACACAAATCACCTTCTTCGAGTCAGGTAAAGAAAGAGGGAATGAGAGAGAGACACAGAACTGGTGACTTCAGCAGTACAGCAGTTAGGCCTTTAGAACCTGTTGTGACAGGTTTCCTTCTATGTATCTCATAGCTCTCTGCTGGGCTGCCCTGGGTTGGCTGATGGCCAGACAGAAAGAGAGAAAAAGAGAAAGAGAGTGAAAGAAGAGAGAGAATGAGCATGAGATTAATGCTCTGAAGGCTGGAACCAACCCTTCAGCTCTGCTTCCTACTACCACACTCTTCTTAGTCAATATATATTCAACAGTATTCTTCAAAAGAAGAATCGCTCTGCTGGAAAGTGTTCTAGGTGTATAGGCTAAACCATGTGGATTGCGTGAATCTGATAAATTCTTCTTCTTCTTCTTCTTCAGACTGGACTGGAATGATTGATTGTCACCACGAGATTCAAATAAGATACGGTGGCCTACTGGCAGAACAAGATTGTTGTCGAGTCAAGGAGGGTGAGTTGAGCATCTCTAAATGGCCAAGAATGGAAAAAGGTTGGAAACTTTTGAGCAAGTATGCCAAACCTATGGCATTACACCTGTCTGTCTGTGCTTCTAACCAGCTATTGTTTCTTTATTAAGTGTGACATGCCTGTGAAATGACACTGACAACTCATGTACGGCATGTTAAGGCCCACAAGGAGGGGACCTTGTGTGGTGGTTGTGTGTTTGCTGGGGTGACACCAGTGTCAAAAGAAAAGCTGTGTCTTTGAACAAAGATGAGTCTTCTTACCTGCACCTCTGATGTTTAGCGGTTGAAATGGCACTGACTAATGACATTAAGCATGCTTTAGTGGCCCACTGACCCAGTGCCAGCCACAATGGACTGAGTAACTACCCCTACTGTATGATCAACTTAGCACAAAATCTTCTTACAACTAACTCATGATAAAATATTTAACAGACTTAAGTTATTACTGTCAATCCAAGCATCTGTGACTTTCAAATATATGGATCAGGTGTTATAGAGCCAAATGCTAAAGGACAAATTGAGAGATTAGAATCGTTAGCATGAAAGCTGTCAATAAATCCCCAAGGGGAAAAGGTTAGAAGGACATCTTTACTACAGATTAATGACAGGTTCCATAATGACATAATGACATGGTGCCTGGGAACTGAAGGTTTCTGTAGCTTACAGAGAATAAACAGACTTCTTATTTTGAAACACTTACATAACATTAATCTTGAGCCTGAAATTGTAATTGTCAAGTAATGTTATGGATGTTTTTTTAGCGGTGACAATAAGAAATATTAAAAGATAAGAATACGAACATAAAACAAATGGCTCAGTAGAATAAACCTTTTAGCAAGTGAGTAACATCAAGGAGATTAACATTCAAAAGCTTGTTCAGTACATGAGGGCAAACATGACAGCCACATGTTTTTTATACACAGGACAGAAGTTTATAGGTTTTTGTTCCAGACTTTCACTAACACCTCATTCAACTTATTGTGGTCTAAATTGTAGACGATGAATAGTTGAACATGGTGTTTGCTGGGCAGGAATAAGAACTTGCTCACAGTGCAGTACTCTGGGGCAGAAATCACCCATGTCAGTATTTTAGAATGACCGCCATATGTAACAATGAGTTGACAATTATGCATGATAGAGAATAACTTGTGAATCTACTTCTAACATAGTGATGTTGCACAGTGCTGAATAAACTCCTGACTAAACTCCTGGGATTGGGTGATTTTCCTGGTGGGCGGGAGGTTCCAAAGTTCTTTCCATCTGTCTGGGTGATGGGGTGGGATGTGCTTCAACCTGAAGAGAACAGAGCAGAAACATAAGGCCAAGGGAGGAGAAATTAACCTCACTGCTCAAATTTCAGTCCTGGTTCAGGTTGCTGTGAACCACAACTACCCTTGTTAATGTGCAATGGTTTTGTAAACAGTTTTCATATTCATAGGCTTGATCAATTTGTCACCGATTTACTTTTCATTGATCATTTCATTATTCAAAACATTTTCTTTATATGCAATGGTGAAACACGAGGGGAGGGGAAAGTGACAAGAAGAAAGTTAGCTAGCTAGCATGCATATATTGACTGATCATGTAAGAATGCACAAATAACTTGGCTGGCTAGCAAGCCTAGATTGAACTGGAACATTTTCTCCCGAATGGGGACCATAACAGTCCACCATTAAATCAGACATTTTTTGAATTTCCGCTGTGTCGCAAGATGTTATGGGATAGCCTCCCCACCGAAGGGAACGAAAAAGTATGCTCCCATGCGTGCTTTGTTTTCCAGACCTCCCAAGTACGCTTATAGAACTTCCAGGTAAACTTAGTACATACTTGTCTTTTCACGTTCTTATGTTTGGAATCGCACACGAAAAATGACAGTTGACTTTCGTACTTGCTTAACGCTCTAGATAGAACACAAGTATGCATTTTGGAACACTATCAGTGTTTGTTTGACTAAATAGTACATGACATGTGAGAACTAACAGGAGCGCTATGATTTGCATATATGACTGTATCACATTGTTGACAACAGGCAAGCCAGTACTTTCACATTGTCAAGGTGACGTGTATGCGGGAAACGAAGTCAAGCGCAGGACACCGAACTACTGGCAGAACGTACTTTACTCAAAACCGTAAAGAAAGTACAAAACAAAACTCCAAACAGGGAGGAACAATAATCGCATACAACCAGCACTGCCGACCTAACGGAAAACAATCACACACAACAAACAAATGAGAGACAGGGTTTTTTAAAGGGAATACAATCAACACTAATGGGACACAGGTGTAAACAATACAGACCCGTCTAGACAAACACCGAAACATAGATCGGTAGCAGCTAGTACTCCGGGGACGACGAACGCCGAAGCCTGCCCGAGCAAGGAGGAGGAGCAGCCTCGGCTGAATCCGTGACACACATGCAGGCATGAGAGCCTGAAAAGAGAGGAAAAGGTATGGGATTATGTCTTTGCCTGGTTTCATGGTCCTACCCAATGGTATGTTTCCAGGAAAAACTTCCCCAAAAGGACAAATTCATGGTAAACAGGTTGGAGGAGCACCCTATATCTAAATTCCTCTAGAAAAGCATATTTAAAGTACTCAGACCCCTTGACTTTTTCCAAATTTTTCCAAATTTAGCTGCACAGCTATTTTCAGGTCTCTCCAGAGATGTTAGATCGGGTTCAAGTCCGGGCTCTGGCTGGGCCACTCAAGGACATTCAGACTTGTCCCGAAGCCACTCCTGCGTTGTCCTGTTGGAAGGTGAACCTTCGCTCCACTTTGAGGTCCTGAGCGTTCTGGAGCAGGTTTTCATCAAGGATCTCTCTGTACTTTGCTCCGTTCATCTTTCCCTCAAAGCTGACTAGTCTCCCAGTCCCTACTGCTGAAAAACATCCCCACAGCATGATGCTGCCACCCCCATGCTTCACCATAGGGATGGTGCCATGTTTCCTCCAGACGTGATGCTTGGCATTCAGGCCAAAAGTTCAATCTTGGTTTCATCAGACCAGATAATCTTGTTCCTCATGGTCTGAGAGTCCTTTAGGTGCTTTTTGGCAAACTCCAAGCGGTCTGTCATGTGCCTATTATTGAGGAGTGGCTTCCGTCTGGCCACTCTACCATATCAGCCTGATTGGTGGAGTGCTGCAGAGATGGTTGTCCTTCTGGAAGGTTCTCCCATCTCAATAGAGGAACTCTGGAGCTCTGTCAGAGTGACCATCAGGTTCTTGGTCACCTCCCTGACCAAGTGCCTTCTCCCCCTTGGTGGTTCCAAACTTCTTCCATTCTAGAATGATGGAGGCCACTCTGCTCTTCTTTCTGTAGAAATGTTTTGGTACCCTTCCCCAGATCTGTGCCTCGACACAATCTTGTCTTGGAGCTCTACGGACAACTCCTTCGACCTCATGGGTTTGTCCCTGTGGGACCTTATATAGACAGGTGTGTGCCTTTCCAAATCATGTCAAATCAATTGAATTTACCACAGATGGACTCCAATCAAGTTGTAGAAACATCTCAAGGATGATCAATGGAAACAGGATGCACCTGAGCTCAATTTCGAGTCTCATAGCAAAAGGTCTGAATACTTATGTAAATAAGGTATTTCTGTTTAGTTTTTTTCGCTTTGTCAGTATGGGGTATTGTGTGTAGATTGATGAGGAAAAAAAACAATTTAATCCATTTTAGAATAAGGTTGTAACGTAACAAAATGTGGAAAAAGGGAAGGGGTCTGAATACTTTCCGAATGCACTGTAGTTAAGGGGCAGGAAACAGTAGCCACAGTATTTGCAGGCTTTTGTTCCAGCCCAGCTCTAACACACCTGATTCAACACATCAACTAATCATGATCTTCAATATAGACTTGTATTACAGTTTTTTCCCAACAGCTTACACACGTTTTCAAAACTATGTCTCCTTTTTTCAAAACTCTACACACAATTCCCAAAACTGCACACACAAAATTCAAAATGCCTCACATCTCCTTCAAAATGTAACACTGCATTCAAAATGCCATAAACACATGTCAGAATGAAGCATTTGCATCAAATGTCAAACACTTCTTTCATAATAGTAAATATTTGGATATACCATGTAAACACTGTTGTTCTAAATCTAAAGCTCTTTGGTCTTTCATAGGCTTATATCTACATTTCAATACAATGTTCTACAGTGAAAGTAATCTGCTGAGAGGGGTAACAAGTACACTGTAAACACCAATGCAATGTAGAAACAGGCCAAACATTACTGTTGTATACAGTAGCATACAACAAAACCATAAACATATGTAAACCAAAAGTATATTCTTTAGAATACAGTAAAGAACACAATTGTGTGTGGGGGGTCCCGGGGGGGCAGTCCAGGAATTGGTAGGGGGGGGGGGGGGCAGTCACCAGTGCTAAGCTACGCTTCATCTCTTCTCCAGGCTGGGTCTGGCCACAATACTTCGTCCACATCACAAGATAAGTTTTCTCTTGCCAAACATCGAGGGAAGTATCTCCTAGCATGGCATATCCAACCTTGGACAGAGGCAACCTCTATGTCCCCACATGCGTCCTCCATTGCCTGGAGAAGCGGCATGCGGGCATAGGGTTGGCGATCATACACTTTCCAGCGCCAGGCTGAGAAGAATTCCTCTATGGGATTTAGAAAAGGTGAATATGGGGGTAGGTACAAAACTACAAATTGTGGATGGGTGGCAAACCAGTTTTGGACCAGAACAGCCCGGTGAAAACGAACATTGTCCCATATAACCACAAATCTAGCAGGCTCCTGATCTGGATCAGGGACAAGCATTGTGTAAATTGCATCCAGAAAAGTGAGCATATGGCCGGTGTTGTACGGACCCAGTGTGGCATTGTGATGGAGGACCCCGTTTTGAGTGATGGCAGCACACATGTCTAGGGACATTGGTAATTGCCCTCTGTCCTATTACATTTCTTCCGCGGCGCCTGGTTTTGGTGAGGTTGAAGCCAACCTCATCTACATAAATAAATTTATGGCGAATTACATGGGCATCCATCTCCAATACTCTCTGTAACAGACAAAAGGATATACAGATGAGTAAATATGGTATGTCTGAAGTACTGGAAGTAGTGTTGCAAACATACCTCTACAAAGTCATGTCGCAGATTCTTGACTCTGTCAGAGTTTCTCTCAAATGGCACCTTGTAAAGTTGTTTCATCGTCACTTGGTGCCGTTGGAGGATGCGTTGTATGGTCGACAGGCTTACAGCATTGATGTTGTTAAATATGGTGTCATTATTCAAGATATGCTCTCTTATCTCTTGAATCCTAATTGCATTGTTGGCCAAAACCATATTTATAATTACAGTCTCTTGTACATCTGTAAACAAGCGTCCTCGTCCTCCATGATGTCTTTGCCTTTCCACTCTGTACAGAATTCAAACACAGTATGTGTTCAGCATAGGAACCGTAAACAATGTACAAAAACAGGTAGTACAGCATGATAACCAACCTCATTCATTCAATGCAGTGCAGTAAATGGATGGCTTAGAGTTACAAATGTTTATGCAATACTATGCAGTCATACGTATTTTACAGTACATTACTGTAATGCTAAAATAGTCATTAGATAGTTGCATACCTGTTCTCATTTCTGAAGGTTCGAATTATGGACGCCACTGTAAATCGACTCAATTTGGGCTGGACTCTCAGTCCAGCCTCTCTCATGGTCATACCGTGGTTGATCACATGATCAACAAGTGTTGCCCTAATCTCATCAGAGATGGCTCTCCTTCCTTCTCTTCTTTGCCCTCGTCCGCTTCTTCCCCTTCCTCTTCCTCCTACTCCTCCTCCTCTTCAACTCTTCGTCTTTGAATTTGTCCTCATTGTTGTCCCCTGCCTCTCCCTCCTCCTCTTGCTCTCTGTCAATTGTTGGCATCCATTATTCAAAACAGGTAATCTGACCTTTGACCTATTTATAGGCCTATACTACAGTAAAGCAGTGATTGGTTAGTGATCAGTTAAGCAATTAGTGTTTGCACATGTGAGGAGTGTGTGTGTGACCTGGTGAATAAGTGTAGCATTTTGATTGGTTTTGTTTGGAAAAGGAAAGCAAGTCACTTCCTGTTAGATTTTTGTGTTTTAGGTAGAGAATTGTGTGTAGTGTTTTTGAAAAATGTGTTTTATGCAATTGACAACTGAGTCATAGGCTGAGAAATAGCTTATGGTTTTGGAGATTTGGTGTATAGTTTTGCACTTTGAGTGAGAGGTTTAAAAAATCGTGTGACATGAAAAGATTTAGTGTGTAAGCATTTGGAAAAAAAAGTTGCCCACCCCTGTCTTACTGTCTGTGACATGACATACAGTGGGGAAAAAAAGTATTTAGTCAGCCACCAATTGTGCAAGTTCTCCCACTTAAAAAGATGAGAGAGGCCTGTAATTTTCATCATAGGTACACGTCAACTATGACAGACAAATTGAGAAAAAAATTCCAGAAAAACACATTGTAGGATTTTTAATGAATTTATTTGCAAATTATGATGGAAAATAAGTATTTGGTCACCTACAAACAAGCAAGATTTCTGGCTCTCACAGACCTGTAACTTCTTCTTTAAGAGGCTCCTCTGTCCTCCACTCGTTACCTGTATTAATGGCACCTGTTTGAACTTGTTATCAGTATAAAAGACACCTGTCCACAACCTCAAACAGTCACACTCCAAACTCCACTATGGCCAAGACCAAAGAGCTGTCAAAGGACACCAGAAACAAAATTGTAGACCTGCACCAGGCTGGGAAGACTGAATCTGCAATAGGTAAGCAGCTTGGTTTGAAGATATCAACCGTGGGAGAAATTATTAGGAAATGGAAGACATACAAGACCACTGATAATCTCCCTCGATCTGGGACTCCACGCAAGATCTCACCCCGTAGGGTCAAAATGATCACAAGAACGGTGAGCAAAAATCCCAGAACCACACGGGGGGACCTAGTGAATGACCTGCAGAGAGCTGGGACCAAAGTAACAAAGCCTACCATCAGTAACACACTACGCCGCCAGGGACTCAAATCCTGCAGTGCCAGACGTGTCCCCCTGCTTAAGCCAGTACATGTCCAGGCCCGTCTGAAGTTTGCTAGAGTGCATTTGGATGATCCAGAAGAGGATTGGGAGAATGTCATATGGTCAGATGAAACCAAAATATAACTTTTTGGTAAAAACTCAACTCGTCATGTTTGGAGGACAAAGAATGCTGAGTTGCATCCAAAGAACACCATACCTACTGTGAAGCATGGGGGTGGAAACATCATGCTTTGGGGCTGTTTTTCTGCAAAGGGACCAGGACGACTGATCCGTGTAAAGGAAAGAATGAATGGGGCCATGTATTGTGAGATTTTGAGTGAAAACCTCCAGCCAATCAGCAAGGGCATTGAAGATGAAACGTGGCTGGGTCTTTCAGCATGACAATGATCCCAAACACACCGCCCGGGCAACGAAGGAGTGGCTTCGCAAGAAGCATTTCAAGGTCCTGGAGTGGCCTAGCCAGTCTCCAGATCTCAACCCCATAGAAAATCTTTGGAGGGAGTTGAAAGTCCGTGTTGCCCAGCGACAGCCCCAAAACATCACAGCTCTAGAGGAGATCTGCATGGAGGAATGGGCCAAAATACCAGCAACAGTGTGTGAAAACCTTGTGAAGACTTACAGAAAACATTTGACCTGTGTCATTGCCAACAAAGGGTATATAACAAAGTATTGAGAAACTTTTGTTATTGACCAAATACTTATTTTCCACCATAATTTGCAAATAAATTCATTAAAAATCCTACAATGTGATTTTCTGGAAAAAAAAATTCTCATTTTGTCTGTCATAGTTGACGTGTACCTATGATGAAAATTACAGGCCTCTCTCATCTTTTTAAGTGGGAGAACTTGCACAATTGATGGCTGACTAAATACTTTTTTCCCCCACTGTATAGGAGCATAGAGAAAATGCACAGAAGCTTATAACGTCTGTGATGGATGACTTGGAATGTCAACACGACACCAAAACTGTAAGTAAAGTGAACGAGGGTTAAACCCCCAGTATTCCTTCTTTGAGATTATGTTAGTTTTCTCCCCTCGTCTCACTGTTGGCACTCTGGGCTTTAGTTATAACAACACAACACAGGAACCGACAGAGCAAAGGAGATGAAAATAAGTACTTCCTAATTACATGATGGATGAAAGCGAAAAGGTAGACGCTCTTGGTCCATTAGAACTGCCAGTCAAGGTGAGGGTTAGTTATGGCAACATCTCAGGACTGGGACAGCTGAAACATGCTCAGAAACAAGCACACCTGGGTTCAAATACTACTTGAAAACTTTTAAATACTTTGAGCATTTGCTCTAGCTTGCCCAAGTTCCAGATAGGTGGGTTTACAGTTTTGGGACTATTCTATTGGTCCATTAAGTTAGGTATGCTCAATCAAGCACAGATAAAGTATTTGTAATGATTTGAAACTATTTGAACCCAGGTCTGTCAGAAACCAGCAAACCGTTCAGCTTTAGAAGAGCTTTAAAGAGGAATTGGACACTTAGAGGAAAACCAGCACCACTAAACATTGGTGTATCAAATTATTCACATATATATTTTTGTCTTTAAATCAGATGAGAACCATTCATTCATACATTTTGACTCCTAATTTGTGGGAATATCCCCAGGACAAACTGTGGACATTTTGATACCTGATTTTGAATGGGTCGTTTTTTCTATGGTTATGATAGCATGGCAGAGTTGGCAGACTGGTGCCATTCCTTTTCCCACATGTCAACTCACAGACGATGGCAGCGTTTGCTCATCTGAATGGCACATACATTTGTCAGTATTAGGTTCTGGTTGTGGGGACCATTATCAGTACACAGTTCCTAGAGTTAAATCATTTTGACATTAAGGTTAATTGTGAAGATGTATTGCAGTATATTGGTTAGTTCCCAGAATCTAACGAATGACCCTGCTGTTACATGGCAAGTGCACTACATCTATGCCATAAAGGTCCAGCCCTTTTGTCAGAGGTCACAGTACGCTTACAAACAGGGATGTCACACTATAGTCCTCAACCTCCCACAGATCCCGCTCCACCTTGAATCCAGTTAACCATCTATGGCCAAAGAAATGGCAGCACAGTCATTCTTCCTCGTCAGTGCAACTCCAAACGACCAATCAGAGGTTTGTGTCAAGCAGGTCAAAAGTCAAAGGAGCTGTTGCTGCAACAGAACAAAGGCTGTCTCAACTCTGACATTTCACTTCCTTTTTACTCCTGTATGAAAACATCCACAATCTCTCTCTCTCTCTCTCTCTCTCTCTCTCCCTCTCCGTCTCGGGTCGCCATCATTAATGGCTGATCCCTGGCCGTGACCCCACTCTCCAAGGGTGTCTCATGGAGAGTTGGGATATGCAAAAAACACATTTCCATTTACACACATACAGGTTCCCCACATGTACAGTACCAGTCAAAGGTTTGGACACACCTACTCATTCATTATTTTTCACTATTTTCTAAATTGTAAAATAATAGTGAAGACATCAAAACTATGAAATAACACATATGGAATGATGTAGTAACCAAAAAAGTGTTAAACAAATCAAAATATATTTTATATTTGTGATTCTTCAAATAGCAACCCTTTGTCTTGATGACAGCTTTGCACACTCTTGGCATTCTCTCAACCAGCTTCATGAGGTAGTGATAGCCCTATTTGGTAAAAGACCAAGTCCATTTTTATGGCCAGAACAGCTCAAATAAGCAAAGAGAAATGACAGTCCATCATTACTTTAAGACATGAAGGTCAGTCAATTGTAAGGGTTGGTGTGAGGTGTGACCCAGGTGCGGTGCAGGATAGACAGTCGGTAGTAGGCAGAGATGGTGAAACAAGGATCTTTACTAGTGGTCCCAAAGCCAGGATACAAAATAGCAAATAGGTCTCCAAAAACAGGCTGACAGCCAAAATACGAAATACTTACTACGACTGAAACAAATAAAGAAACAGGGAGAACACTTCTCATGTACCTGTACATACATCTCCGATCAGACACTGATTAGTACTGCTGGGCATAGAGAAACTAGCAGAGAAAACTGAGCAAGGGAACACAGGGAAGTGAGGGCATAAATACGCAGGTGAACAGGTAGACACAGGTGACACAAATAGGATCATGATTAGTCCAGACTGTGAGTGAGGAGGTGCCTAAGGTTGTCAGAGGAGGACACCTAGTGGATCACACCGGAACTGCGACCCCCTCCTGTAACAGTGCCCCCCCTTAACAAAGGTCCCCAGCCGTTCACCTCGGCGGAATGTTGTTATCAGCCCTGGGTCCAGAATGGGCACCTCCTGGGCACCCAGGACCGCTCCTCCGGCCCATAATCCTCCCAGTCCAGCAGAAATTGGAGACCCCTCCCCACCCGCCGGCAGTCCAGGATCTGGTCCACAGTAAAAGCCGGCTGCCCTCGACGAGGCATAGCGGGGGAACAGGATGAGGAGGGGGAGCCAGGGGACAGGTGGCAATGGGCTTGAGGAGGGACACATGGAACGTGGGATGCACCCGCATGGTCGGGGGAAGTTGCAGGCGGTAGGCCACTAGGTTGACTGGCCGGACCACTCTGAATGGCCGACGAAATGGGGGGACAGCTTCCTGGACTCCAAGTGGAGGGGAAGATCCCGCGTGGAGAGCCACACCCTCTGTCCCGGGTGAAAAACCGGGGCCGGGCGACGCCTGTGGTTGGCCAGATGTTGAGACCTGACCGAGGCCTGCTTAAGCGCCGCCCGTACCTGCCTCCAGGTGCGGCGACAGAGACTGATGTGGGCCTGAACCAACAGGATCGCCACCTCCTCCTCTTGCTGGGGGAATAGGGGGGGTTGTTACCCGTATTGGCACTGGAAGGGGGACAGGCCAGTGGACAAGCAGAGAAGGGTGTTGTGGGCGTACTCTGCCCACTCCAGTCGCTGACTCCACGTAGCTGGGTTGCTGGAGGCATAGCACCTCAGCACCCCATCTGGATCCTGGTTGACGCGCTCTGTCTGCCCATTCGACTGGGGATGTAATCCGGAAGACAAGCTGACGGAGGCGCCGAGGCAGGTGGCGAACATCTTCCAGAACCTGGAGGCGAACTGAGGGCCCCGATCCAACACCACATCTTGGGGAAGGCCGTGGACCCGGAAAACGTGCTGCACCACCAACTTAGTGATCTCAAGGGCCGACGGGAGTTTGAGAAGGGGAATGAAGTGGGCAGCCTTCGAAAACCATTCCACAACGACCAGGATGACTGTGTATCCATCAGAGGGGGTAGCGCGGAAATGAAATCCAACGAGATGTGGGACCAGGGGCACTTGGGGATAGACAGGGGTCGGAGCAGCCCTGCCACGGGCTGACGTGAGCTTTTCGTGCGCACGCACACCGGGAAAGCAGCCATGAAGGCACGCGTATCCCCCTCAGCTGATGGCCACCAGAACCTCCTATGCAGGTACTCCAATGTCCTGGCGCCCCCCGGATGGCTGGTGAGGTTGGGCACGTGCGCCCTCTGAAGCAGTCTCTGGCGCGCTGCCTTGGGTACGTACATCCTCTACGATGGACCTCCGCCCGGATCGGGCTCCCGCCGTAGCGCTGCTCTGACCAGCCTACCGATTCCCCACGAAACTGGGGCAGCAATCAGGTCGTTGGGGACAATGGGGTCGTCCCTCTCCAACAGGTCCACGGGGTCGAACTGCCGGGAGAGCGCGTCAGGCTTGGTGTTCTTCGACCCCGGACGGTATGAGATCGTGAACCAGAACCTGGTGAAGAACAACTGCCACCTGGCCTGGTGCGAGTTGAACAACGAGTTGAACAACGGCCCCCTGAATGTAGGCTAAGTTCTTATGGTCAGTCCATATGACGAATAGATGGGCGGCCCCCTCTAGCCAATGCCTCCACTCCCCCAGGGCGAGCTTGACTGCTATCAGCTCACGGTTCCCCACGTCGTAATTCCGCTCCACCGGGGACAGCCAACGGGAGAAAAACACGCAGGGGTGAGTCTTAACGTCTGTTAGGAACCACTGGGACAGGATTGCTCCCACCGCAACGTCTGAAGCATCCACCTCCACAATGAACGGCAGGGACAGATCAGGACCGGGGCCGGTGTAAAGCGCCGCTTAAGTGCATCGAATGCGTTCCCTGCTTCCGGGGTCCAGGCAAAGGAGCGCACACTCGTCTGGGTGAGGGTTGTCAGGGGAGCGGCTAGGGAGCTAAAATTGCAAATAAATCGGCTATAAAAATTAGCGAACCCTAAAAACCGTTGTAGTTGCTTGAGGGAGGAGGGCTGGGGCCAATCCATTACCGCGCTGACCTTAGCTGGGTCCATCCGTAGGTCCCCCTGGGTGACGATGAACCCCAGGAAGGAGACTGTCTCCGTGTGGAACACGCACTTCTCCACCTTGACGTGGAGCTGGTGACGGAGAAGGCGTTGGAGGACCTGCCAAACATGCTGCTGGTGTTTTGAAAATATTAGGTATGTCATCCAAATACACGAAGACGCTGTAGTCGAGGAGGTCCCGGAGCACATCATTGACCAATGCCTGGAACACCGCAGGCGCGTTGGCTAGACCGAATGGCATGACTTGGTACTCGTAATGCCCACTGGGTATGTTAAAAGCCGTCATCCACTCGTCCCCCTCCCGAATCCTCACCAGGTTGTAGGCATTTTGTAAGTCCAGCTTGGTGAAGACCCGGGCTCCCTGCAATGACTCGAATGCCGTCGTCAATAGGGGGAGTGGGTAGCGGTTCTTAACCGTGATGTCTCACCCGGTAATCAATGCACGGCCGCTGCCCACCGTCCTTTTTCCCCACAAAGAAGAAGCCAGCGCCTGTGCGTGAGGTAGAGGGGCGGATGTGACCCTCGATGAGTGCCTCGTCGATATACTCCCTCATGACCAGCGTCTCCGGCCGGGACAAGGGAAACAATCGCCCTCGTGTGGGCATGGCGCCCGGCAGGAGATCGATAGAGCAGTCGAATGGCCTGTGAGGAGGTAGGCCCTTGACACGCCTCTTACTAAACATCTCCCCCAGATCCCAATACTCCCGAGGAACGCCTGCCAGGTCTGGGCCGGTGACGGAGTCATTAGCCGGCATCCTCACGGTAGGCAGTTCGGAGTGCGGGACCTGGGGAAGAGGTGAGGACTGGTAGGTGGTCTGGGACAGTGGTTTGGGCTGATGAGTGGTAGGTGGAGACCGGAACAGGATGGGGGCGGAGCCTCCCTCCAGGATGAGTTGCCCCGTGGACCAGTCTATCCGGGGTTTGTGGGCGATCAGCCAGGCGTGCCCAAGGACGAGGGGACACTCCAGAGAGTCCACAATTAAAAACTGGATATCCTCCCATAGCCCCCCTGCCACCCGGACATGCACAGGGACAGTGCGCCGAGTGATGAAGCCCGACCCCAACGGCTGGCAGTCCAGGCCCATGACTGGAACCGGCTCGGAGAGGGAGAGTAACAGAATGCTCCACCCTTGGGCCAGCCCCGCGTCCATCAGGTTTCCCGTGGCCCCAGAATCCACCAGTGCATGCGCCCAACGCGCAGTGCGGGCCCACTGAACCCTGACGGGGAGAAAAGTCCAGGAGTCTCTGGAGGTTGGGTTTCGGTTCCGGCTCGCTAGCACCCCTCCCGATATTAGTGAGCCCTCCCGTTTCCCGGCTTCTCCGGGCATGTGTCGATGTGGTGACCGGCCTGGCCGCAGTACAGGCAACGTCCCTGGCGCAGACGCTTCCATCTCTCCAAGCACGCCGCACCCAGCTGCATAGTCTCCTTCTGAGGCGTCTTTTTTTCTCTGAATCGGCGGAAAGCCTCCGGGCTGATAGGGGGACGAAGAAGCGCGACTTGCGTCATCCCTCTCTCGTGCACCCTCTCACGACGCCGATTGTCTACCTGCACCGAGAGGTTGACGAGGCCGTCCAGTCGCTCAGGCAGCTACCTGAAGGAGAGTTCGTCCTTCATCCCCTCCGATAGCCACTGCATCAACAGAGTGATGATGTAGGCCACCCACCCTGCTCCGTCGGGAAGGAGGAAGATTGTAGGCTGAACACCAGGGAACACTGGGTGAGGAATTCCCTGCAGCCCTCTGGGCGTCCGTCATACCTCTCCGGAGGTGGTAGGCGGGGTTCCCGCGATGTCGCAGGAGAGACTGGAGATGCCACTACCGCGGCTTCCGCTCCGCCGGCTGCCGGGGAATGGTCGGGTGTCCATCCGGCTCTGCACGGCGATCGTCAGCTGGCAGAGATTTTCGGTGATCTGCTGTAGGCTGCGGTCGTGTTGGTTCAGCATAGCGCCCTGTGTTGCCAATGCGCTCCGATACTGTGCTGCCTCCGCTGGACCATATTGGCTCAGTTTTCTGTAACGGTTGGTGTGAGGTGTGACCCAGGTGGGGTTTAGGATAGACAGTAGGCATTAGGCAGAGATGGTGAAACAAGGATCTTTACTGGTGGTCCCGAAGCCAGGAAACAAAATAACGGACTTATCACGATAAAAGAAAGGCGGAGCAAATAAGTCTCCAAAAACAGGCTGACAGCCAAAATATGAAATACTAACTACGACTGAAACAAATAAAGAAACAGGAAGAACACTTCTCAAGTACCTGTACATACGTCTCCGATCAGACACTGATTAGTACTGCTGGGAAACTAGCAGAGAAAACTGAGCAAGGGAACAAAGGGAAGTGAGGGCATAAGTACACAGGTGAACAGGTAGACACAGGTGACACCAATAGGATCATGATTAGTCCAGACTGTGAGTGAGGAGGTGCCTAAGGTTGTCGGAGGAGGACACCTAGTGGATCGCTCCGGAACTGCGACCCCCTCCTGTAACAGTCAATATGGAAAATTTCAAGAACTTTTAAAGTTTCTTCAAGTGCAGTCGCAAAAACCATCAAGCGCTATGATGAAACTGGCTCTCATGAGGACCGCCACAGGAATGGAAGACCCAGAGTTACCTCTGCTTAAGAGGATATGTTCATTAGAGTTACCAGCCTCAGAAATTGCAGCCCAAATAAATGCTTCACAGAGTTCAAGTAACAGACACATTTCAACATCAACTTTTCAGAGGAGACTGTGTGAATCAGGCTTTCGTGGTCGAATTGCTGTAAAGAAACCACTACTAAAGGACACATAATAAGAGACTTGCTTGGGCCAAGAAACATGAGCAATGGACATTAGACCGGTGGAAATTTGTCCTTTGGTCTGGAGTCCAAATTGGAGATTTTTGGTTCCAACTGCCGTGTCTTTGTGAGACGCAGTGTGGGTGAACGAATGATCTCCACATGTGTATTTCCCACCGTAAAGCATGGAGGAGGAGGTGTTATGGTGTGGGGGTGCTTTGCAGGTGACACTGTCTGTGATTTATTTAGAATTCAAGGCACACTTAACCAGCATGGCTACCACAGCATTCTGCAGCGATACGCCATCCCATCTGGTTTGGGCTTATTGGGACTATCATTTGCTTTTCAACAGGACAATGGCCCAACACACCTCCAGGCTGTGTAAGGGCTATTTTACCAAGAAGGAGAGTGATGGAGTGCTGCATCAAATGACCTGGCCTCCACAATCCCCCAACCTCAACCAAATTGAGATGCTTTGGGATGAGTTGGACCGCAGAGTGAAGGAAAAGCAGCCAACAAGTGCCCAGCATATGTGGGAACTCCTTCAACACTGTTGGAAAAGCATTCCAGGTGAAGCTGGTTGAGAGAATGCCAAGAGTGTGCAAAGCTGTCATCAAGGCAAAGGGTGGCTATTTGAAGAATCTCAAATATAAAATATATTTTGATTTGTGTAACACTTTTTTGGTTACTACATGATTCCATATGTGTTATTTCATGGTTTTGATGTATTCACTATTATTCTACAATGTAAACAATTGTAAAAAATAAAGAAAAACCCTTGAATGAGTACAGTCGTGGTCAAAAGTTTTGAGAATGACACAAGCATTGGTCTTCGCAAAGTTTGCTGCTTCAGTGTTATGAGATATTTTTGTCAGATGTTACTATGGTATACTGAAGGATATTACAAGCATTCCATAAGTGTCAAAGGCTTTTATTGACAATTACATTAAGTTTATGCAAAGAGTCAATACTTGCAGTGTTGACCCTTCTTTTTCAAGACCTCTGCAATCCGCCCTGGCATGCTGTCAATTATTTTCTGGGCCACATCCTGACTGATGGCAGCCCATTGTTGCATAATCAGTGCTTGGAGTTTGTCAGAATTTGTGGGTTTTTGTTTGTCCACCCGCCTCTTGAGGATCGACCACAAGTTCTCAATGGGATTAACGTCTGGGGATTTTCCTGGCCATGGACCCAAAATGTCAACGTTTTGTTCCCCGAGCCACTTAGTTATCACTTTTGCCTTATGGCAAGGTGCTCCATCATGCTGGAAAAGGCATTTGTCGTCACCAAACTGTTCTTGGATGGTTGGGAGAAGTTGCTCTTGGAGGATGTGTTGGTACCATTCTTTATTCATGGCTGTGTTCTTAGACAAAATTGTGAGTGAGCCCACTCCCTTGGCTGAGAAGCAACCCCACACATGAATGGTCTCAGGATGCTTTACTGTTAGCATGACACAGGACTGATGGTAGCGCTCACCTTGTCTTCTCCGGACAAGGTGTTTTCCGGATGCCCCAAACAATTGGAAAGGGGATTTATCAGAGAAAATGACTTTACCCCAGTCCTCAGCAGTCCAATCCCTGTACCTTTTGCAGAATATCAGTCTGTCCCTGATGTTTTTCCTGGAGAGAAGTGGCTTCTTTGCTGCCCTTCTTGACACCAGGCCATCCTTCAAAAGTCTTCGCCTCACTGTGTGTGCAGATGCACTCACATCTGCCTGCTGCCATTCCTGAGCAAGCTCTGCACTGGTAGTGCCCCGATCCCGCTGCTGAATCAACTTTAGGAGACAGTCCTGGCGCTTGCTGGACTTTCTTGGGCGCCCTGACGCCTTCTTCACAACAATTGAACCTCTCTCCTTGAAGTTCTTGATGATCCGATAAATGGTTGATTTAGGTGCAATCTTACTAGCAGCAATATCCTTGCCTGTGAAGCCCTTTTTGTGCAAAGCAATGATGACGGCACGCGTTTCCTTGCAGGTAACCATGGTTAACAGAGGTAGAACAATGATTTCAAGCACCACCCTCCTTTTAAAGATTCCAGTCTGTTATTCTAACTCAATCAGCATGACAGAGTGATCTCCAGCCTTGTCCTCGTCAACACTCTCACCTGTGTTAACGAGAGAATCACTGACATGATGGCAGCTGGTCCTTTTGTGGCAGGGCTGAAATGCAGTGGAAAAGTGTTTTTGTGATTAAGTTCATTTTCATGCTAAAGAGGGACTTTGCAATTAATTGCAATTCATCTGATCACTCTTCATGACATTCTGGAGTATATACAAATTGCCATCATCAAAACTGAGGCAGCCTACTTTGTGAAAATTAGTATTTGTGTCATTCTCAAAACTTTTGACCACGACTGTAGGTGTGTCAAAACTTTTGACTGGTAGTATACATGCAGGTAAACAGGAAAAATATAATTTGACCTTTTTGACAGAAACACACACACACACACACACACACACACACACACACACACACACACACACAAGAGAACACAAGAGTCTTGATTTCACCCTTCAACCCATCTCAGCAATAGCTGGTTTTGAGTGACCTAATCTTCACGGTTTGTTGCCCATTTTAATGAGCTTTGAGGAGTGTGTGTGTGTGCTTGCGTCCGTGCGTGTGTTTGTGTGTATGTGTGTGTGTATGGGGTTACCCTTCCTGGAACCTCTGCCACGTGTCTCACACCTGTGCTGGGATCTGATAACAGAATTGTAAACTGATGAAGATGGAAGAGCACCCTTCCATAGAGTCCTAGACCAAATGTTTCTCCATTTAAAGTGCTTCTTGGTCCAAGATTAGGCTTAATCTGTGTCCGGGAAACTGTTCCATTGAACCTAAAGTACCCACACCTGTACACTAAAAGATCCCATACTGTATCTCCCCTAGTCTTGTACAATGATAACTCAGAGATGCCCAGAAGACCACTGAGATGTTACACTGGGGTTAAGTGTTGTAGCCTACCTGAAAGGTACAGTGGCTTGCGAAAGGATTCACCCCCCTTGGCATTTTTCCTATTTTGTTGCCTTACAACCTGGAATTAAAATGGATTTTTGGGGGGTTTGTATCATTTGATTTACACAACATGCCTACCACTTTGAAAATGCAAAATATTTTTTGGGGTGAAACAAACAAGAAATAAGACAAAAAAACATAGAACTTGAGCGTGCATAACTATTCACCCCCCCCCCCCCCAAAGTCAATACATTGTAGAGCCACCTTTTGCAGCAATTACAGCTGCATGTCTCTTGGGGTATGTCTCTATAAGCTTGGCACATCTAGCCACTGGGATTTTTGCCCATTCTTCAAGGCAAAACTGCTCCAGCTCCTTCAAGTTGGATGGGTTCTGCTGGTGTACAGCAATCTTTAAGTCATACCACAGATTCTCAATTGGATTGTGGTCTGGGCTTTGACTAGGCCATTCCAAGACTTTTAAATGTTTCCCCTTAAACCATTCAAGTGTTGCTTTAGCAGTATGCTTAGGGTCATTGTCCTGCTGGAATGTGAACCGCCGTCCCAGTCTCAAATCTCTGGAAGACTGAAACAGGTTTCCCTCAAGAGATTCCCTGTATTTAGCGCCATCCATCATTCCTTCAATTCTGACCAGTTTCCCAGTCCCTGCCGATGAAAAACATCCCCACAGCATGATGCTGCCACCACCGTGGGATGGTGTTCTCGGGGTGATGAGAGGTGTTGGGTTTGCGCCAGACATAGCGTTTTACTTGATGGCCAAAAAGCTCAATTTTAGTCTCATCTGACCAGAGTACCTTCTTCCATATGTTTGGGGAGTCTCCCACATGCCTTTTGGCGAACACCAAACGTGTTTGCTTATTTTTTCTTTAAGCAATGGCTTTTTTCTGGCCACTCTTCCGTAAAGCCCAGCTCTGTGGAGTGTACGGCTTAAAGTGGTCCATTGGACAGATACTCCAATCTTCGCTGTGGAGCTTTGCAGCTCCTTCAGGGTTATCTTTGGTTTCTTTGTTGCCTCTCTGATTAATGCCCTCCTTGCCTGGTCCGTGAGTTTTGGTGGGCGGCCCTCTCTTGGCAGGTTTGTGGTGGTGCCATATTCTTTCATTTTTTTAAATAATGGATTTAATGGTGCTCTGTGGGATGTTTGAAGTTTCTGATATTTTTTTATAACCCAACCCTGATCTGTACTTCTCCACAACTTTGTCCCTGACCTGTTTGGAGAGCTCCTTGGTCTTCATGGTGCCGCTTGCTTGGTGGTGTTGCAGACTCTGGGGCTTCTCAGAACAGGTGTATATATACTGAAATCATGTGACACTTAGATTGCACACAGTTTGACTTTATTTAACTATTTATGTGACTTCTGAAGGTAATTGGTTGCACCAGATCTTATTTAGGGGCTTCATAGCAAAGGGGGTGAATACATATGCACGTACCACTTTTCTATTTTTTTTTAAAATTATTTTTGGAAACAAATCACTTCACCAATTTGGACTATTTTGTGTATGTCCAAATAAAAATCCATTTAAATTACAGGTTATAATGCAACAAAATAGGAAATACGCCAAGGGGGATGAATACTTTTGCAAGGCACTGTACATTCATACTATGAATGACCCAGACTATGAAGGATACAATAAGGATATAATGTAACACATGGATGGCACTGGCAAGCATCAACCACACACAGATGAATCATACAAGCCACTGTACATGCAGTACATGTCATGGACCTGTGAAAGCTAGGCAAGACACATTTCCAATTCTAAATCACGTAGAGAAAAAACACAAGGAATGGGATTGTGACTCATAACACACATGTTAAACTACACTGTGTACAAAACATAGACTGACCAGGTAAATCCAGGTGAAAGCTATGATCCCTTAATGATGTCACCTGTTAAATCCATTTCAATCAGTGTAGATGAAGGAGAGGAGACAGGTTAAAGAAGGAATTTTAAGCCTTGAGACAATTGAGACATGGATTGTGTATGTGTGCCATTCAGAGTGTGAATGTGCAAGAAAAAAGATTGAAGTGCCTTTGAACAGGGTATGGTAGTAGGTGCCAGGTGCACCAGTTTGAGTGTGTCAAGAACTGCAACACTGCTGGGTTTTTCACGCTCAACAGTTTCCTGTGTGTATCAAGAATGGTCCACCACCCAAAAGACATCCAGCTAACATTACACAACTGTGGGAAGCATTGGAGTCAACATGGGCCAGCATCCCTGTGGAGTGCTTTCGACACCTTGTAGAGCCCATGCCCTGATGAATTGAGGCTGTTCTGAAGGCAAAAGGGGGTACAACTCAATATTAGGAAGGTATATCACGCCCCAAACTCAAAGATGTTTCTATTCTTCCCAGGTGCAGATTTCCTTCTAGGCACACCATCATGTCTTCAGACTCTCCCAGCTCCACGTTTACACCCAGTGCCAACAGGTTCCTGACAATGACACCAGCCACTCAGGCCTCCTCCCTACGCACCTGTGAGCCTCCAGAGTCCCCCCTCCAGCAGATGGCACACTCACAGGTACCAGAATCCACTGAAAACGGTTTATTTTACAGTTTACCCAGTTTCACCCAGAAAGAATCCAGATGTTAGCCCTGGGCATGGAAACACTCCCTCCATTTTGATTTAGCCCAAAGCCATGGATGCTTTACCCATCTAATCACCTTTCCTGCACCTGCATTAGGCTACTGTTCCTCCGGTGGTAATTCCAGAATCCACACTGTGATTTTAGTGCATCAGCCCATAGCTGTTTGACTAACCAGACCTCAGTTCAAGTAGTATTTGTTATCTTTCAAATACTTTGAGCATTTACTGCAGCCTGCCTGGAGTGGTAGATGGACAGGTTTTGAAAAATTGACCATTTTTGGGGGATTCCATTGGTTGCTTTTCATTTGTCATTTTCATTGGTTCCATTGTGCCAGATAAAGTATTTAAAAGAAAATGAATACTATTTGAACCCAGATCTGCTGCAAAAGAGAGATTGTTTATGAGTGAATCTAAAAGGATGTAAACTATCTACCTATCGCACACACAGGACCTTGTTACAGGCATGATGTGTTACAGGCATGATGTGTTTGAACAGAAATTATGTTTGCGTCCCAAATAGCACCCTATTCCCTAATATGATGCCATTTGGGACACAGACAATGCCAGGAGATAAAATGTAGGTCATTGTTGGTTGCAGATGCTAGCCAGGAGATTCTGGATGTTGCTAAATAACCAGCTAACAAATTGTTTATTAATCTCCCCTCAGTGTGAGGAGAGCAGTTCTGTGTCATTTACCACTGCCCAGCGCGAGAGAGAGAGCGCCACCTACAGACAGAAAAATGGCCCTGCAGAGACCTGCAGGAGGCACAGCGTAGATGGAGCCATGGTGGGACAGAGTCAAAGGTCAAACTTAGGGTCAGGGTCAGCTGACCACTTCCACCCCTACCGACGTCAGTTCAGCGATGATGGGGTTGCAACAGGTTGCCTGGCCCCTGGTCCCCCTGGGTCTCGTACCTTCGTCTGTCTCAGAGAGGTAGAGGCTCCAGATAGCTTCGCTGCCACACACACATCTACCAGTGAGGAACAGACATCCTGGGATCCATACAACGGGAGTTTCCAGGCTTCCAGACTGATGGTATGATACAGTGATACTCATACTCTAAATGGCTATTCATTCATAGTACACGCCACCAGCTGAACTGTAGTACCATACCCATGTGTACATAGCCATCGGGGAGAGCCTCACATGCGCAAGCAGTTCCCCATAGACAGATCTCTCATACACACCTACAGCTCCTATCCACACACACACCCACCCACACCCACCCACCCACATCACGATGATACTAGTGCTGCCAATGAGTTTCCTCGGATTTCATCACTTGTATCATGCATTTATCTTCATTCATTCCCTTCATTCAACACAGCAGGGCTCCCAGCGCTCTTACCCAGAACCACCGGCAGCACCCGAGGAACCTGCCTGCTTCCTGTCCCAAGGCCACGCCTCCTACAACCCCCTAGCCCCACTGCCGCAGGTGAGCGGGCAAGACCAAAGTACAGGGGGAGGGGTTAACTTAAGGGGGAGGTTCTTAGAGGGGCTTTTCTCAATAGGGCTTGATTATATCATACCAATAACTTGTTTACAGTAGTAGGCTTTGCAGCACACAGCTGTGCGGTTTGGAAAAACCTCACTGTGTACACACTCTGTTGCTAAAGTAATACAAGTTCTGCTCTAACAATGTGTGTGTATGTATGCGTGTGTGTACGTGTGTGTGTGTGCGTGTGTGTGTTCTCTCCAGTTCTCATCAGGTGTGTATTCTACCAGTGGACAATCCAAAAGTTGTCAGTACTCTCTCCAGTGCCTCTCCACTCCAACCCATCAGGACAGTAGCATGCAGTCCCTCTTCCCCAAGCCCATCTACTCATACAGGTGAACACTCTACTTCGATACTCCATACATGTGCATAATCACAATGTTTTACATTTACATTTACATTTACGTCATTTAGCAGACGCTCTTATCCAGAGCGACTTACAAATTGGTGCATTCACCACTTTACCATTTATTATTATTATTATTTTTTTTGGGGGGGGGGGGTAGAAGGATTACTTTTCCTTTTTACCAATCTGTACAGTCAGGTTTTGGACTTTGGTGCAACATTAATTATATATTAAAGACCTTATTTAATCAAGACCTCATTCAATCAAGACCTTATTTAATCAAACCCATTTCTCACTCTTCATCACTCTTCTTTCTCTGTCACGCCTGCCCCCGCTCCCCCTCCCTGGCGCTCGAGGGCGCCAGGCTGCCCATCATTACGCACACCTGTCACCATCGTTACGCTCATCAGTGCTTCATTGGACTCTCCTGATCTTCATCTCGGCTTAATTACCTCCCCTACATCTGTCTGTTCCTCAGTTTGATCCCCGGGTTGCATTGATGTTGTTTTCTTTCTCTCGTCCACACGCTGGTCTTGCTTTGTTTCATGTCTATTTATTATTAAAATTCACCCTGTACTTGCTTCCTGTCTCCCTGCGTCTGTCGTCACATTCTCTGCATGTTTGAAATAATGTTTACAAGGTGAAACAAAAAGAGGTTGAGCTGTAAGCATGTCAGTTCTTTAATAACCCCTTAAACCAGTTAACCTAAACTCCTATCAAGTATCAATGTTACATAATAAAAATAAGTCGTTCATGGAGTCTTTTATCACCTTTATCCCTCAGGCTTGCAGGTGTGAGGTGGATGAGTTGTGTGTGTGTGTGTGAGGTGGATGAGTTGTGTGTGTGTGTGTGTGTGTGAGGTGGATGAGTTGTGTGTGTGTGTGTGTGAGGTGGATGAGTTGTGTGTGTGTGTGAGGTGGATGAGTTGTGTGTGTGTGTGTGAGGTGGCCCATGCCCTAGATCTACACTGGTTCTGCATACATAGCACAGCCTCTTATTCAAACCCACTACGGAAGACCGTTCGTGCTTTTAATTACGATAATGTCAATTCGACTGTATCTACCAAACTTATTTTCTGACTTTTTCCTCAGAGTCTGAATTAGTATGATAATAACAACTTGAATGTCCCTGTTTCCTTTTAGTGTCTTGTGAATGTCATCATGGATCCTTGTCATGAATGTACACTCGTATAAAAAAATATGCTATCTAGAACCCTAAAGGGTTCTTTGGCTGTCCCCATAGGAGAACCCTTTGAATAACCCTTTTTGGTTCCAGGTAGAACCCTTTTTGATTCCATGTAGAACCCTTTCTACAGACAGTTCTACATGGAACCCAAAAGGGCTCTACCTGGAATCAAAAAGGGTTCTCCTATGGGGACAGTCGATGAACCCTTTTGGAACCCTCTTTTCTAAGAGTGTACTGTATATGTAATGGATAAACAACACTGTGATGTTCAATAATATAATATACATAATAATAAATATAATAATATAAAATAATAATATAATATTGACTACAACCGATTGACTACACTGACTGCAATGTTTGTCTTCTATCCATAGCATCCTGATCTTCATGGCTTTGAGGAACAGTAAGACAGGGAGTCTCCCGGTTAGTGAGATCTACGGGTTCATGACTGAACACTTCCCCTACTTCAAGGTACAGCAGGAGGACATTATGGCTTCTCACTAACCCAATAGTCATCTGTGTTTTCATAACTCTTTCATTATTCTCATCCTATGTATTTTATCTGTGCAATGTCACAGACAGAGTTGTTATAACCATTGCTATAAATCCTTCATGCACTGAGAAATTGAATGAACTTTGCATTACCTAACTTTCCAAAACGGATGAATACAAGGACACACAAGTGGCATGCATTGGGCATAACGACACTTGTAAAGTAAATACCTTGTAATGTGGTTTGAAAGAGTCAATCACTGAGAGATCAACACCTACTGATCTTCAATCCTCTCATATCTGGCGATAAGCCCTTTATAGAAAAACATGGAGAGGGAGAGGGAGATGGAGAGAGAGAAAGAGAGAGAGATATCAAGAGAGAGAGAGAAACCATAGATTTTATTTAGAGCGTAGGAAGGATTGAGTCTACCACCTGGCAGTTTCCAGATCTCCTGGCAAGCCCCATAGATGAATGATGAATTATACTGTAATAGTGTATATAGATTCAACAGTGTGGCAAAGCAGAATCGGCTGTAGCCGTAGGCTAGCCTCGTCCCAAGCCCTTTGTTGGGCCTCCTGTAGCTCAGTTGGTAGAGCATGGCGCTTGCAATGCCAGGGTTGTGGGTTCGATTCCCACGGGGGGCCAGTATGAAAAATGTATGCACTCACTAACTGTAAGTTGCTCTGGATAAGAACGTCTGCTAAAATGTAAAATCATTGACCCCTGCCTATTCTATAGAGAATACAGGTGTGGCCTATAGGACCTAGTCAAAAGTAGTGCACTAGGGAACAGGGTGCTATTTGGGACACAGCCAGTGTTTAACGAGGCAAGCCGTGGGCTACCCCGGCTAATACCCGTTAGGGCTTGATCAGTGTCTTCCGATCCATCTTGGTGGTTTCAGACCCATGATTGGCTGGCTGTCTGGTGGAGGAAGGTGCAATGTGGCACTGCAACAGCTTTGGCTCCTCTCCAGCCAAACATTCAGTAGGACCTATGACTGAGAGACTACCTCTGGGGGTGTGTGTGTGTGCAACGTGGCATTTCCACTGCTTTGGTTCCTATTGACTTTTAACTTGATTTTGAATTACTTAATTGATTACGGTTTCGGCAGTTGAAACAAACTCAGCTTGCTGCCCGCCCCATTTCGGTAAAAAGCTAAGGGATGGGGCTGGACAGAGCTATGGATGTAAGGTGTATATTGTTTGTTTACATTTAATGTTTACAAACAGTGGAGTAAAACAAGCGTATATTTTGGGTTCTGAACTAACTTATAAGTTATATTCTTCAAGGATCAATGGGTAACACAGGAGGTTGGTGGCACCTTAATTGGGGAGGACGGGCTCGTGGTAATGGCTGGAGCGGAATAGGTGGAATGGTATCAAATACATCAAACAAATGTTTTAATGCCATTCCATTTGCGCCGTTCCAGCAATTATTATGAGCCGTCCTCCCCACAGCAGCCTCCACTGATGGGTAAATATAATTAATTGAAAAGTCAAAACATTTATACATCAATCGCAGATAGCCCCTTTAAGGAATTCATAAATATGTTAAATATACTTCAAAGCAATACCTTGATTATTTACATACAATCTGTACAATGGTATATCGAAATTGAACAATTAAAGATTGGTGGAAAAAAAAGTATCCCATGGAACATTTTAAAATACACTGTTACTGTACGTTTTTCCTCTCCTTTCTGTCTCTCAGACGGCTCCAGATGGATGGAAGAACTCGGTCCGCCACAACCTGTCTCTGAATAAATGCTTTGAGAAGGTGGAGAATAAGATTGGCAACTCTTCGCGTAAGGGCTGCCTGTGGGCCCTCAACCCAGCCAAGATAGAGAAGATGCAGGAGGAGCTACACAAGTGGAGCCGCAAAGACCCCCTCACTGTCCGCAAGAGCATGGCCAGGCCTGGTAGGTGGTCTATACATCACAGACAAGGACTCCCCTTAGACCTGGGCTATGTTTTATTTGCGCTTCCTCAAAGTTCGGATGCCAGTGTTTTATATGGAGGGTAAGCTTGGCAATCCTCAGGTCCATCATGGCATAAATGACTCCCTAAATAAGATTGTGCTGTTACAGACATGGTATGTTACCTTTGAGACTGAGCAACACCAGCGGTCTGGTGATTCTATCTACTCTGCCTTTTTGGCAGCTGTTACAGGAGATAAGTGCAAGGTCATCTCAATTTACCCACAGTCTCTCTCTCTCTCTCTTTCTCTGTTTTCTCAGAGGACCTGGATCGCCTGTTGGGGGAAAGACCAGAGAAGCTGAAATCTTTACCTTCTTACCACAACCAGATCCCACTGGCAATCTACAACCCTACCCCTTCCTCCTTCACATCCCAGCCTCGAGAGCCCAGTCGCCCTCTCCGATGTCCCCTCTACCCCCACGTCCCCCCTCCCTCCCTGTCGGTCAACCAGCACCCCCGCTACCTGCCCCCCACCACCCCCCACCCATTCTCCTTCTACTCCCCCTGCGGACAGCAGCCTCCATCGGGTATCCCCCCCAATGTGGGTACCCTGGGTTCCCCCCTGGCGGGGCAGACACCCCCCACATCTAGCGCCACCATACAGGCAGAGTATGACGTTGGGCCCAGGAGCATGCAGGAGCTACAACTAGATGGAGATGCTAATAACGATATCGACACGCTCAACCCCAGCTTGACTGACCTACAGCTCCACGGTAAGGTTGAGAGAGAGAGATAGAGAGGCCAAGACAGAGACAGAGAGAGAGAGATAGAGATTGAGAGGCCAAGAGAGAGAGAGAGATTGAGAGGCCAAGACAGAGACAGAGACAGAGAGAAAGAGAGAGAGAGCAAGATATATATATATATATAGAGAGAGAGAGCGCAAGAGAGAGAGAGAGAGAGAGAGAGAGAGAGAGAACCATATTCAGGAATTATTTTTATACAATCTACAACAAGATTTACAACCCTGTTCTCTCTCCTCTCAGGTTACTTGTGGGAGGAGCTGAGAGAGGACAGCCTGGCTCCAGATTCGCTGGTGGTAATCAGCCCCTCCCCGTCCCCCTCCTCTTCCCAGCCAACACACCTCCTCCTGGGGTCCAGTCTGAGGAGCACCGGTCCTGTCAACCAGACATCAGAGTTGATCTCCGTCGGGCTGGGGATGGAAGATGAGGAAGATGAGGACGAGATGGGAGGAGGATGTGGAGGTCCATCAGACCTCCATATTAATGGACAGTACCACACAGCCTACCCAGGTGTGGAGAGCTTGGCTGGTTACCTCACTTCCATGGGGAACACCCCCATACCTCTGCTTTGAAGCCAAGGAATAGGGATCCCTTCGTGGAATAGCTCACAAAGACCTTCCCCCTGGACCTCCAGGACAACTCAAAACTGGAGTTGTGAAGGTCAAAACGTATCACAAAGGGCTCAGTTTGAAAGTGAATGTAGCAATGAAACAGTGACAATATTGTGCACATTTTGATCACAATCAAACGTCATGTTTTGCTTTGCTTTGAACATGCAGAGCACATTGACTCAATTTGTCTACAATGAGCCTGAATAGAATGTGTGAGTATGGGTTCAGGTTTTATCATAACCGTGTTAAAAATATGTTTTTATGGGTCAAAGTCAAGACTTGACATTCATGAGAATGAATGGATCCAAAAGCTCATGACACACCTGACTGTTCAGTGATTAGGAGTAGAGTGCAGTACCACCTAACTCCACACAAGATGGCAGCAGAGAGCTGTAGTGACCGGGACTTATTTATTGGAACGTTAGAGTTGTAGACAGAAATACAGCGCTGATGACATTTCTTCCTTATTCTACACGACAGAGAAGCAAATCTGTTCTACACAATACATTTCTATGTTGAACATTCTGTGAAGTCGCATTCTCCAGAATAAGCCCCCTGGTGTGATATGTTCCCACTATTGCAACTTGCATTTTATACAGTTTGTGGTGACAAGAGATGATTCAAGCCATCTGTTTTTTTTAGCTCAAAGCTAATGAAATTAATTACAAAATGTGTCTTAGCATAATTTCTGATACGAAACAGGGAACATACTCACTGTTTACTCAATTCATTTTCTTTCTAGAAATAGTTTTCAAAGCTTTCTAGCTAAATTACCACTGAAGATGGAAGTCAATATCAAGGCACAGCCAGACAACTATTCTCAGGCTTCCCCTGGTTCCTGCAGGCCCTATCTAATAATTTAGCTTCCATAATTAGGAAAATTGATAAGGTGACATCAGCTTACCAGTTACATTTTTCGAGAGTGTATTTTAGTCATAGCATGTGTGAAAAGGTCATTTTTCTTGTATGACTTAACTGAGTCATCTGCTTGAACTCATTCATTAATTTATATTCTAGTCTAGACAATTTGTTCTGTGTCTATCTATGCAATTCCTTTGTTCTAATTTCTGTCCATCACAGATCTATCCAGTAATTGTAAAAATGTTTTGTAATAATTGTCTGTTCCCACATATTGTAGCTGGTGCCATCGTTTTACCATCTTTGTATCAAGTGAAAAAAGACCACAAGACGCATT